GCAATTGTTGGGCCGCGTAGTTGAGCGTACTTGGGCTTTGGGCCCAAGAGAGGCGAGTCGGAGTTGAAGGCCCAATAAGGAGGCCAGGCCCGATTGAAAGACCAGGTCAGCGGGCGGTCCATGATCGACTGCAAACCCGAGGGCTAAGATAAGGGCGCCTGACATAAAGCAACTGAGCATCGCAGAGGGGCAGAGAGCCGTTGAAGATGCGTATCTGGTGTCAGGCAAGACTGAGCATTTATTGCCCGCCACAGGCGGCCTGCAGAAAGGCTGAAAACCTGCCCAGGACGCCTGACATTTCCCAAAAAGCCTGAATGGGCGCCCGACCAGGTCTGAGGCGCCCGACACAGCATTTAATGCCCCAACCACCCTTCAACCAGGTATAAATAGAGGGTGAGTGCATTAATGGTAAGACCAACTACTATCTCTCTCTATCATAAATACATTCTATTTCTACTTCTCTCTCTAACTTGAGCGTCGGAGAGTGTCCCGGGCAACCGCCCCGGACCCTTGTTTTGCAGGATATCTGAAGCCACTCCGTCATCCCGATATAGGCGCCTCGCCCCAGCTCCACAAAACCGCCTAGTATTTACTAGGCACAAACACCATCAGCGTCGTTGCGGCAAGGCCATCCTCAGTTCGCCATCGTGTTGCTACTGCGAGCCGGAGAATTTTTCCAGAGTTCAATTCTTCCCAACGGCTGTTTGGCGCCTGGCAATTGAATGCACCGAGTGAGGCGAAGAAAACAATAGATTAATCAATCAACCGAAATAATGGGTTTAACCGATTTTGATTATTTGCTGGTCAGAGATCAATGGCCATTTTCTAATATTGTGTATCTAAAGGCTGCAAATTAGCCGGCACGGGTGCGGTCACACAAAATGTGATGCTGATTGCTGATGAAGAAGATTTCTTGTGACATAGTGGTCAAACAAAAAAAGTAATACAATTTATTAGGCAAATCTTTTAATTTTAGTAAAATATTAGCCAAACCTTTGAAAAATAAAATAATAATTAGCATCTAAAAATATATAATAGCAGAGTCGAGAGCGATTTTTCATCATGTAATTTTTTCTCAAACGAGAGCGAAAGTAAGAAGGGTATATTTGTCTTCACAATTATTTATTTCTTATTCATAAAAAGGTATATCAATCTAAGGATTTGAACCATGTCAAATTAAATAAGGGCATGAATCATCGCCAATTACACTAAAGAAATTTTATGTATCTTTCTAAACTAAACATATACAAAAGCCTAACAACTAAAAATCAGATGACCTGTCCACTACAGTTAGCTAGCCCATCAACTCTCTCGTAAGTATTTTTTAGGTGTTTGATATTTTGATTATTTTAATTTGATTTTACCAATTAGTTTATCTATTGGGTAGAAATACACATTTCACATATTCTGAGAACTTTAGGATGCACATCGTAAATACGTTATATTCAAATGGCATTCCGACCAAAGAGACAAACATCAAACTAGTTAATAAGATTGTAAACTTTTAGTTGTTAATATGTTATTGTCGATACATTCCCTCTGTGGAGTGCGCATTAACAGTTGCTATGAGGGATACTAATGACATCCTGGATTGCACGATCGAGTTGGAGACACAAAATAGTACATTATGATTACAAAATCTGAAAATCTATCATGGAAGAGGGCTTGTACCGCCTCGAAGTCGGAAGGTCTGGTGAACAAGATGTCGTTTGTCTGCCAAAGAAATTTTGATTGGCACTAGTTCGCCAGGCGGAGGAACTTTGAAGGGGTCTGAGAACTTTTTGAAGAATAAGATTTTGTCATTTTGTTTGTGTGTGGTTGAACTGTGGATATGATTTTTATTTTTTGAAATTGATTTGTCTTTAATATAAAATTAATAAAAAGTGACTAAAGTTAATTGATGCGACCATTACTCGTTGACCATCACAATACATAAACTCCTCAAACTTTGCACCACGCTTGCCAACTCAATATCGTACAAAGAAAGTGACGACGAGAACTTAATAGTTATCTATTATTTTGTATTTTTAAAGATTTGGCTAATAATTTGTCAAAATTAAAAGGTTTGGCTGGTAAATTGTATCTACTAAAAAAAAGAAATTGATGCATTTTGTTGGAATCTAATGTGACAGTTGATGTGTAGCGTGGTCAATGATAACAGATCAATGATTAAAACTATGCGGTACATATTTTATATTTTCAAAACTTTTATTAATATTTTAGGCTAACGAAGATGGGCTGATATAATGTATTTAGCCAAAATATATTGAAAATTGTCATTTAAAAAAATTCACCATCCGTTTTTTTAGGGCTATAAGTTTGGTATCAGTAGTATTAGGGATATACCGAATATCAAGAATGTAAATGGGGCAGGTTCGAGGCGGGTATCTCGTTACCTATACCCGCCCGATGGCAGGTCGGATAATTCATCATAGGGCGCGGGTCGGGGCAAGTCGACCCAATGGGTATGTAATTTATATGAAAACATAACAAATATTCGTTATTTTCATTAAAAGACCAAAAAAGAAACCATAATATGATAAAATATAGTTAAATTATTGGAAAATTTGAGGTTTTCACTTATTTACAACTTTATTATAGCTAAAATATTAGGTAATAGGAGGAAATTCTTAGTAATTTAACTAAGATTACATAGAATTTAGGCAAGAATGGGGCGGGTCATGGCAGGTCGGGTTGATGAGAGGTACCCATGCACGTCCCGTCCCGTCTACGGGGCAGGTCGGACCCGCCTCAAAACAGGCCAAACGAGTCCGGTCAAACGGGTCAGGTCGAAATTGTCATCCCTATCGAACACCGTACTGAATTCGTCAATATTTGGTATTACCGGATACATATTATGAGAATGATTTGTGGAACTAGTATTTACATTTGTATATTTTATTTTAAATTTTGAAGGAAATTAATTTGGTATTTGCCGAGTGATTGAGATTGAGATACCAAATTTATTTTAAAATTAAAATAAAATTTATAATACCTTTTAATATTCAACATTTTAATATTTAATATTGGAATACTGATATCGATTTGCACTCTCACTTCCCAAGTTACCACTTGCATACTGCTACAACCTATCGTATTCCTTTATATATATATATATATATCGTATTCCCATTGTTTTCGGGGTCGTTTAGACAAGTTATTTCGACCCAAATAACTCACAATGAGTTATTTGGACCGAAATAACCCGTTTGGCTCCCATTCTCTCCAACACGTTATTTTATTCCAAGTTATTTTAGAATAATGCGAAATCGCGTTATAACAAATAACTGGTGGGCAGGTGGGTTAATTCTCTAAATATTGTCTTTTTTTTATTTACCACAAATATGGTGGTTTAAAAACTATTTACAAGAATATTGTGTTTTGAACTGGGGAAGGTAGCGACAGCGCCCGAGACTCAGGTGTTGGCGCTATTTGAATTTTTTCAAAAATTTCAAATAGCGCCAACACCTGAGTCTCGGGCGCAGTCGGCAGTCGCTACCTTCCATTTCCTTCTTATCTTCTTCTTCCTCACCACTCACTCTCGCCATCTCGCCAGAAACCACCACACCAGTCCTCCTCACCTCCAACCCAGCGCCGACGCATAGAGAAAGCACGACCACGCCTCAATCTCAGGCGGTCGCGCCAGCTTTCCGACGAAGCCGCCATTCCCAGAGCGCCATCGCTCTCATCTTCCCCGCGCAGATCTGTTAAACTTCTCCCCTCCATGTCCGACGACGAAGAGCAGGCGCCCGGCAGAGGAAGGGGCAGAGGGCGACGAGGGCGTCGTGGCGGCGGCAAAAGCTACAGGGTTAAGTTTGGCGGTGGTCGGATTCTTGCCGCCGGCGGCATTTTTTTATGTTCTAATTATTATTTTTCCAGTTCCTAGGCTTATGGACCCTTGTTTGATGAGATCACCACCTGCGACAATTGATACAGCTCCGGTGGATCCGGAACTTCTTTGGGGGGCATGCATTAGGGGTGAACAAACACACCCGCAAACCGACCCACCCGTCCAACCCGACCCAACCCACCCGTATTTGTCGCTAAATCGAAGGTTTTGGGTTGGGTGAGGGTTTTCTTTTGTACAACCCGCCTCATTTGGGTTGGGTTTGGATTTTAGATTACACAAACCGTAGAACCCGACCCAACCCGTATTCCAATTATTGGTATGAGTTTGTATTCAAAAAAATATTTATGTCGTATATAGTCATACTTATGAGAAAATTAAGATATTTCGCCATGTTTTTCTCTTAAAGTCTCACTAATCTAATGCATTCTTCGACTTAAAGTTTAGACATATATTTAATATAGCTATGATTCACGTAATTTTTTTTCTTGTGTACAATTTTAAAAGAATATCATATTATGGATGCGTTCATTTGTAACCTTTTTAGCCTATTTCAACAAATGTCATGAAAAAAACTAGACATAAGTTGAAGTAAATCAAGTTTTATTAAAATTCAAACAATATTTGTGAATTTTGATACCTTTCACCTCGGTTTATTCGTTTGAATTTTTAATTTGTTATAAAATATTTTTATGATGTAGAATAATTACATATTTTGTGTTGGGTTGGGTGTTTACTTAAAAATATCGCCAACCCGACCCAACCCAATTAGAAACAAACCGTAGGGTTTAGATTTTTTTGGGTGGGTTTGGGTTTAATATTCCCAAACCGTAGTGCATGGGTCGGGTGATTAAAATGCCTAAACCCGGACCACCCGACCCATGTACACCTCTAGCATGCACCATCGTATTGACGGTTTGGGCAAACGAGATAAGTTTTCAAACTATTTCTATAGTTTTTTATTAGCTGAATAGAATATAATTAAATTTTACAAATAGAATTAAATTAAATTACGAATAGGTCTTAATTAAATTACAAATAGAATTAAATTAAATTACGAATAGAATTAGATTAAATTATGAGTAGTATTAGAATAAGTTTAGTTTAGATAAATAAATATAAATATTAGGTGAATTGAATTAATATAAGTTTTGTGCATTATAGGCTGGTGATCGACCTTACCACATTCGTCATACGAGCAATTTAGTGCGACACCATCCACTTTACCTGCCATATCTCGTCGATGCGGGCTTGTCTAGTGTTCTGCCACTAGCCCCTCTTACCGGTGATCCGGGTTTGATTATTGCGCTCGTAGAGCATTAGCGACCCGAGACATCGACCTTCCACATGCCGTTCGGTGAGGTGACGATCACCCTAGAGGACGTTGCGACACTGACCGGTCTAGCGATCGACGGTGATGTCGTCGTAGTAGACATACCAGACGAGGACTGGTCGGCTATGTGTCTTCGACTGTTAGGACGGGCTCCTAATGATCTTGGCGGCGGCGTCATTAGGATTGCTTGGCTCAGGGATACTTTCGATGAGCTATCGCTTTCTGCATCACCCCATACTACAGAGCAGTTTGCACAAGCGTATGCGCTGTCTCTGATGGGAGGTGTCTTGTTCTCCGATCGCTCTAGAGGTTCAGTTCACCTGCAGTACCTACTTTTGGTGGAGGATTGGCGCAGAGCGGGAGGTTTTCTTGGGGAGCAGCTGTGTTATCCTACTTGTATCGTGAGATGTGTAGATCGGCGCTGCAGATGACGGCATCTTCTTCATTGGGTGGTGACTTTGGTGGATGGTCCGCCTTGCTGATGATCTGGATGTGGGAGCGGCTTCCTCATATAGCACCACTACATGCAGAGATGGGTGCGTAGGGATGGCAACAAAACCCGAACCCACGGGTACCCATCCGACCCAACCCAGTCAACGCGGGTAAAACCCGTGTTGACGGGTTTTGGGCCGGGTTCGGGTTTAAACCCGCTACACTATTCACCGGGTTGGGTTGGGTTTGGGTTTAGGTAAACTCGCCCCATGGGTACCCGCCCACACACATATAATTACTTTCCCAGTATATTTAATATTCTAAATAATATATCTTCCTTAAACAACTAATATTCTTTATGTTTGTGGAGACATGCATAATTTGTTCTTTCTAATTGTTTAGAATGGAGTTGATATTATGAAGTGAAGAATGAAGAAACTTAGTTGACGAGGAAGAAGATTTCAGTTAATCTTATTGTTTATAGATGTTTATCTTTAATTTTGGACAATTTGTATTGATCATTTACGATTTGCTTGTATGTTCTAGATTGGTGTTTTTTGTATGATTAATTTGTATGAGAAACTTGATGTTAAACTTTTATTTTGAAAAAAACTTGTTATTGTAAATTTTTTACTAGAAAAACCCACGAGTACCCATGAACCCGCGGATACCCAGCGGGTTGGGTTGGGTTTGAGTTTTTCAAACCCAACGGGTTTTACCCCGGGTTTTTTTGGCGGATAAACCCATGGGTTTGGGTTTGACAAAACCCGCCCCAACCCGACCCATTGCCATCCCTATGGCTATGGGTGCGCAGATTACTCAGGACGCAGTGCCACGTGGCTTTCGATGGCTTCCGGCCCACACCCGTCAGCATGGAGATCAGTTCTACCTGTACAAGTTGTGGTTTGACGAGTGCACGACATTCGTGGTTAGTATATAACATTTCGTTTCATAGAATAGTTTTAATTGATTTGTTATATATTTAGGAGTAATTATGTGACCAATCCTTGTGTGTTGTGGCGTCCGTACTTTCATAGAGGTCAGGACTACAGCGGTACTGTGATCCAGTCCGACACGTTTCGAGCATTAGTTCCGCTGATCTGCTTCTCATCGCAGATGTGGCATCATCCAGATCGCGTGCTCGGACAATTTGGGATGATTCAGGACCGACCTCATCCTCCACATTCCGCGGCTGAGATTAGATTTTTCCTTCGTCAAGGCCAGCATGGGCCATCACATGGCCAGCAGTTCATACAGGCAGCCAGCGAGTCGAATGAGTTGTGGAACCGTCGACATGAGTTCATCGCGCGGACGAGCTACACTGACGTACCTTTAGTTCATCACGCGGACGGGCCATCACGTTATACTGAAAGTTGCGTTGTAGGGCATAGTGTTTAATTGCCACCTGTGCAGCTTGTTTCGAGTGAAATATTTTCCCCTTGTAGAATTCTCCATCAAAACCGCCAATAATAGGCCTTGGAATTACGCCATATGAATCAGCATATGATAATTCCTCATCCTCTTCATTACCCTGCAAGTAAAATATATGGAGGATAATTAGGTTGTTCTCCTTCCTCCCCGTCGTCGTCGTCGTCCTCCTCCTCCTCTCCGTCATCATAGTCATGATCGGATGGCATGCTCCATGTGTCATCTTCTTCCTCTCCACCCGATCCTCACTGAGCTCAGCATGTATCTCAACACCCAAACAATAAGGATTTTGTGCCATAAAATTCCAAAGCACATTTAAGCTATCATCATCGACAATAGGCATCGCATAATGAAATAAAACACCATTCTACCATTCTGGAAGACAGTAAGTGAAACTTGTAATCACAGCACTATCTTGTACTGCTTCATCTCTACGTCGTATTCTCCGAATTAGATTATCACAAAGTTTCTGATAGTTCACCCTGGATGGAATAGTCATCTGAAAACTTACACCACCAACGAAATGGACACCCAAATTGTCCTTTACTTTCTCTGATTTCCACCGAACAGCTAGTTCAAATCTTCTAAAACCACGACATAAAAAACAAACCCACTAATTACTAACTGGAAAAATCATTATGAAGAATACATTAGAAAAATAAATACTTCTCTTACCTATTATTAGCCATCTTCCCAGCAACCAGACAACAACACCAGAGCTTCTTTTGGAACTTCTTTCATTTTTTTGGTGAAGAACCAAAGGAAAGCTGGAGTATATATGGTGATGGAGGTGCTGGAGTGGAAGAAAAAAAGGCAGCGACAAAGCCTCAGTCTGGGGCGCCGCCGCTTTTGCTTTTTTTCAAGCGCCAAAGCCCCAGTCTCGGGCCGCGCCGCTGGATTTTATTGAAAAAACAACACCTAGCAGCCGCGCCTGAGTCTCGGGCTTGAGCGCTTTCAACATACCAAAAAACATAATATATGTGTCAATAGTTTTTAAACCACCATATTCGTGGTAAATAAAAAAAACAATATTTAGGGAATTAATCATGGGCAGGTGATGCTTCAGAATAACGCATTCCCTTATCTTTTCTGTCCATTTCTACCCCTCTCCTCTCTCCTGTCTTGTTCCTTCTCCCTCTTTTGTTCAATCCTTTTGATTCTTCTGTTCAGATCTAAATTGACTGAACGAAAATCGATTATGCTGGTACTTTTGAATTTCTTTATGTTTTCCGATCACAATAAGTAGGCGGAACCCTACGTTGCGACGAACAAGCGGCAGCGAACGAAAGTCTTCTTCAGCGACTAGGAGGAGGCATTGAGTGTGCGAAGGCGAGGACAACATAGGGTTCGAAGGTGCCTGCAACAAGGGGGCTCGTTGGTGACAGCGGCAGGATTGAAGATCCGACGAATCGAGCTCTGTCGCCGTAGTCATCGAGAAATAATGAATAGTGGAAGGCGGCGAGAAACGGGCTTCTTCTGTGCATTCTCAGTTGATTTTCCTAATCGTGTCTCGAATTTAACACTTCAATCAAGTTGGTGATTGATGTCAATTAGGTTAGTAATGATAATTTTGGTTCTTCTGGGAATGCAAAGTTCGTTTGGAGGTTTCTGTGGGAGGAGGGGTAAACAGAAGAGCTCTACCAAGATGTGAAGGAAGCAAAAAAGTGAGGGTTGATTGGTCTTTTTGCCTTTTAATTGTAAAATAACTCAAGTAAAATAACTCACCATCCAAACATAACATTTAAAACCAATTACTACATCAATACCAAACAAACACCACATAACCAATAAACTCATCCAGAAGACCTAGTATGTTGTATGTGACATCTGTTTGACACGTGGAAACTCTCACCCGCCAATTTAACTGGCTGGAAATTTCTGCCCGCCAAAATCTTCCATCTTCGTTTTCTTTCGGTTCCTTTCCCTCTCTTTTTTGATTTTTCGATTCCCTCTCCTACCCTTTTCATTTATGCACCAAAATTTTCATCACTTGAAGTTAGATGGCGGGTAGTTAAATTCCAACGAATATAGTTATAATAATGATTTAAAATTAAAAATCTTATATTTTTACACTTTTCGTTCATCAAAATCGTGGTTATGTAAAATCGCATTTTTTATTTGTAAGTGTAATCAAAATATTTACTTTAAAGTTTAAAATCTTATGTTTTTACACTTCTAAATCACCAAAATATTTCTACTTTGTTACACGATTTTAACTATGTTGGTTCCAACCGTCTCTTAGTTTGTTTTTATTTTATTTTGAGAATTCCTCTTTTAAGCCCAAGGACATCATTAATATATTTAAGATGATTACGCATTAAGAAAATACCTTAACGGATACCTACGGGTGTATAGGCACCCATGGGTCACGAACATAACCATACACTATTTCTTGAAACACTTGAAAACATACCAACAAAAATATATCCTTAAAGACTACTAACATTCATAAATTATACATATTATCAGGTTTATAATAACGGAAATGGGAATGACTAATATCATCTATAAATTATTCATATTGTTCTGATATATAAAAATGACATCGTTTTGCTTTTTTATTGCGGGTCGGATGAAAAGCGAATTGATTTTGGCAAACCAAAATCCAATCCAACCTGCCACGTCGTTAATTTCAAAAGCAAGTAAAATCCACGTTTTACCCAAAACTCATCGCCACTGAGATTTACCCATTGTTACTAGATTAAATCAGATTGGTACCCGCAAATTCGAGTTTAGTTACCATCTCCCAACTCCATACCTTCATTCTACAATTACTAAAAGAAATCCTCTTTCTATACAAGAAGAAAATATTTGATAATGAGTTTTATCCCAGTAACGACATTTGGCAAATAGATTATGCGCCATGTTGGGGGTATTATGAGCAAAGCCCAAGTGGGGGGCAAGGCCTAAGCAAACTTGGACTCCCAAACAGCCCAAGTGGGGGGCAAGGCCCAAGTAAAGGGGAGGCCACATGAAGACAAGGCACAAGAGGCCAAGGGAGGCCAGACTGTCGTGTGGTCCAGCGCCTGCGGGCGCCTGTCACGTGCCAGGAGTCTGACAAGGTGGTTGGGATGTCTGGCCAGAAAGAGACAAAAGCATTGAATGAAGGCAAGGAGGCAGAGAGGATCAACCTCGAACTCTGGTAAGTATAAATAGGGGCAGTTGGTAGCATTTACGCAGGTTGGGCTCTCTCACAACTCTAGCTTTGAGACACTTCTCTCTTCCTAGAAACTAACTTGGGCGTCGGAGGATTAACGGGCCAAAGCGCCCCCTCCTTGTTAGTGTGTGCAGATCGGCGCCTGGCGAGAGAGGATTCAGGAGAGTCTGGCGAAGGGTATCGGGTCTCAAACACGCCACTTCCTGAATCATGACCCAATCTCATATTTTAAATAATTCAATTCAATAGTTTATATTAAATGGAAATTTCTATTTCCTATTTTTCAATAAGCTAGCATCTTTCTTCATTTGAATTTTAATTTACAAATTTTGGTTACCAGAATTAGATTAATTATATTAATTAAACAATAATACTAATCTGCATATATTTAGATAGAAAAAATTTTAAATTTTACTACAATCCTAAAGCCTCTTATTATTGTGATAAGAGTGTTCCACAACCATCGGATGGCATGTGGCTAGTGTGTGAAATTTTTTTAAACATATCAAAATGGATATCATCTTACAAAATATAATTCATTTGATTGTTTTTATGAAAAACGTTGAAATCCATTTAAAAACAATTAGGATAAATGCCATATTTGGTCACTGAGATTACTAAATCATATCATGTTTAGTCACTAGAATAAATTAATATAAATTTTGATCACTCGAATTACTGAAAAATGTCACATTTAGTCACTCTCCCATCTGTTTCCGTCCAACTCCATTAACGGAGTTGGACAGAGGCTAATGGAGAGTGACTAAATGTGACATGTTTCAGTAATTCGAGTGACATTCACAAAAAAAAAGTAATCGCGGGATCGGATTCGGACGGAGGTTAATGAGAGAGTGACTAAATGTGACCTGTATTAGTAATTTGAGTGACCAAAATTGATATTAATTTTTTACGGTAACTAAACATAACACGATTTAGTAATCTCAGTAACCAAATGTGGCATCTACCCAAAACAATTATGATGTCCACAGGCAGAAGAATCTTGGCTAGCCATTATTACAGGGCACATGTAATTTTTTTTTTGGAACAAATTGTATACAATAATCACTCTCGTTGGCCCTGGAGGTGTGTTGCATGGATTAACTCCATGGTCCCTATTCTTAGGACTAACCCTGTCAGTAATGTTAAAGAGGTGCCGAGGACGTTGAATGTCAGAGCTGATTGGGTGGCACGCTTGAAGGCTAAATCTACGCTGTCAGATAACTGGATCAATATTCTTGATTTAATTTATGATCTTCTTTAAAATTGTAATCGTTTATTTCGAGTGTTTCTTTCGAGAGTGAAATAAAAGTTGATATTGTTGTAAAAAAACGTATAACTGTTGAACCCATCATTTTTTAGATTGTTTAAAAGTTTTATGTAACTGTAATACAACTCACTCTTGTCCTTAGATTGTCACAACATTAATTTCTTATACTATAGACGAAATTATCAATTGAAATAAATTCCAAATATGATGTATTTTATCCCTGTTGCATATTTCCTAGCAATCTGAAGAAGCAGCCAAACGGCGATGTTCTCTTGTTCTCGTTTCTGTCAACAACTTCTCCAACCCGACAACCACAACGAACATATTTTGCGATTCTTTCTTAATATAAAATGTGTCGTGGTTGTTTATGAAAATAATGACTGTATTAGTCGATTATTTCTTTATCTCTGGACGAATTATTTGGATGTTATTAATTTTAATTATGTATAGTAAATTATATTTATTTATATATTTATATTATGAAAAAATTACACATGTAGTTTCAAATGATAACTCCGCCAAGAATGATGTGCTTTGCCAAAAATTAGTAATGGAGTGATCGTATATATCTTCCTAACTTTGAGTACCATAAAATTGTTGCAATATCTTTGGTCGATTCCGGCACTCGGTGCTTTGTAAACTTGCATAATTATAGCAAAAGTGGAGGGCCTTGTTAGCAAATAAGAAAAAGAATATCCCGAAGTTGCCCCCGCCGCTAATGGCAGTCCACAAAATTCTGTGAAGGTGGGGGTGGAGTGTTTCGCATCCATTACCACGATGAAGGCCTCTCAGATCCGCAAAATTTTCCTTTTTTAGAAGTTTGGTACCATTATTTGGGATATACCGAATACCATACCAAATATAGTATCGAATTTTTCTATATCTGGTATTATCGAATATACGTATTATCTTTTGGAATTTAGATTGAATTTCAATTGTTATTCGGTATTAGAGATTACGGGATTGAGATTATCGAAATACCGATCAATACCGAAATATAAACTAGTGTGTATTTTATCCTCTCAACTAAACTCTCTCATTCACAGCTATAAGACCCTCAACCATCAAGAGTGTCATTTAATTATGCATAGATCATTTCATCACTATTTCACAATTTAAAAGTCCTCATCCAACTCAAATTTGACTTTCCAATTTTAGTCACTCTCGTCTCTCACCCATTCTCTTGTTATTTTCATAAAACCAAAAATCAAACACTAGTATTAATCATCTCTCAACCTCCAATTCATCAAATTAAAGATTACCAATGACAAGAACTTGAGATGCCACCTCTCCTCCTTTCTCCTTATCCATATCCTAGGTCTAGGCAAACTCAAGACTCTTTGCTTACTCTCTCTATGCTAAATTAAACAATAAAATCTAATTTCTATTTTTATTTATTAATTGAAAAGGTAATTAATTTCGTATTTGATAATACTGATTGGGATACCGAAATACCGATTGGGATACCAAAATATTTAGGGATTGAAATTGGGATACCGAAATTATTTAGGGATTGTGATTGATTTTAGGGTGTAATTCGGTATTCGGGATTTCGGTATTTGGTATTGGGATACCGATACCGTACTTTTAGTGGGTACGGGTAAAACCCGAACCCGAATATTACGGGTAATGGGTGTGCATGATTTTCTCACTATCCAACACGAACTCGCTCGATTATACACATGAATATGTATTTTGTCTATAAATAATCATTATTTTTCTCTAACATATTTTATATTTAGCATATAAATATAATATTTTTCATGAAATCGAGTTGTGTTAATTAATTTTCTTCATTCTAGTGAATTATTGTCGTACTTTTCCTCTAACATAATGTGAGTATACGTGTAAATGTTAACATATCGGTTGGAGTTATAGGGATAAATTATTATCCATGGATAATCGTGGATACCCGAAACCCAAACGGGTATGGACATAGTTTTAATTTTCTACCCGTTTCTCGTGTGAGTATAAATATGGGTAAAACCCGAAATGGGTAGGGTATCCAAATGTGTAGTTCTTGATGAATGGGAAAACCCTCGTTGACCCTGGGACCCCATCAATGGTGAAGAGTTGCGTTGTCTTAAGGGGGGCGAAATAGGAAGACAGTTGAAAGACGAGTAGTTCTTTACAACTTAGTCCATATAAGGTTTTGACGAGTCGGGATATCCAAGTGATATGGGAACATAGGTGGATGTGGAAGGGAGCAGTACTAAGTTTTGCCCTACTTTGGTGACCACCTTTGATGACACATCGAAACCAGTGGTATCTAGATGTACTATTCGTGAACTTCAACTTATTACCTATCAAAGAAAATACTAACTTGACTGATTACAGTTTAGTAACTCACTAAGGTATGATTTTCCCTAGCCAATAGTAAATGATTTATGATTCTCAAACTTATTTCACCATTCATTCACAATGCAAAGAGTCTTTAACAAGTCTTGAATCTCAATTAAAGCAGACAATACCCTCTCTGCATATACTGCTTTGAGGGATATTATCCTCAACGAGGATAGAATACCGAGACAATTTAGAAGTAGACTCCCTCCATTTGAGTAATACTTTCACCTAATACAAAGCAATGAATAGACTCACTCTCAAACATTTGATCTCGATCTTCCAATCAATAGTGCTCTATCAACCTAATCAGGTATTACATCTCATAGGTCAAAGCCGAATCAATAATCTCAATTAAAGCACAATTGAACAGTAAACATGCATGGATTGAATATGAAATCGAGTTTAGCAAATAATAGTACTCATACAATCATCAAATCAAATAAACATGACTAGGGTTCTTCAGACCCGCGTGAAAGGAAGTGTACTCCATTGAGAGAGAAGATAATACATAAAATAAGATGATTGACTTCGTGATGATGGAAATATGCTATTGATCTTCAATCTCCTCTTATATACTTGTTCCTTGAGCTATAATGAGATTCACTCCCATGACTCTCTAGGATCGTTCTCCCTCTATAGGGTTCATCATTTGAGTATTTGGGGGTACAAGCCCCCCCCCCCCCCAAAGAAAACTTAATTTTACCCTTTAATCGAGTTGTCGCCGCACCCGAACACGACCCCAAACACAACAGTGTTTCGTGTATGTTTCGGACTCTGAGTCTGAGCACGCTCGTGCGCATGGCCATATTCAGCTCGCCAATGAATTTTCAACTCTGTTTCTTCAATTCTTTGCAATTTTTTGTCGTCTCGGGCACCTCCACCAACACCATTGATGCTCGCCATGTATCATTCGGGAAGATCAGGTTACTTGATTGACATGTGAATCAAGATTCTAGGTTCTATTAGGTCTTTGGCCATCACTAATTCAAGGAAGTCAAGAGGTGACATGCATTTACATAAACAATGGTGTTTCCCTAGTCTCATTTTACGAGGGCACGAAAAGAAGACGAGGAAGCACAATCTACTTCACTAAGAATGAGGTAAGAGAGCATCTTTTCGAAGAAATGGAAGAAAAACACTAGAACAAAGAGGGAATGATCCCGACCCATCATGTCGTGTGGTCTAGGCAGCTCGTAAAGGCCCGATTATTATGTGACCCTTTATTTATCAGCCACTCCCTTAAAAATTCACCAAAATTCCAAATACATAGTTTACAAGGTACCAAATAAATGTTTCGATATGATTGTTTGGATGGTGATAGGTTAGGCAAAAGGGATGGAGCTACAACAACTTACAAGAAAACTCGAATTGTTTAGGGCAAACTTAGAGCGAGTCATGTTGACTCAACACCAAGTAAGTATTTATAGTTTACAAGTAACCATCAATGTACCAAATGGACGCGATTACAAAAAACATATGAAATCGAGGGGTAATAGTAGGAATAAATTTTTTAGGGACTTCGATAACAACGATGATAAAGCTCGAGGACCAAAACTATATATAACCTAAATAAATTCGCAAATTTCAAAAAATGCAAGGACTCACTTGCAATTATAGATAATTTTTTTCCAATAATTACCCCTTGCATTTGACTTATTTCCAAAAGAGCGCCATCGCCCCAAAATTTAAATACGAACGAATTAGGTCGAACCACAGCTCCGCGAAATTTTCTTCCCTCCTCGTCCATCTTGTTGATTAACGATAGTAAGTCTCACTCTCCCTCCCTCTCTTTCAACTTTGGATTTCATGTTGAATTTCTGCCTGGCTGTATTCTTCAATTTTGAGTATCAACAGCCTTTGTTAATCCTGAATTTTGCGCGCAATTTGAGGTGTTCCGCCGCAAAAATCACTGATTCTCCTTGAGCTCCGTTACTTTCCAGGCTCCCATTTTGTGGGTTTTCTTCGTTTTGCATGCGTCTACCGCGTTGGTCCTGCAGTTCTATGGGTCGTTGGAGTTGAGTCTTAGATTTTGACCGTCTTCCCTCATGGGGGTTCAGGGTTTTCTTTGTGGCCCCTTGGATGGGGACGATTCGATGTTTGGGATTGGTTGGAACGGGTCAGGTTACGAATAATCTGTTCGTAATCTCTGAGTTTGTCAAGTGAACTTTGGCTGAAGCACTGGTGAAATTCTATCTTTCGTATTTGGGTTTTGGTAGTGGGTTCTGTTTCACTTCTTATATTTCTCTTCAGTTTGGGGTCAGAGCTTGATGTGTCAGAAACACTGGTATACCCGTATATGTTTTCTCCTGGAGGCATTGGTGTCAAGCCTTAAGTAGTGAATGGGTTCTTCAATTGGTTCTGTGTTTTCAGTTGGTCGGGGAAGATATTTTGTTCTCGTACCATGTCTTTCATTGTTTTGTGAGTTCCTATTTTCAAATGCATTTGTGATGTTGACCATGACTATAGTGAAGTCTTTAAAAGGTGTATTTTGCTTCATATTCTTCCTGGGTATTGGATTAGTTCTATTGTATCTATGATGGTCATATTGTCAGTCTCTGGAGCTGTTGATAGAGTCTCATTGACACCTGTATGAAAATATGCAGGGCATAGAGGTAGGTGGATGTGAGGGTTGTATAACTTGCTATCTTGTGTTGCTGTTGCTGGTTAGAGTGAGTTTCTAAATCAGCCTTCAACAGTGGAGTACCCTGGTGGCTATTGGAGTTAACTGATGGAGTGCAATAAAGAAGAGGCCATCAGGGCAAAAAATTTAGCCGAGACCAAGTTGCAAAACAAGGATTATATAGGGGCCCGGAAAATGGCTATCAAGGCTCAGCAGCTTTACACCAATTTGGATAACATTTCTCAGTTCTTGATTATCTGTGATGTACACTGTGCTGCTGAGCAGAAGATATTGGGGACCGAGATGGACTGGTATGGTATCCTTAAAATTGAGAGGACTGCTGATGACACCGCTATCAAGAAGCAGTACAAGAGGCTTGCTCTCCTACTTCATCCTGACAAAAATAAGTTCCCTGGTGCCGAAGCTGCCTTTAAGTTGATTGGTGAAGCACAAAGAGTTCTCTTAGATAAAGGGAAAAGGTCCTTACACGACTTGAAGTGCAGAGCTTCTGTGAGCAAACCAGCACCTTCATACAAGAATCCTCAGATGCCAACCTACAGCTCAACCTTTGGGGCTCCTAACAATATCAGGGCGAATGTTCCTGGCTTCAATCCACCACAACAGCAGAGGCCACTACAACAGCCAGCAGCAACTCAACATCAAGCAGGGTATGTTAATAACCGTCCAACCTTCTGGACTGCCTGTCCCTTTTGTCATTCAAGGTACCAGTACTATATGGATATCAAGGATAGGTCAGTTGTATGTCAGAATTGTCTTAAATCCTTTATAGCACATGAACGGAGTGCACAAGGGGTGCCAACAGCAAAAAAGTTCACACAGCCAGTGTTTCACCAACCGAAGGATGCTCCTCCTAAAAATGCTGCCAATGTGGGAGCTGGAACCCAGGGGAACACTAGTGGAGGGAAGTCTAAGGTGGCACATCAAAAGAAACCTAATGATGATGTGGTTGGTCGGGGGAAGGCAAATGGATCGAGACATAGGAAGAAAGATGATTTCATTGAAAGCTCAGATTCTGACAGCAGTAGCACCGATGAAGAAACAATAATGAAGGCTGCTGGTGATTTGGGAAGTTATAAGGAGCAGCCAAGGAGGTCTGTTCGAAGTAGACACCAGGTTTCCTACGAAGAAGAAAATCAAAGTGACGAGGAAGATCTTGCTACCCCTCGGAAAAAAGCAAAGTTTGCTACGGAGGAGGATGTTGGGAATGGTGTGGGGGAGGATATATCCGAGAAAGATATGCAGGGTTCTGAAGGGGCTGTAGCTGGAAACAAGAACAACTTGAATCCAGATGGCGTAGTGAATGAAGATGAGAAGATAAACCAGCCATCTGCTGTAGACACAGAGACGTTTGATCTTCCCGATCCAGAGTTCAATGACTTTGACCAACTCCGTGATAAGAAGGCTTTTAAATCCGGGCAGATATGGACTCTATATGACACCAGGTACGGGATGCCCAGGTTTCATGCTCGAATCAATAGAGTGTTTTCTAGTGGTTTCAAGCTGAAGATCAGATGGCTGGAACCTGAACCTGATGATGCTGATGAACGTGAATGGGCAAAAGCTGACCTGCCAGTTTGTTGTGGTAAGTTCAAATTTGGCAAAGATGAAGATGTTGAAGACCGTGAATTGTTTTCGCACCAAGCTAAGTGGGAGAAAGGCTCCCACCAACATAAGTACATAATACTTCCCAAAAAGGGAGAGATTTGGGCTCTGTTCAAGAACTGGGATATCAATTGGAAGTCCGAGATTCAGACCGATGAGAATCATCGAGAGTTTGAGTATGATTTTGTTGAAGTGTTGTCCGACTTCAGTTATGATGATGTGGGTGTCTCGGTAGTGTACTTGGGGAAGTTGAAGGGCTTTGTAAGTCTCTTTTGCCGAATCAGCAACAAACCTGTCCAGATCAAGCCAAGCGAGTTGTTTCGATTCTCCCACCTGGTGCCATCCTTTACCATGACAGGTGAAGAGAGAAAAGATGTACCCAAGGGTTCATTTGAGCTTGATACAGCTTCTCTCCCAGAGAAAATGGAAGAAATTGATGTTCCTGAAATCTCTGAATGCCAGGAGGACGGTGCTAGCGAAGTGAAACCAGAAGTGGCAAGCTCTCCTGCTCCGGAGATCAAGATCAATGATGCTCATGATGATGTTGGAGTTAACGAGGCTGAAGATCCTGGTTCTCCACTTGCAACAGATCAAGAAATCCTGGACCCAGAGTTCTTCAATTTCGATGATGAGAAAGCAATAGAGAAGTTCAAATCTGGTCAGATCTGGTCCTTGTACAGTGACGAGGACAGTTTGCCCAAGTACTATGCACGAGTTACCCGGGTCACCAAAGGCAAATCAGTCCGTTTTCACGTTAACTGGCTTGAATCTGCTCAGTTACCAACTGGGTCAATTCAGTGGGCTGATACGGAAATGCCCATTTCTTGCGGAAGATTCAAGGTCATTAAGGGCAGTAACGCACATATAAGCTACGACTCAACTGGACCCTTTTCTCACCTGGTGAATGCAGAACCAGCTGGCAAAGCAAACGAGTACAACATTCTCCCCGCAAAAGGTGAGATTTGGGCACTTTACAGAAACTGGTCTCACTCAATTCTGAAGTCCGAGTTAGCGACCTGTGATTATGATGTGGTGGAAGTCGTTGAGAGAGATGATCTGCAGATCAGAGTCTTGCATTTGGAGCGCGTGAAAGGTTTCAACTCGGTTTTCAGAGCTAGAGCAGACAGGGGACGATCAGCTGCTGTGGTGGTGAAGATGTCCGAGTTGCTTCGGTTCTCTCACCAGATCCCTGCTCACCGCCTAACAAACGAGGGAGGTGGCAGCTTGAGGGGGTTCTGGGAGCTTGATTCAGGAGCATTGCCAGTTCGGTATTTTAATTGACAGCATTTCACCGAGTCACCTGAATGTTCAGCAATGCTGGCAAGGGATGGTTTCTGATCAAAGAGGCTCAAGGCTGCCGGCTTTCGTTTTAGGGTTGTTCTCGGCTTTCCAGTTTAAACTAAATTATGTATCATCTGTTTTCATTGTCGACCTTCTAATTTGTGGCTGTAGTTGGACTATTAGATGGACGTGCAGAGATCACCCATGAATAGTGTACTTTGTTTTGTAGTCTGGAAAGCCTCTGGCAGATTTTCTGTTTGGTGAAATGAAAATGGATAGCAGGTTCACTATCAAGAGTAGTTAGCAGCACTGGTATCTTCATGCATACATATAATATACTTGCATTTATAACAGAGTTAACAGTACAAAAAAAATCCTCCAACTCTGCAAAATAGCAGCTGAACAGAAAAACAATATTTAATTGGGGCATTCCGAGAATTGAACTCGGGACCTCTCGCACCCTAAGCGAGAATCATACCACTAGACCAAATGCCCTTGTGATGATACCTTTAAGGTCTGTTATTTTATCTAACTACTGGAATTTTTACTGGCCAAATTTCCCTCCAAAAAACGCGCCACCCGACCCATCTGCCTGTTTTTCTCTCTCTCTCCAGCTCCACTTCCGCAAAAGCCTGTGGTTTCTCACTCCACTAGCTCCCTTCCCGCGGCGGCAATTGTTCTTCTTCTGGACTGAAATCGCGGCGCTACTCTTCTTCCTCTCCGTTCTTCCTTGTAGAGTTGCTGATTGTATTCTATTCAATTTCGAGGCGAACTGAGGGGGTTAAAAGAAATGGTTTCCATTGGCGATGACGGCGGAGGTGCGGTCCGACCAGCGGATGACTATTCGAGCGCCGATTTCCCCGCCGGTGATACTCAGCCTTTGGATTCTCAACGCTTTCCGCCTTCCTCGCCAGGTAATCGCTGATAACTGACTGCATAGCATCCTTTTTTGCGAAGCTTTGTTCTTCGTGGAGCGGTCGATTTAGGGTAAAAGAACAGTTCGTTTGTATCCGATTCTTTACGATGGAGATTCGACACTCCAAATTGAAGGATTTATTCGTTGGAGAAACAATGAGAAGCAAGTCTGATTTTATGTAGGACCGACCTGGTCATGAACATAGATAGTGATCTGATTTGTTATCTTTTAGGGGTTTTGTTTTCACTTGTGCTGGGGAAAATGATTTATCAGGCAAAAAAGGTGGCTATGATGATGACGATGACAATGACTTGTATACGGAGACAAGAAAGGTTTCGTTTGATGATACTGTTCCAGTTGAAGATGTTTTCGAGACCCAAGTTGTAAACTACGGGGGTGAAACACAAGTATTGGATGACGATGATCTAGATTTCCTTGGGAGTACAAGCACTCAGAGGATTGATGAGTGCAGTGATCAAGTGTCTCTCGATAGCGACGGTGAAGGTACTGACACAACTGAAGTTCTAGAAAGTAATGATGAGCTCTCTGATGATGAATTTGGGAGAGGAGGAAAGCTTGAAGAATTGATGGGGGAGAAGTGTGTGAATCAAGCAAATGCTTTGTGCAACCAGAAGCCCAGTTCAGGTGAGTGTTTCTGAAGCGTGAGATCTTTTTTTGAGTTTTGGTTCACAGTCGAAACAAAATCTTTCCGTCTTGTCATGGGCTCGATTTCCTAAGTTACATGCCTTCCATTATGGATATTCTCCTTTTTGTCATTCTAGATATGTTGGATCAACTAGGTTAAGCAATAAGCTGCAGACTAATTGTGCATGTATCTCTCGTGGGTTCTAAATGTATCTGACTGAAGTGTTTGCTCAAGTGACTCATGCTTTTGTTAAATCTGGTCTTCAGAAGGTTGCTTCGGATGTCTGTTACATCAATAGGTTGGGTTAGCTAAAAATAATCTCGGAAAATTATGTCCATTCTAGAAGGCTTGTGGATGCTTTCTGAAGCTATGATAATCAGGAACTTTTCTGTATATTTCTAGCATAATCTTTCAAACATTTATTTACATGAGTGCCATTCTAGAAGGCTTGTGGATGCTTTCTGAAGCTATGATAATCAGGAACTTTTCTGTATATTTCTAGCATAATCTTTCAAACATTTATTTACATGAGTGCCATATATTCCTACTAATGGCTCTCTATTCTTCTTCCAGAATCTGTCCCACTTTCCTCTGAGCATATAGCTTCTGGAAATAACATTTTGAGAATAAGTGGTTGTAATGAAACGATTTGGGAATCTAAGACAGGACAAAACATTTCCCAAGAGAAGGAACTGGAGAATGGAACCAAGTCCAAGGTTGATTCATCTATAGTGAGAAGACTGTTCTCTACTGATTCCGTTGCTAAAGATGGTGATATCTGTCATCCTAGTAGCATCCCCGGTGGAGTAGAAGAAATTGCACGGTCCACTATTGATGATGAGTTTTCAAGATTAAGTTATATAGACTCACAAGAACCGGGCGATGCATCACAAGCTGATGCACTCGCAGTTGTCGAAAGGTTAATTGAGGAGACCAAATCCTCATTCGATTTTGAGGTTAATCTGGGAAACACTTGTGGGAGAATATCCGATTGTGTATCAGCTGCCAAAGGCCCACAAAGTTTGGCCCAGAAAACCCTCAAAAGAAGCATTCAAGTAGAAGCTGGGATCTTTGACTGGGATGACGGGCTGGAAGATGAGGGAGGTGGAGATATTTTCATTAGAAGAAAAGACGATTTCCTTGGTGTCAGGTCGTTGTCAACTAACCCCAAGGGCAGATTAAACCCACAGAAGGGAAATCGAGGGAATTTTGAAGTTGAGAATAAGGTGACTACTGTACAGTCTGATTCCAAATTAGTAGTTCAGAAGTTCAAGGTACCCGAAAGTAAAACTAGGAGAATTCCGAAGAACACCAGAAAAGATCTTCTGAATGAGTTTCATGACCAGGCTAATAGGAAGAAACCAACCGGACCTCCTGAAGACATCGCTTTTGATCCAGAATTTCCCGATGTTGGATTGGGAACCCAATTAGCTGCTGAGGCCATGGAGGAATTGCTGAACGGGGACCCAGTTCCGGACTTTGATGGTAATGATGCCAAGGAAAATCATTCTGTGCAACAGTCTCCAATAAGAATAGCTAAAAGGCTGGTTTCTTCAAAACGACGTGCTTCTTGTGACACCTCTGAGATTCGAGTTGACACAAGACAGTCAAAGAAACGAAAGACCCAGTCAAAAGTTGCTGATGCCATGGAATCCAAGGAAGAACAAGGTTCTCCAATAAGAAAAGCTAAAAGGATAGTGTCTTCAAAGAAATGTGCTCCTAAAGACCATTATGACATTGGAGTTCGCACAAGGCAGTCAAAGAAAAGGAAGACCCAGTTAGCTGGTGATACTCCAGAGACTCTTGATGTAGGATTAGATACCCAGTTAGCTGCTGATGCCATGGAAGCGTTACTAAATGGGGATCCTATCTCTGACTGTGATGGTAAGGATGGCAAGGAAGAACACTCTCTTCAACATTCCCCTATTAGAAAAGCTGAAAGGAGAGCTTCTTCAAAACAATTTGCTTCTGATGACAATTCTGATATTGGAGTCGACACAAGGAAGTCAAATATAAGAAAGAAGAACAATGCTAAGAAGGTTAACTTGGAGTGTGATGCAGGTCCAGTAATGATGACTAGAAGGAGAGTGAAATCTCATGCTGCGGAAGGTTCAAGTTCTTGTGGCCAGAAAACCATGGAAAAGCTTCCCTCTAGGACTAGAGCGCCCGAAAGCAAAGGGGCTGCTTTAAGGAGAGGTCGGTCAGCTAAAAATTATCACTCACCTGAGGAGCATGCTGATCATACTACAATAGCCCATCAGTCTAGTAAATCCAATTTGGTCTCTTTGTTGGAAACTGCTGATAGTAGACATGCTGATGTCAGTGAAGACAAGGATGGTGCATGGGAAGAAGTGTGTGGCCATGAACAGACTCCTGCTGAAGCCTTGAACTCTGGCGGGAAAACTTCAGAACTGACTTCCAGCAAACCAACAAAACCAAACCGTCTCCAATCAAAGTTGACAGCATTGACTCATGATATCAGTTTTCCCAGAAAACGAAGATCAGAAAGGAACTTCTTAGAGCAGCCCAAAGGCAAGGAGTCAAATGATGAAGCTAGGGCAAAGTTTGCTAAATCAAGTGATGGTGATACTGATAGTACTCTGTTGGCTGAGAAAGAAGTGAATGTAGTAACGCCTGACAAGTTATTGAGGGGAATAGTAAGCCCGCCTTCGGTTTCAGCTGCTGCTTCACCATTAGGCTCGCTGACCACTACTAATACAACTACTACAAATGCTGCATCACCTATTTGTATGGGAAATGGATTGTCCAAGAAGAAACTGGATACATCTTCAATGAAGAGGGAAATCAATAGCTTATTCTCCATGGACCCAGAACCTATTTCTGAAGAAAAAGGTTCGAGAAAGAGGAGAGATTTGGCTGATATCCGAGTCCTTTTCAGTCACCACCTTAATGAGAATGTCATCAAGCGTCAGAAAAAGGTACAGGCTGTGATTATTTTAGGTTTTGCTTGAAAAAGTGACATTTTTTTTTATGTTGTAGGCTCCACGAGCTCATTTAACTGATCTAGTTAGATAGTTTATAATAAGAAATTGCCTCTTATGTTGTATTACAGATTGTGGATCGTTTAAAAGTTCCAATCGCCTCATCTATTCTCGATGCAACACACTTTGTTACGGATAGGTTTGTTCGCACGAGGAATATGTTGGAATCCATTGCTGCTGGGAAACCAGTGGTGACACCCTTGTGGCTTGAGCATATCGGACGAGCCAAATGCTACATTGATGAGCAGAAGTACATAATGAAGGATGTCAAAAAGGAAAAGGAGATAGGGTTCAACATGGCGGCGTCACTAGAACATGCACGTCAGCATCAACTCCTCCAGGTGACAAACTATTTTCTTCCTCTGGGATAGTCTTGTTATATACTGGTTGGCAGCTGTTTGCTGAACTAGCAGTTGTTTAGCAGGGCCGAAAAGTTTTGATCACCCAAAATGCCAAGCCCAGTCAAGAGATTGTATCTTCCCTGGTTAAAGCAGCTCATGGTCAAGTACGTACTCTGTCTTTGCATGGTATTACTTAGTTGCCACGATAATCTGTTCGCAAAAACTTTTGTTTTGGACCTTCTGATGCTTTCCAGTTCTGCTTATCCTTGCATCTCAAGCAATAAGAATCCAATCACCAAAAAATGAAACCTCTGTTTTTTTCAATAACGTTTGGGTTAGTTTGGTCAAGCCGGTCTAGATGGAAACCAACAATCATCATCTAACTAAAAAGAAAGAAGCTGCGAGACCTGATATTGGCTGGAGAAAAATTTAGTAAAATTAGAGGTAACAATATAGAAACACAACACCCCAAAACTGGCAAGAAGTATAACCATTCACATTTGTTCGATTAATGGTGTTACTAACTCAATAGATCCCTTATGACGGATACTAGAACTTGAAAACATATTAGGATGGACAAGAAAAGCTTAAATATTAATAAGCTAGCTTTAGTGGAGGGAGATATGGATTCTTAGGGTTGGTGGTTGATGAATAGAGAATAATGGGTCAGTTTGGGGCTGTTCAGATTATCACCGTAGTTAAAATTGTACTCCAGAATCCCACTATCACCCCTGCCTGTAAACCTTCATTTGGCCGGTTAGTTTCGTGGGTCTGGTTTCGGTTAGCTTTGTTCATCCCTTAACTTCTGGTGCTGTCTTTCTTATGATGTATGTTCCGCATTCGTTTTCAGCCGATCGAGAGAGTTGGAAGATCTGCTCTGAAGGACGACACACTCATCGATGACCTGTTGGTTCTATCTTGTGACGAAGATTACGAAGTCTGCATTCCTTTCCTTGAGAGAGGTACAGCCATACCTCTACTATGCCTGCTATCTCATACTTGCAGGGAAACAAACGATTTCAGATGTTCAATAGAATTACTGTCACACGTTTTCGTTGTGTGCTTCCAGGGGCTGCTGTCTACGGTTCAGAGCTGCTCCTGAATGGAATCGTTACGAGGAAACTAGAATACGACAGGTAAGTCAGTTTCCCTCTTCTTCCGCACCATTTTGCCAGTGAGAAATGCTTTCTGGAGATTGGAGTTAACTGGTTTCTTTCTTATGCTTGCTAAACAGGCATAGGCTCTTTTTGGATCATGTGAAGAGAACCCGATCTACTATATGGGTTAAAAAAGATGGCCATAGTTTCACTCCTGTTGTGAAGAACAAGTAAATCCAAGGTCTCTCTATCTCTCTCTCTCATCTTTTCTTCTTCCTTTTCTTCCTCTTACTTTCCCTGTGTTGGAGCTTGTAATTCCTGTTTCTGTTCGTGTCCTACTGTAAATTTTGGTGGATTCTCTGATCCTTAGTAAAATGCAATAAAGGTGCCCATTTTCCCCAAAGAAAAAAAAAAAAAAACAGTGATATCGGTATTTGTTTCTCATGGTTCCACCTTTGTTAGTTGTTACTGAATTTTGGACTAATATGCTAACGTGATAGTTGGATTATTACATATTTTGCCACGAAAATCAAGTGAAAATCAAGAGAATGACTATATCTATTAAGTACCTGTCCTAATGTCCGATAACCCGTTTTCGGAAGTAATCGCATGATCTTTTTTAATATGGAGACTTCAAACACCAAATCTTTTTGTCTGGAATGAATGGCAACAAGATGTCGACTGAATCGTAAGCATATTCATTCTCTTCTTTTAGCTTGTTTACAAGCACTAATTTACATCAAGGTTAACAGAAAAAACAAACCAGCTCTAACGCCATTGGCTCCCACATGAATTGTGGTATATAGTATAGTGAGAAAAAAAAAACACCATTAGGGAATGAATACAAATGAAATAATACCCTTTTGTAACATTGCTTTCTATACTGTTTTGTCTTCCAAAAAGCATCCAATGGTAGCACTGAACTGGCACCAACAAACTCTAGCTGATTGCTTCTATAAGATGGATGAATCTGAACTGAAAATCTACAGTTATCCTCCAAAACCTCTAGATGTCATTGTGAGTCGGAGTAGTGCAATGCCTAGCCAAGATGTTGATGCCCATGGCAAACACCATACCGATAACTGAACCCAGCATTATGGAGTACACTGGTTCCACGTTTAGCTGCCCACAAAAAAAAAAAAAAAAAAACAAACCCAAAACCAGAAGAGCTTAGTGACTTAAACTAGCTAATAATCGGAGTTGTTATCGAAATCTCATGTTAGAGGAGGCACGAGTGTGCTCACCATGATGGAAGAGAGGTGGATTATCACGGACACGAGCGCGAACTCTAGTACTGCATATTTCCATACTTGCTCTTTCACTCCTATATAAAGTTTTTCGAAATTGTTCAGATATACAATACATCTAAGATCTAATACAATTTTCTCTCTAGTGGAATGAGATATGATTGAGTTTTTATTGGTTATAACTAAATTAAGTTAGAAGATAGTTGCACTGTATTTGGAGTTCAAAGTGCCAATGTTGTCATAACCGAATCGGAGCATGACCCGGTAATGCAAACGGCTTGCATTTTAGTGGTCCAACCGGTATTAGACCGTTTTAAAACCGTTAGAGAACCGGTACCTAATAAACGTTATCAGTATAAATAGTGGACATTTATTAATCAGAGCTCATCTCTTTCCTTTGAAATTGTGAAATGGAAATAAGGATTCAGTTTGAGAGCCCTACGTTTTTTGTTTATTTCAAATTATCAATTTTCTGCAATTTTTTTAATTAAATTTAGTTGTTGAATGGCAAAAACCGGACCAGCGGCTCAATCGGCTCGAACGGTTAACCGCTCGGCCGCTCGCCAACCGCTACATAAAACCGGAGCGACTTTTAGACTGTTTCGAGCCGGTTTTATGACCGGGAGGCGGTTTTACCGGTCGGACCGAGCGGCTCGGCTCGGCTTTAATAACACTAGTTCAAACTATAGATAAAGAAGCCAGCCAGCGTGACAGATATAATAAGCTACAATAAGTTCAGATTTAAGCTTAAAAAAATATTTTTCAAGCAAACCGTGAAACTGCTCATAAGCGGCTCGGATTATTAGCAGTAGGGGTGGAAATCGGTACGGTATCGGTATTTCGATACTAAATACCGAAATCCCGAATACCGAATTACACCCTAAAGTCAAATCCCAATCCCAATCGGTACTTCGGTATCCCAATCGGTATTATCGAATACGAAATTAATTACCTTTATAATTAATAATTAAATATATAAATTAGATTTTATTATTTAATTTAGGAAAAAAAAGACTAAGCAAAGAGTCTTGAATTAGGATATTATTAAGGAGGATGGAGGAGAGGAGACATTTCAAGTTCTTGTCATTGGTAATCTTTAATTTGACGAATTGGAGGTTGGAAGACGACTATTAATAGTGATGGAATGATCTATGTATAATTAAATGACACTTTTGGTGGTTGAGGGTCGTGTAGTAGTGAATGAGAGAGTCTAGTTGAGAAGATAAAATACACACTAGCTTATATTTCGGTATTGATCGGTATATACCGATCCCTATCCCGTAATCCCTAATACTGAATAACAAATGAAATTCAATCCCAATCCCAAAAAATAATTCGTGTATTTGGTAATACCAAACATAGACAAATTCGGTACGGTATTCGGTATATCCCAAATACGAGCACCAAACTTCCAGCCCTAATTAGCAGGTGTCAGAAATATATTTCTTTGGGAATTTCTATTATTATATTAGGTAGGATAATTATAATTATGGTTAGTAGAGATTTAGTCGTATTAGGATTATTATTAGGGGTTTTTCAGTATTTCCCTATAAATATGTACTTTGAGTTTACATCATAATCAGTCAAGAAGAATATTAAGCAAAGTCTCCTAACCTCTAATCTCTCTCAACTCCTAATTTATGGTCTCATCCTAGTCCAAGGCCTCGGCCGATTCCCAACTCTATTCTTTCTCATCTAAATTCCTAATTCTTAATCTCAATCCCTAAATCCCTAATTATCACGAGTGTTGAAGATCAGTATTGAGAATCCCTAGAAGTGGAATTCTCACGGCAGGCCTAATCTCAAAAGTCTAAGTTTTTTTTTTTTTTTGGAGCCGGGTACTAATTTGGAAGTTTACCATGAGGATCAAAATTTTTTCTTTGACAAACGTACCTAGGATGACTGCAAAGATTGATGCCAGAATCCCCAAGCCAAAAGCAAATGGAGCTGCAATTGAGAGCCCACGAGACGTCTTCTCTTGAACCTTCAGAAATATTTCAGAAACATCATCGGATTTGAAGCCAGTTCCATTTTGCATCCTGAACTTTATGGAATTGTACAATGTTTCATACCAGTAGAAGCTCCAGGACGACGAAGTACCCTATCGTGCTCATCAGCACCAGGCACAGAAACTCCTGCACTGAACTGCAAAGTTCGAAACTTTAAGCAGAACCCAGAAAGAAAAAGCCGCCATTGGAAGGAGAAGAGGCTCAGTAGGTGGCTTTAGCTCTTACCTTTTTTCATTCATCGCCCAGTTCTGGGTATCTAGGTCCTCGGTTTCTTCTTCGGTCTTCACCGGGCTGTCTTCCCGAAACTCGATCACCGGCAAATTGGTAACCTCCTGATCGCATATCTCGCAGATTTTGTTCCCTTTTGTCCTGAACCAACTCACCGCGCAAGCTTCGTGCACCAGCCTGAGGTCGCCTTTGCAACTGCACGCCATTTTCATTTTGATCCCTTCCCTCATCGTGTCTAGACAGATCCTGCAGATCCCGGCTTCGTCGTCTTCGGAAAATTTTCTGTCGTGGCCGCTGTCGATGACGATCGTTGGGAACTTTGGATCTGAATTCATTGGAAGGGGGAAATATGAATTCATTGGAAGGTAGAAAGCACGGAAGCTGTTTGCGAAAATGCGTCATTGAACAACTGCGTTGCACGCAAGGTGTTTGTGGAAATGCGTGGCTGACCTTTGGAAGGATCGACGAGGAGCTGCTGGTCTTTCTGGGTGGACGGCCGGCGTTCTGAGCCTGGTGCCGAGATGTAGATAGAAGGGCGAGATGGAGCCGTGGGTGTGGCGGGAAGCGATTTGCATTCTCGCCAGCAGAGCTCTGCCACGGATGATTGTCTGTTCTTGGTTGGACTGTCCGGAGGAGCTGTGGAGTGTGAACTGAGGCAGAAGCTCCTCCGTCCACCACCGCCGCCGCGGTCGAATATGGAGCTGTTGATCTTGACCCGCAAGCTGTGGCAGTGGAGTATGGCTTTCCCAATGCAGCTGTCAGCATAACAAGGTGCTGGTCCAATTGGGATCTCGATCGAAAGATTCGAGCTTTTGCTGCGCCCTGAAACTTTCACGTCCGAGATCGGCCACCCATTTTCCAGATCAACCTGACAGAATTACGAAACCTGAGGATGATCATCTTAAGGAAATCCTGGACATTTGGTTCAATGAATCAATGTATAACCGAACGGAATAACTGGGTTGATTGAACGTTGATTGTGTCGAACCAGATCAAAGGTACTACTACTTCAATACTTCTCAGTTTAGTGTCATTGAACTTTTCAGGTCACAAGATTGGGTTCTCAATACACAGAGATTCACCCACTAGATGGAGAAGCCAACAACTTGGCTGATTGATCACCAGTTGAATCAAACCAGATCACGACACCACGAGATCAGAAGACGAACCTGGACATCTGAAGCTGCTTCTACATCAGCATCAGAACCTTGCATCTGTAAGCTTTTCTTCTCTTCCCTTCCCTGACAACAAACTTGAGAGAGCTTGAAATCTCTGAGAAATGGGTTCTCGGTTTTCACTTTGCTGAAACAGAACCTGAGAGACATTGGCAGTTACCATCAGGTGTTTGTTCTGGAAGGAAACACCATATGAACAAATGGCAGAATTATCAGCCGGAAGAAGAATCAAGTAGGTAGATTACACACAGCAGCGCCTTGAGCCGAAGTGGGGGGTTAATTCGGGCTCCAATCAACGACGATATTTGGATCTTCTCGAGCAGCAAGCACTAAGAGACAAGGTCAGTGAAATTAGATTAATGGAGTTATTGGATTGGAAGAGTTCAAGTGCCATAGGACATTACCAATTCTTCCCGACATTATTATATGTTTTGTGGTAATAAGGAAAAGCTGATGAATGTCGTATTATCCGTATGTTCTGTCACAAAGTGTGTGACTCGGACAAACCCAGAAAAAGAAGCCTTGTGTGACGGTGTTTCGTGTTATGTTCTTTAATTATGGAGAAGTTCTATCCAGTCATTTGCGCCTCTGCCGACACCGAACCAGTTCGATCTTCCTCAGTCTCTCAAGATTGTGTTAGTGGATGTGGTTAATGACGAGACCGAATTTGCTTACCAAGATTCAATACATGATACATCTTTTCCACGAATTTACGAATTGCTAATTAGTAGGTACACTAGTGAGTTTGTGGATGAGATGTATGAATCTCGCTGAAAATTACGAAATGATAAATGAAATGTAAAAATTCGGATCCATGAATTCTGATTAGAGTAACGGTATAATTAAGAAACGACAAAGACTTGAAGCTAACCGTCCTTTTATCGCATGAAAACAAAATCGAGTACATTGGAGATGGTACTCGCAGAATAAGCAATCAAGATGGGCTCTTTGGGATCTTATGGAAGACAATAACGGAAATTGTATGAACATGTCCTATTGTCCTTGCAAGAAAACAAAAAGGAGAAAGATCCACAATGGTATTAGAAAAAAGTACGAGCGAAAAAAGACAAATACATGAATTTTGTTTCTTTCATTGAAAAAATACATAGATTTGGAAAGGGTTAAAGAAAAATAAGCTTAATTAACTTCCTTTATTTAAAACTTGGTTCACATTTCTCGAAATTCTGGAACTTGGTCCACCATAGTTAGAAACTTAGATTAAGACTAACTACCACACCGCATTGAAGCTATGAAATTATATCGTCAACAAGGGCCACTCATTTGTCGTAGGCTTTCAAGCTATAGATAAGCAGAACTCAGTGCTCAAGTTTTGACTTTTATACGACACAACTAATATTGTTCAATCTCGTTTTATTTAAGTGCCAAGTAGGAGCACCTTTTAGCGTTTTTTTTTCTTTAAAAAGAAGAAGCTATAAGATTATAATTTGTGGACAGTTTCTTTTATGAATATATAATTTATGGACAATCACGCCTTGAAGTTTCAAGTGTAATGTCTCATGATTCATGAATAAGTTTGAATCAATCTAAGAGTCATTGGTCTTTGTTTGATACATGTGTTTGAAAATTTTGGTATCGATCAAATCAGGTCCCAATTCAGGCAACAAGCATATATTTCTCGGCCGAAAAAATATATATGGAATTCATAAAGAAAGAATAGGTTGAATATTCCGTCACTAATTAGTAATTACATCCGATAAAACAATTACAGTTGTGGTCGCATTTTACCACACTATATCTCCAAGCCCAGAAACTGGAAACCCCTTACCAGTCTGTAAGGCTATACACAACGCCACTTCCCAGTTAGCACCAGCCATTTCCCTTTGCTACCATCCACCACTTCCCATCAGATTTCAAAACCGCAAATGCCAGGGAACTCAACAAGTCCAAGTCACACCGCGGAAGCATTGAAGACAGCGTTACGAGCAGCTTCAGCTCGCCAGACGAAGTACTGAACGTACAACGAGTTGAGGCTCATAGCCGCTGCAAACCCGAAAACTGCTGCTAGAAGTATGGCATAGATAGCATCCAGATCGAGCTGTCAGAAACAACCACAACCCGACCTGAATTAATTTGTTACAAGATAAATGCAAATAGGGGTATGTTCGGTGCTTGATAGATTAACTCTTGTATGTTATATTAGTTCCTAGATAATAACAGGGTTACTTACAGCGGAGTAGAAAAGGTGAAGGGTCACAGCTACCAGTGCAAACTCGAGTGCAGCGTACGTCCATATGAATTCCCTGATCGCTGCAAAGTTTCGTGCAAGCATCTCCTTTGTTAAGAATTGGAGATTGATTTGATCACATTCAATTGTGTACTGAGGTTCAGATGGCTGTACCTAGGATAACTGCAAATATCGATGCCATGACGCCTAAAGCAAATGCAAATGGTGCTGCAATCACGATTGCCTGTGTCTTCATGTCCTGGATCTACCAAAATGCCAATCCTTTACTAAAGACACTGAATTGGTGATAAAGATGTATGTAACAGTGAAGTGAATTTGTGTATAAGACATAGCGAAGTAAGCATACTAGTAACTGTTCCAGGAAGAAGAAGTAGCATATCGTGCTAATCAGGACGAGCACAACAAAGTCCTGCCAGGCACTGCAGCAGAATCCCATAAACGGGGAGACAAGGGTTCAGTAAAAAAAAACAAGCTGATAAGGGGTTTGTGCATTTGACAGAACCCTGAAGTTCGTACCTTATTTGTTGAGCCCTCAAGCTCTGGCCACCACCAGGTGACTCCCTGCCATTGAACTGGGCACAGCTCGTTACTCGGAACAAGATCACAGGTAAGTTCTTGACTTCCTGACGACAGACTTCACAGTTCTTGTTACCTTTGGTGCTGAACCACTTGACAGCACATGCTTCGTGTACGAGTCGGAGATCACCCTTGCATCCACATTCCATTTTGAGAGTGTTTCCTTCTTCACACGCATCAAGGCAGATCCTGCACACCGCTTCCTCTTCTGGTATGTGTTCATCATCATCTCCCTCATTGGACTCCGAAGTTTTTTGTGCTGCAAGTGTATAAAATCGTTCATTCATGTCTGAAAGACTTATGTTCCCTTCTAAGCTTCTCAGTTCTGGGAATCAACTAGTTATACTTATTTCTATGTTCAGAAGACATTTTGAAGGCCACAAATGCTCGAACTCGCAGCTATGAAGTTTGAGAAGGTTGAAATCTATGGAACTGGAGGAAGATAGAACATTATGCGATATTGACATACCATTAGATGAGTCTCTAGGGGTTTGCTGCCTCGGAGCAGCAAAGGATGTAGACCGTACAATGACAAAGTTTCGCCCAGGAACAGAAAGAGACCTTGAAACTACAACATTCTGTGAAAAAAGGAAGAGGAAAACAAAGAATCCCCTTAACCAAGTTGTTCTCCTCTACATGACAATATAACCATGGTCGAAGATCACACAATGTTTAATGCCTAACTATGACTAAGATAACAAAAGTAGACACATTGCAGCACTGTAGAGAGCTGAATTTACCTCTGAGTCACGAACTTCCCAGGGAAATCGAGCTGAAGTAGGCGTTTGAACTGCGACCGTGGGAGACAAAGCTGAAGCAGGTGGAAGTGATATGCATCTGGAAAATGCAGACTTGATATTGGCAATGATAGGACTAACTGGAGGTTGTTGTGAATTGGTTTCTGAGTTGAGCAGAGAGCTCCTCTCACCCTCAGGCCCACCGCCATTTCTCTTCTTGAAGCTTAATGCCCTCAGCAAGCCTCGTCTCGATGATGATGACGACGAGCCAGCAGTTTGAGAGTTCATCAATCCTTTCCCAAATCGATTAGCTCCAAAACCTACTGGTCTAGGTGGTATATTAAGAGAAAGATCAGCTTTCCGAATGGTTGGTCCTGCCCTATTAACTTCATCACTCGATGGTCTGCCATTGCCCATATCACCCTACAATGTGGGAATCAAAGTGATGTTATAAACAACTGTTGAAGTATGGGCTTCATCCAATGTGGACAACATCAAGATGAAGAAAAACAGTAAGACAAAAGGGGTCCAAAATTTTAGGGTTCATTATAGGAATAGTTCATCCAGCTCCGCATCATTTTTCTCCTAAAAGGGATCATGCCACCATATTCAACTAAAAATCATTCAAATTGCTCTCCAGTACAGTTCAAATATCTTCTTCTGGGGTTAAAATGGGTCATCCCAAACTGGATAAAGTTCCAATAACCAAAACACCAGACAAACTGATAGCAGAGATTTTGATGGGGGAAATGAAAAAGTTGGTAACTTTTCCAAATGGGTATCGAGAAAACCCCCTCATTTTTGGGCCCTTGCTCAATATGGGGGAAAAGCACGAGAACAGATTCATTTATTTGAAAAGGAAAAAAGCACAAGGTCAAGAGAGAAAAGTGAGATCAACATCTAGCTCAAAAGGGGATGAAAGACAACCACTTGAACTGTGAACGGAAGAAAGAGAAATGAAAGAATCAACGAGGGAACAGTTGAACAAAAACCTGTGAATAAGAAGATGATGACGACGATGATGAAGCCTGAGGATCTCCAACTCCATTACCGCCTACATCCTGAGACTGAGCTTGCATACTTCGTTTTTCGCCAGGTCCCGAGACAATTTTCTGCAGGGGAAATGAATCTCCAGAAGAATTGATAATCTCTAATCATCAAATTACTACCTGGCAGTACACTTATCAGTACCCGAAAAGAGGAAAGAAAGAGAAATAAGCAAGTCAGGACAACTTTGCACTAACCCACAAGACTACAAGGGCTGTTAGACCAGAAAGGAAATTGCAAATTTCCCCACTGTAGAAAACTTGGAAAAGAAGGGACCTTTAAGCCTAAACAACAACTGGGTTTATGACTTCTTTATGACCCAGTTTCTCAAACAAATGTTAAACTTGATTTCTTGTTCTGGGAAAACTGGTTGGTTAGATGGGAAGGTGGGAGACAAACAAACTCCTGCCTTTAGTTTATTCTTTGGCTTTGCTTTGTGGCCTTGAGTTTATAGAATTGTTTGTTAATCATTATTATACAAGTAATTTAGGTTCATTCCGCCGTCTCATTATAGCAGCCGGAGTTACTCCTAGTTCATACAAAGGCACACATTAGAATAATGAGGAATGCAAGTACAAACTTAGAAAGGTGAGTCTCTCTCTCAAGGGTTGTTTGATTCTTTATTTTCTGTGTTTGGAAGGGTAGGTTAAGCCAAAGGTACCATGGCCGGAAATGTAATGTGGGGATTCCTACTATTATGGAAATGGATAGTTGTCAAGATTTTTATATTGATGTGTCTCCATGATAATATGCCTAGTTGTATATTGCTATCAATGTTTTGATGATTCTTGACATAATGGGTATCTTGGGACAATTTACAAGTCAAGAGATATTCAAATAATCAACTTGTGTTTAAAAAACTGAAATAGTTTAATTTAGAAGCTGTATGACTCTTTTAAATGTTTTTCATTTGTACTCTTGATGATTGAATTTGGAAGATTTTTGTGCATATATGCACTGTATTAGTGCTCATAATTTTTGTTTCAATTACACGAGTTTGGTGAACATAATAAGTTGTTACAAACCGATATATGGATTGACGGTATTTGATTGAGTTTATATGGATGGTATGATCTACATGATCATTTTGTTGTTAATATAGGAAACATGAAATATGAAAGAAAAGAAAACCCAACAGATTTTGTGGTCATTTGGTCTTATCAATATTTATATTATTTCCCATCACTCACTATCCAACACATAGAGTTGCAAAAGAAAACGATACGACTACAAAAAAGAAAAAAAAAGAGACATTCTTTGTCAAACCGGGCCGCTCAATTAGTACGATATTGTCCGCTTTGGGCCAAGCCCGCACGGTTTTTACTCTTGGGTGTCCTCCCCAAAAGGCCTCGTACTAATGAGATTGGTGGACACTAATATACAAGGGTTCCTTCCCTTGTATAACCGATGTGGTACTTGGATTGTCCCATAACAATCCTCCCCTCAAGCCAAGGACCACGAACATCGTGTCCTCACCTCAGAGATTATCTTGATCCGCCAGATGCCTTGTATCGATGGGCTTCTCGATACAAGGACTTTACCAGACGCAGAACTCTCTTTGATCTGCTTCCCAAATGCGGAACTCTCTTTGATCCGCCAAGCCCAAACGTGGATCTCTCCTGGATCCACCAAACCAAACGCAGATCTCAAACCCCGAGGTCACCGAATGAGGGTCCACCGAACTGACGTCCACCGCCCCGCACCGAACCAGCCTCTGATACCACTTGTCAAACCGGGCCGCTCAATTAGTACGATATTGTCCGCTTTGGGCCAAGCCCGCACGGTTTTTACTCTTGGGTGTCCTCCCCAAAAGGCCTCGTACTAATGAAATTGGTGGACACTAATATACAAGGGTTCCTTCCCTTGTATAACCGATGTGGTACTTGGATTGTCCCATAACATTCTTAAAATACATTATCAACAGATCTATGATCTAACGCTATAAACGACATGCGTATCTAAACATTGAACTGTTGATTTATATCTCATGAACTTAACATTAGAGGTGGCAAATGGATTGGATTGCTGGATTGGTGGATTGGATTGGTGGATCCATGGATCAAATGGATTGGATCAAATGGATTGGTGGATTCATGGATTGGATCAAGTGGATTGGTGGATTATCCATGAATCCAAATGACATCCTCAATCAAGGACCAATATGTAAAATGTAAAAAGTTTAGGTACTAAAATGTCATAATGAAAAATTTTAGGTACCAAAACGTAATTTTCCAATGATATTTTTCGTATAAAAAATTAAATTTTAGGTACCAAAATGTAAAAAATAAAAATTATAGGTACTAAACCGTAATTTGCCAATAATCCATGGATCCAATCCATGAATCCACCAATCCAATTGGATTTGGATAAAATGGATTGGATTTAAATGGATTGGATTAGATGGATATTTTTAATGGATTGATGGATTGGATTGGTGGATTGGATTGAAATTGCCACCTCTACTTAACATCCATTATCCAACACTATTAAGTTTTTTTTTTTTGACAAAGAGTCACTTGTATTGCTTAACCAATAAAATCAGTTACAAAGAGGGGATACAAAATGAGAAAACGAGCCAGAAAAGAACAACCACAAACATCCAGAGGAACACACACGAGGAAGAGATCAGAACAAAAGAAAGTCAGGCATGATCCACCAAGACAAAGCCATTCCATTCTTGAGCCGCAACACAAAGCATCCGAAACACTCTTTGCATCCTCATTTATCAGAAAAACTCAAAGCAAAGCTTCAGCTCATCCAACACTATTAAGTTGAAGGGTTAGAGAAAATGTTTTCCAAGTAGGCAGTGACGCTAGCTAGTGAAGTGTATAATTACTCCGGCCGACGGAATCTCTCAAACGAGACCGGCGGTTGACGATTGTGTTAGAAATAGGAGAAGACCTGTTCAAATATATATATATATATCTTATATAAAAAAAATGAGAACGATGGCGATGCTTTATTTTATATTGGTTTATGATCAATTCGTCAAAAATCTATGTCCATATTTTGATTCCAAAAAGCATTTGCTAGTAAAATATTCGGGTTATAATTATAATATGCCCCTCAACTATGATGTTTTATCAAACATGCCCCTTTGCTATTTTTTACATCAAATATGCCCCTGTACTTTGAAAAAATTACCAATCATACCCTTCTGTTAAAATTTCCATTGAAAAAATCGTCAATCATGGTTGAATTGAGATTTAGACAACCCGACATCGGCAAATGGGAGGTAAAATGTCAGTTTTGTCCCCTGTTTTATTTCCCTGGGTCTTTTCAAAGTGAAATTATTTGAATGATTTGATTATACAAAAGAACCAAAAAAATTCTAAAGTGAATTTATTAGGGATATTTTAGTCATTTGTGTCACTCAAACTAAATTTCGGCCTTGGTTAACGGTTTTTTGATGAAAACTTTAACAAAAGGGCATGTTTGATCATTTTTACAAAGTACAGGGGCATGTTTGATGTAAAAAATAGTAGAGGGACATGTTTGATAAAACGTCATAGTAGAGGGGCATATCATACCTATAGCCCTAAAATATTCAGTGGTAACCGATTTCTTTATTCATAATTTTGGGAATGGTGGTTGCATTTTGTAGATACAAGAATAAGAATGTTCTTGTCAACTAATCAAAAACATGTTTCTATTTTTTGTATGAATTAAGACATGTTTATTTAGTCAGCTCATCAGCACAATAGATTTTTAATTATACATGTGCAAGATATAGATATATGTATAGGATATGCATTAGTGTTAGATGTGCTAATTAGCAAGTTTTTTTTTCCTGGTAGAACACTAGAACTGTCTTGATGGGTTGTTGCGTTGTTTTCTAGATAGAATGAAAGTTTTCACATCTGATCTAGAAATGGCAATGGGCAGGTCTGGGGGTATCTCGATACCCATACTCGCCCCATGGCAGGTCGGATCCAGGTCGGGTAATTTATCACGGGGCGCGGGTCGGGGCAGGTCGACCCATTGGGTATGTAATTTATGCGAAAAACATTAGAAACATTAGTTATTTTCATTAAAAGATCAAGAAAGAAACCATAATATGATAAAATGTAGTTAAATTATTGAAGAAATTGAGGTTTTCACTTATTTACAACTTTATTATAGCTAAAATATAATGTAATAAGAGGAAAATCCTAAGTAATTTGACTAATATTATATGTAATATAGGCAAGAACGGGTCGAGAATGGGGCGGGTCAGGGCAGGTCGGGTCGATGAGAGGTACCCATGCCCGCCCCGCCCCGCCTACGGGGCGGGTTTGACCTGCCCCAAAACAGGTCAAACAGGTCGGGGAAATCGGGTCAGGTCGAAATTGCCATCCCTAATCTGATCAGTTAAAGTTTAGCTTTTATTATGGTAAATTCGAATATCTTATAAATATTAGTTGTATAAAAATTAAATTTTCACTTATTTTTTTTAAACGAAACCTAACTATTTTTTTATGGTAATGGAAAATTATGATTGGTCTTCTATGAGGATTGCTGAAAGAGAGCAAAAAATGTTCATTCTATAGTCTATTCCTAAACAAGTTACTGAAGCCTCTGTTAACTTAAACTAGAAGAGGGCCCCACCTCTTGGCCGGAAGACCTTTATATACTCGTATATATAATTATGCTCGACTTTAACAAACATATTATATATGTGATTGATAAACTGACCATCAATAACTTATGAAAGTACTCAGGGGTCGTTTGGATGGATCAATTGTAAAACGAGACAATTTGATCAATTGTTTTATTGTACAAAACGAGTCATTTAAAACGAGTCAATTCAGATTACCTGCCCCCACCCCAGACAATTGTAATTGGCTCAAAATGAGTCAATTCAGAATTCCCCAGCCCAAATTGCTTCATCCAAAATTTCTGCTGCCAAACGGATCAATCTAGCACAATTGACTCAAAACGAGACAATTGTGTCAGATTGATCCATTAGAATTCCTCATCCAAACGACCTCTCAATTTATTTAATTGGTAAAGTTTATAGAATGTTATTGAAAAAATGTCAAACAACATATATATGTACCTAATATATTGATGCACTTTAATTTAACTATCTTCGTAAAGAAGGTCTTATCTATGCAAAATATTTAGAAATAATAGCATGATTGTTTCTTCCCATGAAATATGCATAATCATTGTGTTGACCCATCACAACTCATTAGTAAGAAACTAAAACGATGTCGAACTTGATAACATCAAATCTTTATGACGACATCATCATTAAATAAAAACATTTATTATGTACCTTCAAAATTTCTCTCAAATCAATATAATTATGCTCAAATATCTATGAAAACTATGACAATGTCCAAATTGACCTTCATAACCTAGTACTCTCTCGTCTTCATATTTCCCTCTGACCCCAAAATTCTCAAAGTTCCCAGCATTGAAAATTCTTTTAGTCCTCATATTTAACCCTAACAATTCATATCAACGGTAAATTAACCATCCTTTTCCAATCAACTTCTTTTAGCTGATCCCAAGTATATAATTTGGTTGATTCACATACCTGTAAAGAATAAGATTTTTTATAGGCATATTAAATTACCATATTTCGACCACTCATTCAGATATACAATGTCATCGAGATCTATTACCATCTTCAATAGACAATGTTGATGAGTAATAGAAAAATACAATGTAATTTGTAATAGAGAATTTTTGTTGTCTTTCCATCTTTACTCTCTAGATCTCAATCACATAGACGCCGTTTTCTCGATAAAATAACGAATCTCCGTCATATGGATGCACGTGTTCATTGTTTTATTACTTATCAACGTTGTCTAAGATTTTTGGCTTAAGAAGTTTATACTTTTTGTGAGATGAGTTCGACGGTAAAGAGGAGTCTGATTTGGGAGAAGAAGTTTGATGTCAACCTTCTTAGTGATAATGGAGTAAAGAGAAATTGAGTAAGGGTCATGGATTTAGGCGGTCGATAGGAAGACTGGTCAGAGAAGGAGGTTGAATTTGTGAGAAATTTTAGGAACAGGGTAGGGATGGGTAGTGAGTTGGCCTAGAGTTACACCCACTTGAATTAACCCGGTCATAACCCACAAAATACATGTTTGGGTGCGTATGTGTCATTTTTTTGTGGCCCATAAAATTTGGGTGGTGACGGATGGGTCATTGGCCTGCCAAAGCACCTGATATGTCATGTTACTAATATATATTATATGAACATGTACATATATTCTAATCCCAAAATATTAATCATGATTGAAATGATAATTAATTATTATAAATTTGCTTAACTTATTACATAAATTATAAACTATTTATTTAAAAAATACAATACATATTCTTAAAGATTATTGAATTTCTCGCACCAAAAAAGGATTATTAATTTTCTTGAATTTTTAATTTTTTATTATATTCGATAAGCTTATTATAAATTTTTATGGCTCATAGTTATCTTTTGTATAAATATTTTCTAACTGTGGGCTAAAACTGATAAGGGTGTTTTCACAAAACCGTCCCTCCGAAAATTAAAATTAATCCTGTGGCTCCATTTTTGAAATGCAGCAAAAGCCACCCATGAAAAGGTATTATATATACTAGCGTGGGCTCCGGCCAGTTGGCCGGAGGAAGGTGAGGTATGAAATTTGATAATGTAATGGAGTGTATAGCTTATTGTTGTATAGTTTTTTTTTTGGGAAACACGTAATAAAAATAAAAATTTTAGCAGGAAAGAGACATGAATGATGCAACGAATCAAAAATTGACCTTATGAACCAAAATCAAGTACCTGTTACCTTGTGAAACAATATTTTTTCTAGTAATATGATGAGGTGGGGTAAGTTTTATAGAAACCGAATTCCAGAAAATCGAATAAAAAATCGCATATCGCGTCGGTTTTCGGAAAATGAGCATCTCACAATCGTCGCTAGCTTTTACTCGGCCCGTTGGCCGATTAATTTGCTTTATAAAACTTTCATATTGTCGTCATTGTGCTTTCTGGTTTTTGTCAGGCCATGATAAAATCTAAGAAAATCAAGAACGAACAACACGATTTGGGATAGGAACCGTCGTTGTCGTATCCCTAGAAAATAGTGGTAAACACGAACTCACCTGGCAAACTGGTTTGGATTGAGATTTTTATCGAGTATCAGGGAACCATGTGATTATAAATTAGACTTGATCAAAACAGGTCAAAACTTGAAATTCAGCCTGTTTGACCGACCCATGCCAAATTCTAATTATTCTTTACTTTTAAACTTTCTATTTGAAAATAAAAAATAGTGAAAAAAAAGAGATGACTACAATTCGCCATTTGCACATCATTTATTCGGGGAATAAAACCACAGAAATTCAAAAGGAATTGAAAATGTTTAGGATCATTTTAATGTTTAAAATAACCAAAGAGATCTTTCTGTTTAGTTTTTTACTAACAAATACCAAACGATTCCCTGTAAAATACACTATAATTTGATCATTATGATATAAAATAATTATATAATATATATTTGAAGGGTTATAGGTATAATATGCCCCTCTACTATGACGTTTTATCAAACATGCCCCTCTACTATTTTTTACATCATACATGCCCCTCTACTTTGTAAAAATGATCAAACATGCCCTTTTGTTAAAATTTTCATCTAAAAAACGTTAACCAAGGCCGAATTATAGTTTGGGCGACACAAATGACTAAAATATCCCTAATATATTCATTTTAGAATTTTTTTGGTTCTTTTGTATAATCAAATCATTCAAATAATTTCACTTTGAGAAGACCCAGGGAAATAAAACAGGGGACAAAACTGACATTTTCCCTCCCATTTGTCGATGTCAGGTCGTCTAAATTTCAATTCAACCATGATTGACGATTTTTCAATCGACATTTCAACAGAAGGGCAAATTTGATAATTTTTTCAAAGTACAGGGGCATATTTGATGTAAAAAATAGTAGAGGGGCATGTTTGATAAAACGTCATAGTAAATGGGCATATTATACCTATAACCCATATTTGAAATGATAAAAATTGGACTAATTGGGTTGGTCGAGGTTGAACCATTGAATAACTTTAAGATACATTATATTTTAGCCACTAAGATATAAAATAATAGCATAATATATATTATGCCAGAGAAAATAACTTATTTTAGAATGGCAAACCAATGATGTTCATTTGTTTTACTTGATGACCAAATCCCGTGTAGGTCAGGCCCATTCAACTCTTTTATTTTATGGTTAGCGGTTAGCCTATTAGATATCATGCATTAGTTTATTGTTAAATTTTTTATTTTTAGCAATAAAAATGAGTATTGTTTTTATTTTTTCATATATATTTCATCACCACGGAGAAATAAAAGAGCTTAAAGAAAAAAATTGACACTCATGGACCCGTTTAAATCTGCATGTGTACGGTAAGTTGGCCCGTTCCACAGAGGAAAGAGAAAAAAATTGACACTCCCTATTCTACCCTTCCTACAAACGTTTTTAGAATGACAAACCAATGATGTTCATTTGTTTTACTTGATGGTCAAATCCCATGTAGGTCAGGCTCATTCAACTCTTTTATTTTATGATTAGCGGTTAGCCCATTAGATACCATGCATTAGTTTATTGTTAAATTTTTTATTTTTAGAAATAAATGGAGTATTGTTTTTGTCTTTTCATATATATTTTATCACCACGGAGAAATAAAAGAGATTAAAGAAAAAAATTGACACTCCTGGACCCGTTTAAATCTGCATGTGTACAGTAAGTTGGCCCGTTCCATAGAGGAAAGGAAAAAAATTGACACTCCCTATTCTACCCTTCCTACAAACGCTCATGGAGCAGAGAATTTGAAATGGGGGAAGAGTTTTTTCCTCCCTGCTATTATATGTTTTTAATTTAAAAATATACAACAAATGCACTTAGTGTGATTGGTTATGATCCTTGTTCTTCTTTAAAATGGTCATTGTTCGAATCCCAATTTGTATCTTTTTAATGAATAAAAAAAGTAATTGTGAAGACCAAAATGTCCTTCCTATTTCCACTCTCGTTGCAAGAATCCCAATATGTGTCTTTTTAATGAATAAAAAAAGTAATTGTGAAGACCAAAATGTCCTTCCTATTTTCACTCTTGTTGCAAGAAATTTGAAATGTGCCTCTCGTTTTTCTCTTCGTTGTATTATAATATGTGTAGAGTGTAAATAGATGAAGTATTTAAAAAAACTGAAATTAAGCCCAAAGCTACGGCCCATGAATCGGGCCCAGAAATGGCCCATTAGTCGCTGTGGAGGAAACGAATAAGCTCGGCCCATCAACTAAACTCGTTCCATCAACTCGCGAACCATCCCTGCGAGAAAGCCGGGACTCGGCATCAAAGAAAGCCAGCTGCTCTCAGTTTGGAATTGGAGCTCTGCAATCGTAGATTGTTTGTTTACCAGAGCTCCTGATTCCTTTCCGTCGCTGAGAATGAAGTTTATAGATTGGTATGTGAAGATTGCCGCCGGTTCTGCTTTGATCGGAGCTTCCATGGAGTTCTTCATGATCAAGACGGGCTTCTGTGTGAGAATTCTCCTTTCCCCCGTCCCTTCTCTTGAACGGGTTTTTTGATCCACTGCTCCTAGATTTTTAATTGATACTTCGAATGGTTTTCTTCCTAGTGTTGTCGTTTAGATTACAGGGACAACACCTAGCTTATTTATCAAGTTCTGTACCGTTAATTTCTACGGCGAGATTTGTTTTTAGGGTTTTGGGTGTGTTCATGGTGTTTAAGCTATTGTTAAATCATACCATGAAATTTTGTGGGTTAGTTAACTAGTCTCTCAATTAGAATAGTGAATGCCATTGTTAGGGGGAATTTGAAAAGCAGCAATCTTTCTACTTCATGATAGAATCTTAAACCGCGGGTTGAGTTGCGATTGCTGTTGGATTGTAGACAGTCACTGGCTTCTTGTTCATAATGTTTAGCTGGTAGAGCTTGAACACTAACGAATGTATCTCCTTGTGAATTGCCATTGGACGGTTTGTTAGTTTGTCCTTCTGTGTAATCTTCTATTGTCTCTGATGTGGGGTTTTGCTGTGTTTGTTACTCTTCTTATAGATGATAAGGTGACGGTTCTGGAGTCCGAGAAACGTGCTTGGGAGAATTCGCCTGAAGCTCAAGCGATGAGAGACGCTTTGAATCCATGGAGAAACCATGAGAAGCAGTCGGAAAAGAGTGCCTGATGGTCTTCGAATCGACCTTAGCCCAAAGTGGAGCAACATCCAGCTGGACTACTTCAGTCTGCCTACTGACTACGGAGTAGTTCTCTCACCTGTTCTCGGCCTGTTGCTGCTGCTTACAGTGTTTGTCTCCTCTTTCCCCCCTAATTTTGGGTGATATAGCTATGGTACACATAATGAACAACCAAGTACTCAATTCGAATTCTGCAGACATATTTAGCTCCTCTGTTTTAGGTTGCACTTCAATTAGCTCTCTATCTATGCTCATTAGAGGGTGCCATGTGGTTCTGTTCTCTGCTCGAGAATCCAACGGCTTAGTTGGATCGTTCTTGATGTTTCGAATGTCAAATGATTACGTTGGATGAAGCCATGAATATTCAATGGATTCCCTGTAGATACTTGAGAGAGTAACATTTGAGTATTTGCCGTTTCGATGTGATTGTTGAGGTATGAGAATCCAACTACTAAGTTGGATTGTTCTTGATGTTTTGAATGGCAAACGATTACGTCGGATGAAGCCATGAACATTCAATGGATTCCCAGTATAAGTCTTGAGGGAGTAACATTTGAGTATTTGCCATTTCGATGTGATTGTTGATGTATGAAAAACATTCCCAGTGAAGCTAGGTAGCTTGACTTTTTGCCATCTTTTCTGGTTTGTTTTGTTGCGTGAAGGATCAGTTTGTGAATGATATAGAGATGACGACATTAAAAGAGGGATTAGGATTCATGAACTTCTTGTTGGAGCTTCTGGTTTTTAGTGGAGGGCATTAATTAGTGTTGATCGCAAGTTGATTAGAGCTCTAATGATATGATTATTTTTTGTACCAAATCTTAAGGGATGAAGATTGTGATGTTTAAGGTGCGTCGGTAGATCCATCCTCAAGTGCACCTCATTTGGCTTATGCTTTATGTCGTTTCTTCTACCTTTCTTTTTTTCAGCACAACCGTGATGGTAGTACCAATTTCCTTGTGAATTAGGTCAAGAATGCATTTTATTTGCTTCATTGGTTCATTTTAAACCAAAGTTGCATGATCAAGATTAAACTTTGTAATATAATCAATGGTTAGGGTTGAGAGTTATTACGATTTGAAATGATAATGGTACTCTTTTGTAATTGAGGATTCTGATATCGTATTTGACTCGTTGTTCCTTCAAATATTTTAAGTTATTGAAATCACAGAATATGATGTTCTTTCATAATTCTAACTCGTATGCCTGATTCTATCAAGAGTTAGTCAAATAAAATAATTCTAATATTATAAAAAACCAATTTCATTTCAATAGGCTGATGCAATATAATAGTTTGGTGCAGAACAACTGTGAAGACATGTTATAATGTTTTTCGGGTCATTTAGACGTGGTAGCTCTAAAATGAAGCAATTCAAAACGCCATTCCTCTCATTGCAATTCAAATTGACACAATGAATTGACGAATCTCCAAGATACTTCATTTTTTCACTCTCAAACGAGCCATTTCAATTCAAATACTTTATTATGGGACAATTCAACTTCATTGTCTTCTTTAGTAGAGGAATTTTATCAGATCTCTTACCAAGATCAACTTGGTTAGGTGGAACCAAAACCCACGGTTGAGAAATGATATCAGTCATCAAATTCTCAACACTTGATCATAAAGAGATTTATGTGGAGTTAGTCTTGTAATGTGGGTTCACTTTTATAATTACCCTCTTAATCAAACAATTAGCTAGAACCCTCCAATTAATTACTCACCAAATCCCACATGAGAAAGAGCAAATCATGTGATTCACCCGTGCACACGTGATAGTGAATGGTGCCCTTATCATGAAAGAGACTCATTGAGGACCAAAAATCAAAACTCGAGAAAAGAAAATGGGTGCAGTTGGCCTTTGTGAAATCGTATTATATTGGTGGTTTAACCGGAAAAATTGGAGTAGCGGAGTCTAACTTAGTAGGCGATTTGAAGCAGTATGAAATGGTTGAACCATAGTTAAACTATGGTGTCAACAAAAAATACCCTACAACAAACTTTACAACCTTCGGTATGGTCTTAGAATCTTTGATAATTACATGAATGGTAGGAGTGTGTCGTGTGCAACGATTTGGTGCTTACCGATCCGATCATATTGGACCGAATATAGTGCAGTCTGATCCTTCTTCTCATAAACAATTATATGAATACTGAAAACAAATGAATTAAAGTGATATTTGATCAGAATCAACCCATATGGAATACAATGATAGTCTGAATCTTGATTCTCAAATTTATATTACTAATAGACCGCGACTCTCGATTAGATCGGACGGGATTTGACGGTTGCACACCCCCTTAATATGGGGCTTGAATAATACAAATTATGAATGGCGGAGAATAAACGCATTAGTGTAAGCATTTATGGAGGCAACACCTACAAGTTGTTCCAATAGTTGCCATAAAGATTGCTTTGTGATTGTTGTTTGAAAGAGAGAAGACCCAAAGACTCAATAGAAGATGACATGAAACCCACCAAAGTTCAATTAGAGACTGCAAGCAAGCAACTGACTCATCATCACTAAAAAGCGTGAAAACAATATTTCTTCCTGGATTGAAAACTGTCAACTAGTAGCTATATGTGAGGGTGTGATGCATTGTTTGGTTAGCTAGGCATTTAATACGCGAATGAGCTTCAAATAACTTAATCGGGAGAATGAAATTTTCTCGATTGTTTACGGTTTAGTGCGACCATTCAAATAGGAGAATTGGTTGGTAGTGAATATCCAGATTTATATTAAATTAAAGGGTAATGACTATTTATTAGCCAAACCTTTTTCAGAGTTTTTTTTATTAGTCAAACCTATCAAAATACTAAGAATTAGCCAAATGTTAACTTTCGGTTAGCAATTTTGTTACTAATATTGACTTGGCAACATGATACTGACTTGGAAGAGACACATGAAGGTAATCATTCCAAAATTTTAGTATTTTAACTGAGAAAAGAGTTACAAAATTATTAACAATAACGTAAAAATGGCTAATATTTTGATGCATTAGGAAAGATTTGGCTAAATAATAGCATTTTAATAGGTTTGGATAATATAAAAGAATTTGAGAAAGGTTTTGATAAAAAATAGACATTACCCTAAATTATAGGAAGGTGTTTTATATTTTCATAACGTCAGTAATCACTTGACCGTCCACGAAATCATACAGAAGATTGAATTGGTGGTAGTGACGAGTTAGCATTTAAGGTTTTAATGGAACAACCGCTGCAAACTGGTTTTCAAACACTTTGACAATGGTCATTATTGTTGACGACATCGTATGCATTTTTCATGTCGATATGCTCTCCAATCAAACACGATACGGTATGGTTTTACAAATACCTAAACACTCCACCGATCCCTAGTAATTAAACAAGAGCATTCAAGTCAAATAAAGTGATCATGATATGTGGCATTGTCTAGACTCTAGTGCCATCGTCACACATTTTGGCCGACCAAATCTCTAACCTTTCTATTCCAGAAGCCAACCCAATCCCTTCTTCAATGGCTTCCATAACCATCCACCATATATATATAAATTGCACTCCAACTACTTAATTACAAGTTAGAACTACATAGCTTAATTACCCCCACCATCGAAAGGAGAAAGCAATAACTAAGCTGACAAATTAATCAAGGCGGTTGATCATGGTGATGATGACGATGGACGTCTCTTGTTTTCTTCTTGTGGAGGGAAGTGCAGATTCTGATGACGAGCCGCGGCAGCAACTCGATCATCAACGGTTCACGAAACCATATCGTCTTGATGTTCTTAGTATCGATGATGCAGAGTCTTGTAGCTGCGACGACGATGACGATGGCTGCAGCACACTAGAGCTTGATGATCTTCAGCTCGACCGGATTAATGGTGGATTAGGCTGTGTGATCAAGGATAATCATGATGATGATGATGGTTATGAGGTTGCAATGGAGCAGTGCTGCTATTGTAATTGGGATGGCGGAGGCGGTGAAGAAGAAGAAGAAGAAGAGAGATCGAGTAATAGCGTTAACAAAGAAGAGAGTAGGAAGGTGATGGTGATGATGAGCAGAGAGGCGATGGACAGAATGGAAGACAGGCTCTTCTGGGAAACTTGCTTGGCGGTAGGATACCCAAGCCTTTACTGAAATCTTTTTAATTAGGACTTATTTGATTTCATCCATGCATACACCATGTGATTTAGAGGTGGGTTTATAGCGCTTTTAATCGTCTAATTTGAAGTGTTGTTAATGTGCGTATCTGATCTGTGATGAAAATTCTGAAATCGAACTAGTCGGGGTAGATTATTTTTTCTCTCTCTTTGAGTACATAATTTTTCATTTTTTAACTTCTCATACTAAGTTACGAGTTTGGTCAAATACTTGACAGTAATGTATATAATTTGATTGTAAAGTGTTTTCAGTTTTTTGTTCATACAAAGAAAATATTTGGCCTTATTTGAAACATCGCTATACAACATGGGGGTGTTTCGGTTTTCCTTTCGGTTTTCTTTCTACAACTCAAACTAGGGTACTAGACGATGTAAGTTTTTCTTATGTGTATGTAAAACTATAGTGGTTGATTTTCTTTTTTCTCTTCTCAGTGATTTTTTGTATTATATTGAACACTGATAAAAGTATGATTAGTTGTTAGACTGGTATATTTCAGAAATATAGTATAGTCCAAGTGATTTGAGTTCTGACCATTAAATTTGCTTCGATGACCTCCAACCAATATCAACGGTCAATAAATGTTTTCTGATGGGTTAGATCGACAATGGTGGGTTAGCCCAGCCCAAGCATTGATTTGGACCACAAGCAAAATTTTCTCACCCACTTACAGTTATAGTGTTGGGCCCATATTCATTTTCACTACAGCCTGCCAAGAATCCAACGAAAAAAATGGGCCTTTCGGAAAACCAAAGTCAGCTGAAAAAAATCATTTTCGCGCCAGGAAGGGGTCGAACCTTCGACCTTCTGCTTAGGAAACAGACGCTCTATCCACTGAGCTACAGGCGCTTGGTTGATAATTCGTTTCTACAAAATGTTCATGACATAATGTCTAGTAAGACGAGAGGACATGCAATGATTTTGCATGTACGAAGAATCGATGAGAGACTAGATTATGTGTTTTTTACAGATCACACAATAATATTCTGCGATGCTAACAAAGAAAAAAGTATTGAATGTTCTTGCTAGTTTGGTATGTTTCAAGTTCTTACATGGCTTAAAATCAATATAGAAAAAAGTGATTATGTATCTTGTTGGCGTTGTAATGAATGTAGACAGACTAGCATATATCTTTTGGCGTCATTCGAATCCTCTTCCAGTGATATATTTGGTCTGTCCCTTAGTGAATTACATCGTATTCTACCATCCAGGATTCCATTCTCACTCGTATTTAGAAAATATTGAAGTGGTGGAAATTCATGTCATTGTCTTTCTGGAGGCAGACTTGTGCTTAAATTCATATCATTATCTTTTTAGAAGCAGACGTGTGCTTAACTAGTCGACTTTATCTAGCCAATTCATATATCGATCGAGGGTCACTTTTAAAGCCCCAAAGAAGTTTGATTGGGGAGTTTGGAAAATTGAGAGAGACTTCCTAGTTAGTTCCTATAATCAGGGCTAAGGAGAATAAATTCTATCTGGTTAGCTGGGATTATGTAAGGCTTCTAAGGCTAGAGGGGCAATGAATATTATTGATATTGGATGCATGAACTTTGTCCTCCTTGGTAAATGACTTTGGAGATTTGTACGTGTTAGAATATGACTTGAATTTGATTTGGGTTTATTTTGTGTTTTGGGCCTATTTTGTTTGGGTTTGTGTTTGGGCTTTATTTTGGCTTTTTCCTTATAGGTTTGGAAAAAGTGTTTGGTTTTCTATTTGGGATTAGGTAAAGAGTTCTATAAATACTCTTCACCACCCTAATCTGTTGTAAGGTCAGTCATGTTAGTTTGTTTGGTTTGTGCGTTTGGAATTTGGTTTGTAACCTGTACTCTCCTCAAATTAGTGAAATTTGTCCCCCCTGTCCGTGGATTAGCACACATTGTGTTAGTGAACCACGTTAAATTCGTGTTCGTTCATGTTGGTTTGGATTATCGATTGCACGCTTCTGTTCTGACAAGTGGTATCAGAGCCTTTGGTTGCGGTTTTGGGAATTTGGCGTTGGACTGAAGTTTTGCTTTGTGGAGGTAGCTTTCAATTCTTTAGCTTGGTTCGGTGGAGGAATCGCTTCGAAGTTGACTTTGGGTAGTTGTGTTTTCGTCTCGCTTTTTTGGTGAGAAGTTTGGTTGGAGTTTGTTTGATAGTAAGAATGGCTGCTATCAGTATGAAGATTGAGAAGTTTACCGGAAGAAACAGTTTCAGTTTGTGGCAGATCAAAATGCAAGCACTGTTGAAACAACATGGTTTGTGGGCTCCGTTGTCTGGAAAATCGAAGAAGGAAAGTATAGATGTAGAAGAGTGGATTACTTTGGAGGAGAAAGCTCACTCTACAATCTTGCTTTGTTTGGGTGACGACATCATCACTGAGATTGCTGCCGAGAAGACTGTTGCGGGCTTGTAGTTGAAGCTTGAAAGTCTATACATGACAAAGTCTTTAACTAACAAGTTGCATATGAAGCAACATTTGTTCAATTTGCGTATGGAGGAAGGTACGTCTCTCAGGATTCATCTAGATCAACTCAATACCATCTTGTTAGATCTGCGGAATATTGATGTTAAAGTAGATGATGAGGATGCTGCCTTAATTCTGTTGATATCTTTGCCACAGTCATATGAGAATTTTGTGGATTCTTTTATTGCTGGGAAAGATAGTTTGTCTTTGGAAGACGTCAGATATGCTCTACATACTAGGGAGGTTCGACATAAGGCGTCTGGTTTTGGTTCGGAAAATCAGGCATCTGGGTTGGCTGCTACGAGTAGTATGAGACAACAATCTGGTAATAGGAAGGCGAATGTAAATTCTTCTGTTGGTTTGAAGGATGATATCTGTCATTACTATAAGGAGAAAGGACATTGGAAATTCGATTGTCCTAAACTAAAGAAATATCAGGAGAAAGAAGGAATCATCTGTTGCTGTGGCGGAAGAAACTAACTCTGATTCTGAAGATGGTTTAGCCTTAGCAGTGAACGAACAGGTACATCATCAGGATGTGTGGTATTTAGATACTACAGCTGGTTATCATATGTGTCCAAGCAAGGAGTGTTTTCAACTTATGAGCAGATAGATGGAGGACATGTTTCTATGGCCAATGGTGTTATCTGTAAGATTGTTGGAAGAGGCTCTGTCAGGATAAGGACACATGTTGGTTCTGTTTGCACCTTGAACAATGTTAGGCATATTACAAAGATGACTAAGAAACTGATATCTTTGAGTCTACTAGACGACAAGGGTTTCAGTTTCAAAGATGAAGGTGGAGTGTTGTCTGTCTACAAGGGTTCTAAGGTGATTTTGAAAGGTGCCAAGCGGGGTGCCTTGTATAGTCTACAAGGTTCTGTTTTGACATGTTCTGTTGGTGATAAGTGCACAAAGTTGGTTCTGAATGGCAAGTCTCAATATGGATTGGACTTGCCGAATGGTTTGAGTTGTTGACCGCCCTTAGGGGCATTTGGAGGCAGGGGAGATTCTGGTACCGCTGATTTGGAGGAGTTAGTACGTCTGGCAATTTTGATTGCATATGAGTTTGGCGATTTGGATCGCATTTTGAGTAAGTTTGGCGATATGGATCGCGTTTGGGTACATTTGGCAACTTTGGTTGCGTCTGGTATATTTGGTATTTGAGAGAGAAATCAAGTCAAGGTGGAGATTGTTAGAATATGACTTGAATTTGATTTTGGTTTGTTTTGTGTTTTGGGCCTATTTTGTTTGGGTTTGTGTTTGGGCTTTGTTTTGGCCTTTTCCTTGTAGGTTTAGAAAAAGTGTTTGGTTTTCTGTTTGGGATTAGGAGAAGAGTTCTATAAATACTCTTCACCACCCTAATCTGTTGTAAGGTTAGTCAGGTTAGTTTGTTTGGTTTGTCCGTTTGGAATTTGGTTTGTAACCTGTACTCACCTCAAATTAGTGAAATTTGTCCCCCCTGGCTGTAGATTAGCGAGCACACATTGTGTTGGTGAACCACGTTAAATTGGGTTAGTTCATGTTAGTTTGGATTATCGATTGCACACTTCTGTTCTGATACGAGAAAGATTCATGGTGGCATGACATGATCTAATTAGCATTCAAATTTCCTTACACCATTGCCGATGTGGAGATATGGTGAAGTAGAGATCTATGATAATGTTGTTGGTTGTTCAGATTGAAAACACATAAGCATAGAAGCTCTTAGTTTTATGGAAATATGCAGCTTTGAAGCCTTATGGTGTCCTCTCTGAGGTGGTGCTTGGTCCTCTCTCTTGTTTAGAAGGAGGAATTTTAATGATGTCTTACTTGTGAACCCCCAAAACAAAACTTATTTATTTTAATTGAGAAAAAAACTAGTTTTTCTTCTTAACGAAACATGTCTTGAAAAACCTCCTCCCAACTTAATCGTACCATTCTATTCATACCCAAAGCCCCAACCACATATAAAAAAAATCAACCATAGCAATATTTATATAACTTCAACTTAAAAATATGCTTATAAGTTTCCTGTTTGCTTTGCTGTTTGATTAGGATACACAGCATCCAGAACAAAATCTCTAGATGAGGCCAATCCTTCCAGGAAGCTAGCTAGCTAGCTAGTTTCAAACGTACTAGTAGAAGAAGAATGGTGACCATTATTGGCGACGTGCAAACTCATGCATGGTAGTCAAAGGGGAAATCTCATAATATTTATTTTGTGGAGTACTTTCTGTAGATTAATAACTCGCTGTAACCCTAATAATTAATATAAATCAAGGAATTGTTTCTAAAAAAAAATATATAAATCAAGGAATTTATTTAGATCCGAGACAAGTGAAATAAATTAATTCTATGTTGTTTCATATGCATTTTGTTGTCATCCGTCTCATTAGCTCGGATCATGATTAGGAGATGCATATAAATTGATTTTATGTTAGCGTTTGCATATCACCTCAAAACCATAATTAACTTGTTTGGATCTCTCCAAACAATTTAAGTGATTAAGTTGAACTAATTCTCGATATAACATTAAATTATCTAACAGATAGATTTCATCTGATACTAACACCCTAATATCAGGGTTGGACACCCAGAAAATTTGAGGAAAAAATTATCGATCCCTGTATCGTAGCTTCGAGTTTGAAAAGAAAAGACTATTTTTTTTTTTTTGTGATTTGAACCAATGACGCTTCAATTATCAAAGAGCATGTTATGTCACCCATTAACCATTATACTATAAATTATTTTGATTTATAGATTAATGGGTCAGGTCGGGGGAGTTAGGGCATATATATTATCTATGTTACTCTACCCAAAGTAGTTCGGGTTGTACCCATATCCATACCCACATAAGAATCGGATAGAAAATCATAACCATGCCTATACCCATTTGGGTTTCGGGTATCCACGGTTACCCATGGCCCATGTGTATTAATTTATCTTTCTAACTCCAACTAACATGTTAACATTTACATGTATACTCACAATATATAAGTGGAAAAATACGAAAATATTTCACTTGAATGAAGAAAACTAATTTCAGACATCACAATTTCATGAAAATATTGTATTTGTATGCTAAAAATAAAATATGTTGAGAAAAATAATGATCATTTATATACAAAACATATGTGCATCCTCGAAGGGATAAAGTATGCTGGAGTAAGTTGGTATGTATATAATCGGGCGGGTTCGGGTTCGAAAGTGAGAAAACCATGTTCACCCATTACCCACAATATTCGAGTTCGGGTTTAATTTACTCGTACTCGTAAAAAACTGTTCGGATTCGGATTTCACCCTACCCGATTAGATCGGATTCGAGCGGATCAGTTATATATATTCTTCAATCTCAAAAGATCACCTCTTCTCAAACAATGGCGCGCGATGGGAACATTAACCTATATGCATAGTTGACTCGATCCAATAATCATTCTTCATATATAATTTATAATACATAACCCATTGATATTTCTTGGCAATGTTCTTACAGCCAGCAAGGAATTGTATTGAACCTCCTAAGTTCATGGCGGATGTCGGCACCAAGTTCTTCTATATAAGTGTACTTAATCTCTTGTGCATTTTGCATCAATACATCTCCAATATAACATCAACTAACTTCTTTCTTGGTATATACCATTCTGCGTGATCATGATGATGAGTTCCAACAAGTTCTTCACCACATTCTTGCTTCTTTCTCTTTCGATGTTCGTCCTCTCTCACATTTCCAACGGACAAGGTCCTCATCATCATGACCAGCAACAGAAGAATCCTGTTGCTGGTCATGGTCGCGATCATCATCAGGATGATGAGGGTAAAGGACGTGGACACGATGATCATGATGACCATAAAGGAAATGGAAAGCCGAAGGATGACGATCACCCGCCTCCACACGTCAAGGGATGTCCCCAGCTCGAAACAATTGCTAGGAACATCACTTGGACTAGGGTTGCGGCTGACCCTACCTTGGCACCCAAGTTACTCAGGCTCCACTTTCACGACTGCTTTGTTAGGGTAACAACAACAACAACAAAATGTTCTCCTTAAGTTTAACATTTCGCTCTAGTTTTCTTTTAGGTACTTTCCGTTGTCACTTTCGTTGATATTTTCAAAATCGAATCTTTATACTATTGTAGGGTTGCGATGCATCGATACTATTGGATTCGACCGCGAGCAATTCAGCCGAGAAGGATGCCATTCCGAACCAAACGGTGGCTGGTTATGAGGTTGTCGACGAGATCAAGGCAAGACTAGAAGTGGTTTGCCCATCAAGTGTTTCTTGTGCTGACATTGTTGCCCTGGCTGCAAGAGATGCTGTTTCCTTCCAGGTAGATTAACTTAATTAATCAAGAGTATATCATGATTAATCAAATTCATGTGACATCCAATAGTCAATTGATATGATTGATTGTAATGGGGTTTCATTAGTTAATCTAATTCTAATTAATTGATAATATATGATCCAGTTCAAAAGGCCAATGTGGCCTGTTTCCATTGGAAGGAAAGATGGCAGAGTGTCTTCATCCTCTGAAGCTTCATCAAATTTGCCATCTCCTTTTTCCAACTTCACCACCTTGCTCCAAGAATTCAAGAACAAAGGGCTGGATCTTCAGGATCTCGTCGCCTTATCAGGTACCTAAAAAAATTAGTATATTCTTTTTAGTCCCTATGCTTATTTTTCGACCAAACAAGTCCTTGTTCTTTGAATTTTGAACAATTTGAGTCCTCACTAATGAAATTTCGTGTTACAGGGGCGCACACGATCGGGGTGGGTCATTGTGGCTTGATATCCGACAGGTTGTTCAACTTCACGGGCGTGGGTGACACCGACCCATCGATCGCGAGGGCCTACGCGAGCCTGCTCAGGGCGAAATGTTCGAACCTTGGAGCCAACAACGTCGACCCTGCCATCGAGATGGACCCGGGTAGTGGCAGCTCGTTTGACACGCATTACTACACGGCTCTAAGACAGAACCAGGGGCTGTTCGAGTCCGACGCGGCTCTGCTGACCGACCAGCGATCGGCTCGAATGAGTCGGGCGTTCGAGACCAACAGGGAGCTTTTCTTTGTGGCCTTTGGTCAGTCGATGGTGAAGATGGGCGCCATTGGTGGAGTTGGTGCGGGAGAGATTAGGAGGAACTGTCACGTTATCAATTAAATGGGATGATGATGATGATGTTTGGAGATGTTACATTGCCCATTAGGCATGGTATATTGACAAATTAATATTGGGGGGTGATTTTGCGCTCAAAGATGGCGCCTTTTTTCTCTTAATTCCTTGCATTTAATCACTTAAATTACTATCTTTTTAAGTGATAGTCTTATTTTGAACTGAAAAGTTTATGCTTGAATGTGGAGAGCAATATAAAAATTATAAGTTATACAATTGGTTACTCGGTTTTATCATACTATTTCATTATTGTCACATATAAATTTTTCTTTTTTTTATTAGTCACTCATTTTAAAAATCTTTTTCATCGTTAGTCATTTTTATTGTCAAATTCCATTATTAACACCATTAGTTCTTCGATGATGTGGCTGGTAGAGAGCCGAGTTGGCTGACAGATTGTTGAGTCACTCACACTTTAGACCATCTCCATCCCTGTAATCAATAAGCAATTTTTAAAGTGGGCCCTTATCGCCACATCACCAATCAAGCAAAAATCACATTCAATAATTTTCAAACCCCTACATCCCTAAAACCAATAAGCAATTGCCAATAGTGGACTCATACAATTTCTTACCACATAACAAAGAAAGAAAAGGTAATTGAAAAATAAAAAATATCCTAGGTGGCATTGCAAGATGAATTGCTAAATAAGAAAGCACCCCGACATCCTTGTAATTGCTTAAAAGTGATGTCACCTAAAATCCCACTAAATAAGCAATAGATATAAGCAACGAGAAGAAGATGGTCTTACTCGCACCAAAATAAACTTCAACTTTATCAAAAACCTCGTGGGCCAACTTTGTCACTTTTTTTTTGGGCTCTAGTTCACGAATAAAAAGAGTGCGTGGCCTCGTGGGCCTTGGGCTTCGCTACTATCAGTGCAGGGTTTGAACTATGAAGAATTGAAATCCAAATTGAGGGAAGAGGCACAACGTTTCTCAACCGCTTTCCAAACTGCGGTTGGCATTTGGGAAGGGTTTGGTCGCTAGCTTTTTTTTTTTTTTAGGAATTATTATAAAAGCTAGGCAACCAAGAATCAACCAAACTCACTATATTCTCCAACGTACACTAGTTTTCGTACTACATGCAATAACGTGACATACAATCATGGCCGAGAAAGAAGAGGAAGAACCCAAAGTAGAAGAGGAAGAAGAAGAAGAAGAAGAGGAGGAGATCGTGGTGGTGGAGTACAGAGTTCCGATGCACTGCAATGCATGCGAAAGAGTGGTGGCGAAAACCATCTCCAAGTTCAAAGGAGTGGAGAAGTTCACGACGCAGATGCACAAGCACAAGGTGGTGGTGACGGGGAGGAATCTGGACCCGCAGAAGCTTCTGAAGAAACTGAGGAAGAAGACGGGGAAGAAAAGGGCGGAGATTGTGGCGGCGGATGATGGTGGTGGTCAGAAAGAGAAGGTTGACGACGACGGCGGCGGCGGGGAAGGGGCGGTGGATGGTTCGGGTATGGAGATGGTTACTACGACGCCGCCGGCGGGAGTTTTGGTTCCTTTTTATTATTGTCAACCAGATTACTACTATTACGTCTGGCCGTGGCGGCATCCGAGTTATGAAGTCTATTTCACGGCTTTTAGCGACGAGAATGCCAACGCTTGTTTGGTTATGTAGATATATAAGATTAAAAAAAATGTAGAGATACATGTGTATAGATTTCGATGCGTTGCTATTTCTGTTATAAGTGGAGGTGTTAATTATTAGTTTGATTTCGATTAACGACTGAGTAAACAAAGTTTACTTATGATTGAATATAATGGATAACTCTTATTGGTTAATTGTTAGTTGTTGATTTTAGTTAGTGATCAATTTCACGGTTAATCAATTAATAATAAAATATAATCATAAAATATACTAAAACGGACTGGACAGTGAGGTTCGCTCCGTCTGTTGTAAAAGGGAAGCTGGGGAGAGGTGACTTTCAGGTTTTGATACTTTCACAGATTTGAGATTTGGGTAGTGGGTTGTTTGCGATAGGTGAGGATTCATATGTTTGGAATCGCGACCTTGGTTGATCTTGAATCGCGTTATTTTTTTTCCCTTCGCCAAAACTCAAAAAGATGTGGTTATAGTATTAGTATGCGGTTATCGGTTAATTACTAAGCAAAATTAACTAACCGAAACCAAATCACTAAAGAATAATCATCGGTTATAAATAAACCACTAACCACCATTATCAATTAAAATCGCTGAACGACTAATCTTTTATCAGCAGCCCTACCCACATGTAAGCCAGTGAATAAAAAATATAACTAACACTCATACAAATATACAATAGTTGGTGGGTTGGATGAGTTAATGTGGTTTACGACTGCGTTTGATGGGTAAAGTTGTTGTCATAAAATAGAAACAAAGCTGAGTCAAAATAAATGCATAACCAAACTTCAATCAAAATAGGGAAATTATTAGAATTATTAAGCCACAAGCAGACCAAAATTACCAAAAATAGAAAAACACTGTTTATTACGAAAAAAGCGCAGAGCACTGTTCACCGTGGAACTTTTTGATTTCCCGAGGGCGGTTTTAGCTGATCCCGTTCACTATTTTGGGCTAGCTAAGTTTTGACCGTTGATCAGTTAGTTTGTAAGGGAATCGTATCCATTAAATTCTTATCTCTAAAAACACGTCTTTGTACATCTCTCTCCTGTCAAACTTTTTCTTTTGCAAATTGCGACCATTCTTCCCTCTTTCATTTCATGTTTAACTTTTTTCCCCTATCCTTTCTCTACCCCATTCTTCTTTAACCTCCATTCTCTTCATCTCCCGTTTCTTTTCCTAGAGAATCGAAACAAAGCAAAGGAAAGGATCTCAGGGAAGATGGATCTGGAAGGGAAGAGCATGCTCTGCCTCCTATATATCTTAATCACCTCCGCGAAAACTGAAGGTGCGATAGTCGGATTAAGTCTTCTTCTCTTCAAAATCGATTCCATGCTTACCACTCAATCATACTGGGTTTAAGTCCTATCTAGCACGATTGACATCCAAAGTTTGATTGGGGGATTAGTTCTTCCTTTCCCCATTTTAGAAACCCTAATTGAAGGAACTCTCTGGTGGATTGATCGAGATTGAGAATGGCTGGTTCAATGGTGGTCGTGGTTGGATTCTTTGTTGAGAAAAGCTTTGTTGGGGATTGCTTTGTTATAGGATTTGATGGAGAAGAAGGGATTACTCCGTTGCTCTCTTTGTATCCTTCTCCCTCTTTGTTTTTTCCCCTTTCTTTTCAATTTCAGTTTTCTCTATCCAGTAAATGTTCCAAGCTAAGGTCAGACCCCAAATTTTATTCCTTTTGTTTGATTAGGAGGAGCTGCTTGCGATGATTCATTGATCCATTTGCAGTACTGTTTATTTCCCCCCTTAGCCCATATGAACTTGAGGATTATAAGCAGCAAAGTGGGAATAGTATAATTTGATTCCCAGTTTGTTTAACTGTAATATGACTTTTGGATTTCCCAATCTGATTGCAACTTTGGAAAGACTAGAATTTTAGCACACTTTTGAGTCACCTTTTCATTCAAGCTCAAAGTTCATTATTTCAGAATTTCTATTACGTGATAGTCTTAATAGAGCCGTGGGAATGGCATTCTAGCTTACAGCATAATTCCTGGGGTTTTCTCTTAGTTTAAACTCCATGTGTTGTTACTCTATATGATGAATTAGCAAGACCCAAATCCATGAGAAAGTTCAAACTCTATATTGTATTTTGCATAGATCACTGTTTGAGTGCACGAGTAACAATTTCTGCTTTTTATATGTCATGATCTGCTAAGTATTACTGTATATGTAACTTTGTTTTGTTTATGACGTAGTGTGTGCATATGCTTCTAATGAAGTTAGTACATCTTATTCGTTTTTCCATCAGATGTACATTTAGGCACAACAATGTTGTTCTTGAGAGTTGATGGCAACCATTAGTTTCTTATTTACTCTGTGCATATTCTTCTAATGAAGTTAGTATATTAGATCCATTTCTTAGCAGTCATATTGTACTACAAGCAAAGATTATGAAATAGGTCATGCTAAGGACAATATTAGAACCATAGTTTGTAGAGTTGAGGACTTGGATTGATTCGCTTTTGCTCTCTTTTCATTGCATGTTCTTTGAGCTAAAACTTTATATATGTTACTATACCCTTGATACTTATGTTTACTATGGATGTGTTATCTTAGCAAGACAACGAAGGGTATTATCAACGGCCAAATGGTGGAGAGTTCATAAGCATTCACTTCCATTTTCCCTTTCAGGTTTTGAGTTATACTACATGAAAAGGATTGAGCAAGAACTAACATCAGTTGATGATTCACTTGGGTCATGCTAGCAGCTTTATCATGAACCCTTATTGTTTGCCTCGATTGAAAGCTCTCCAGTGAATTTAGATCATAATCTTATTTCTCTCTATTCTCTTTTCATTCTGGAAATTTGTTTTCATTAGAGTAGCATGCAGTTTCATCTATGTTTGAATGATTGAAAAGATATAGGGGTTGAAGTACTTGCAAGTAATAGTTGAGAATGAGTTAGCATGCTACGATTCCCACCATCTGTAATTATTATTAAAGCAATTTCATAGTTCGCTTTCATTTCTTCACTTAAAGATATCTTTGCTCACAACTCTTTTCCCATCAGAAAGGTAACCACTCTTCTTGCTGAGAATGTCATTACAGTTTTCGTAACGAAGACTGATAGGCGAATTTATTCCTTATATTGTAACCAACCACCCAAACCATGTCATTATTACCTATTCCATCCGAATTTAAGATCTCTTTAGTGGACTTACGATTACTTGAAGCACTCGATTAGTCGTTTGGCCTTGGATATCACTACTTTTCAAGTAGTGCACTATTAGAACTGGCATTATCTGTTGAAGATTTGTATATCCGTCATCGTTACTTATTTTTCATTCTACTGAAAATCCTTTTCAAGTTAACATATTTCCTTTTCTAATATCCATTATTTAGTTATTGCTTCGGTACTTTCACTTATTTTCTCTAACATGGTAAAATTAAAATTTTCATATTTTCAATAGGGTCAAGCCTTACATATTTGATATTTGGGATTTTTTCTAAAAAAATTATTGGATACTTTTATCCTTGGTTAATCATCACAATTCATAAATTAACTCAAACCCGTTGCGTAGCACGGGCTAATTAACTAGTAGCATTAATGTGTGTCGGTATTGGGGACTTTGGGACTACGTAAGAACATATCGATGAAAGTCAAATATTTAGATGAAGAAATTCGACAGAAAATAGAGGAACCTCAGTTGATAATTAGTTAAGAAATAAACTTGAAGTTGGAAATAAATATTGGTAATCAAAGATTTCACAATACTTCTTATAGAAATCAGTGAATGGATGTATCAGATCATAATTTTACCCAAGATATAAAGAAGGAATTTTATTGAGAACTAAGGAGATGACAGAGGAAGATTGTAGAGACAGAGGAGTTTAAGATAACGTAGCGGATGAATTTACGATTTTGACGGCTCAAATTGTGGTGTGTCTAATTGGAAGCATCTCACCCAAACTCTTTATGAGGAGCTTGACGAGTGACCCGTCCAATACCATTTTTTTTTTTTTTTTGTCAAAGACTATGAGTCGCTTCTTTGATTTCCCGTCCAATATCATCCCTATCTACAATAGAAAGTAAATTTTGTGCCAAACTTGAATACAAAACTATGCTATGCCACTTGTTATTTTGAACGTGCATCACCAACAACAGCGCGTTCCCCCAACTGGCCACTGTCCACAATTCGTTATTATCCCCATATTTGTTGTGTTGGTGCATGAACATGAGCCAACTGAATCCACCGGAAAACCTAATCCACTCACTCACTCACCATTTCACCACCACATTCCCAAGTCAACTCGACTTGTTGGCACAAAACCTCTCTTGCTTTTCTTGCCCACTTCCTTTTTCCCTTTCCTTGCATCGTGTCACTTGCTCACACGCCCCTCTCCATTGTCCTAACTGTTAGTGTTGTGGTATATGATCACGATTGAACTTCTCCCAACAACTCGAGTTATTGGGATCAACTTGTTCATGACACTAACCCACTCCCCTCCTCGTTTTCACTCAGCTCCACCGCCCCACCTTCCTCTTGTTTCATTGCACCATTGAAACTTCCTTTATCAGGCTTAGAATGTCAACTTAGTACCAGTTCATGATCTACATAGTTGTTCTAGTATACAAAATGTTAAGACATCTTTTAGCCAGTCAGAAGCTGTTATAATCGTGTCTCCCTGCTTTGGTTTCATCACAATATACAAAGTCATACCAGTAGTGAATACCCTTCTGCTGAAACAGCAGGAAAGGAAGAAGCTTTGATATTTAACTCAACTGGACCATGACTGCTATCACATTCCTCCACAAGCTTTTGAACTCACAAAAAAGGTTGGAAACTTTCTTCCGGTATGTAGAAGAACTAATACATTCTCTCTTTATACAAAAGCTGGAAGCTTACAGTGAAATTCCTACACTTCCCACATCACTCACAGTTCTATACATTTTCTCTAAGTAATAAGATCTCTTGCTTCTCTGCACCTAAGACATAATCTGCAGTGCTTCCCTCTTTTGTCCCAGTATGTTGAGCACAGTTGCTGCAATGTGAGACGGTGTGAGACCAGCTTCCACCATCTGGTCACCTGGTGCCCCATGGTCGATGTACCGGTCAGGGAGAACCAGTGGTCTCCACTGCAAAACGCCAAAAGATTTTCCGAACACACTATCAGCAATGTGAATCTAACTTAAAAACAGTTTTCTCTGAATCGAGAAAGAGAGATGGAGGGACTACCTTGAGATTGCCATCAAGAAGTCCATCGAGAGCTAGGAATTGCACGACATGGGAGCCAAACCCACCAATGGATCCTTCTTCAACAGTGATCAGAACCTCGTGTGATTTTGCCAACCTCCTGATCAATGCTTGGTCCAGGGGCTTGCAGAATCTAGCATCTGCAACCGTTGGCCGGATTCCATGAGGTTCGACTAACGAGGCAGCTGCCAGACAGCTTTGCACTACTGTTCCATATCCCAGAAGTGCCACTCTCTCCCCTTCCATAAGTATCCTCCCTCTACCAACCTGTGAATGAAGGGGGGTTTTCATGGATAAATTAGATCTTCATTTTCAAGATCAGAAGGGCAATACTGACTAGTAATGCTGAATTTTTTTACCTCAAGGGGAACTCCTTTGTTTCCAGGTGGCAACTCGACTCCCAAACCATTACCTCTCGGGTACCGGAAACAGCTGGGGCGATCATCTATAGCAGCAGCAGTAGCGACCATGTGGAAAAGCTCTGCCTCGTCTGAAGGAGCCATGACCACCATGTTGGGAAGACATGCCATGAAAGTGACATCAAAAGCTCCACAATGTGTTGGTCCATCAGCTCCAACTAACCCAGCTCGGTCCATTGCAAATCTGACAGGAAGCTTCTGAAGATCGACATCATGGACTACCTGGTCATAAGCCCTCTGCATGAAAGATGAATATATAGCACAGAATGGTTTGAGTCCTTCACATGCTAGCCCGGCAGCAAATGTGACCGCATGTTGCTCTGCTATCCCAACGTCAAAGCACCTAGTAGGGAACCGGCGAAGAAACATGTTCAGCCCGGTCCCACCACCCATTGCTGCATGGATTGCTACAATATCTTTGTCAGCTTCAGCTTCTGCAATTAGAGCCTCTGCGAAGTATGTGGTGTATGATTGAGTAAGAGCGCTTGACTTGAATTGCTTTCCTGTTGCTGGATCAAACTTGGCCACTCCTGAAATGCAAAAGATAAGCGTGAATCGCTATATTTTGTGTCCAAATGAGAACATCACTGAGTGACTAGTAAGTTATTTACCATGGTACTTGTCAGCAGCCTTTTCAGCATAGGGATATCCCCTGCCTTTCTCTGTCACAACATGGATCAAGACTGGACCAGTTGTTTTGGTACTCTTAACCTCATTGAGGATTGACACAAGGTCGTCTATGTTGTGTCCATCAACTGGACCAATGTAATAAAGACCAAGCTCTTCGAAAAGGGTTGATCCAGAACCACTTATCATCCCACGAGCGTACTCATCAACCTTAGCAGCCAATTCATGCATCGGTCCACCAAGTTGTTTTGTGACTCCCTATGACGGATATTAATCACAAATCAAAACAAGTTCAGCACCAAGTTGTCCAAACTACTTTATCCCATAATTGTTCTCAGCTTCCCAATTCCATCACATACCTTAGCAACTTCTCTTAGTTCCCTGAGAGGCCTGTTCGATTGCAGTCTACTGAGTGCACTGCTCAGAGCTCCAACGGGTGGTATAGGTCCGTCGAGAGAAGCCGTAGGTAAAGAGACTTGTTTGTTGTCATTGAGAATCACAATCATATCAGAGTCTAGGTAACCAGCATTGTTCATGGCTTCATAAGCCTGGCCAGCTGTCATCGCTCCATCACCGATCACAGCAACTACGTTGTTCTTTCTGTCCTTTAGGTCCCTTCCCACAGCCATTCCTGTTCCCATACAATCACATTACTCACTATCTATACATTCTAGATTCACACCAAAGAAAGCTGTGAGATCACTAGTGACAAGTATATACGATTGGTGGAGTATCTGTTTATTCCTACCTAAGCCAGCAGAGATAGTTGTGGAGCTATGACCAGTTCCAAAGCAATCATATTCACTCTCAGACCGTTTTGTGAAGCCAGCAAGTCCATTTGTCTGTCTGATGGTGTGCATCTTGTCTCTTCTCCCAGTCAGGATCTTATGTGGATATGACTGGAAAAATAGTTCTCAAACATTATACTGGGAACTTGGAAAAAATCAGAAAATTTATACCCATCAAACAAACAACTTCAATTCTATTTTGCTACCTGATGGCCTACATCCCAAAGAATCTTGTCCTGAGGGCAATTGAAGACATAGTGAAGAGCCACAGTGAGCTCCACAACACCAAGGCTGGAGCCTAAGTGGCCTCCAGTCTTGGAGACATTGAAGATCACATCAGACCTCAGCTCATCTGCCAGTTGTTTCAGCTCCTGATGTATAATACAATTCAAACTGTTCATGGTCAATAAAATTGAACAGATGACATTACAAAAAACTTGAATCTCAGTGAGTTAGATGGACACCTTGAGTGAAAGATTCTTCATATGAATTGGGTAGTTGATGGTATCAAGGAGAGGAGTTGGGGGACTCTGAGAATGATAGTCCCCTCTTTCTGACAATGATGCATAAACCCCACCATTACCCCTTCTCTTGGACTGTCCCTCGCCAAAAAAACAACCACCCATTAAATCATTTTCTCATGTGTCACCATGGAAACAACCAATTCCCAGAAGTGAAGAGATAGACAGATTTTTTTTTCCTGCACAGTTCAGAACCACAGGCTTACTACATAATGGAGACTGAAAACGGGACTGAAGCTAACCTGATTGACGTTGTGGGGAGACAGGGAAAGCAGATCTCTTCCCGTAGCGGAAAAAGAACTGAACTTTGCAGGATCTGGAACTCGGTTGGCATGAGCAGGGAATGAGAATGCACAGAGCGCCATTAGAGAGCAAGAAGAAGAAGAACCCAGAAAACAGGAAATGAGCAAAAGTACAGAATTTGGCTGGTGGGTATTAATGGAGAAGACGTTATCTTTCTCAGTTCCCACTAATTAAGTGGAAGCAACAGTGAATGAATAAGGAAAATTGGGGAGAGAATCTCTAACTCGTACCATGTCCCAAACGAAGCATTTGATCCGGGAGGTGATTGTCATATTTATAGGTCATGGAAATGGGAAGGAAGGCTTTTTCCACAACCCAGGGACCAGAATTGCGGGTCTTCGCTGATTGGTCCAGGTCATCAGCAATCACAAAGAGATAGAATGGATAGATAGATGGATAGATTTTACTATTTTAGTATATTTATGCATATCTATTCGTTTCTTTTCTTCTTCTTTCTTCCAATTCCTTTCTCTTCCTTTGGAAATGGTACCAAAAGCCGAATGGTAATAAGGGTCTCTTTCTTCCGAACGAGTCGTTAATTGACATGTTTTGGGTTCACAGTTCATACTCACAAGTAGGCTACTTCAGTGTTGGGGTGAAAAGGCGGCACGTTTGATCCTTTTGAACCATATGTTCCATTTGATAAAAAGCCAAAACACCACTTGCGTCAACAGGTTTCAATCAAAAGGGCCTAGCTCTCGGCTTGAAAAATGCCATTAAACCGTTGTCAGTGTACAGTTCCGTACAATTGTTTCAATTCTCTTGTCTTCCACAATACATTAGAGTACTCTGACGACAAGAGTCAAGAAGAGCACAAATCCCTTGAATAAATACCAATCTGATTGCCGAAGGCATAAAACTGTTCAGAGTATTGGCGTAGAACTAGTTCCAATAGTTGTTTATCTTTCCTTCTCTATGGAAATCTAAATCTTTGCAATCTCGACATATCATTTGCCTCAATATCGACTCTCACTCGCTTGTCAGTCGGCTCATGGAAATTGTATGATAAAACAATTTCATCTGCAGGAAAACATCAGCCCTCCAAATGTTCCCTTGGTTCACAATGAGGTGTCAAGTTAATTTACCGGCTCACAAGGGGAAATTCAGGGTCAGCAAATTTGGGGATGGTGAAACTACTCGAGAAAACAACACCAACTAAAGAACATTCAAGCCATCGTCAAGTTGAGCAGCATCTCAGAGACCAAAACACAGACTAGAATGAATGCAGAGTTTATAAAAGCACAATGTACACAAAGTCCAATAACCTGCGCAAGAAAGCATAATTTTTGCATCTGCTATATCAAACAGGCAAGTAATCCAAGAGATGATAATAAATCAAATAAGCTACAACTGCATTGCAGGCAATTATAATCTGTTATATGATACAGCATAACATTGACAATTGTCCAAAGCTTTCTGTTGTAATATTATAGCCTGGCATGCACTAAAAGAACAAGTGGCCTGGATCCCTACTGATCATGGTTTGTTGCTGTTATCCATCATACTAACCCAATCACTAACATCAGCAACATGTACTTGTTGCAACAACTGATAAAAAATTAACAATGCAGTTCAACTGATACCCTTTCAGTCTATGTATCGAGAGGCAAGATCCCTGAACAGTTAGTCTACTCATCGGGAACGTTCTTTTCAGCATCTGCAGTTTTATTGTTGTCCTCATCAACTGGTTCTGGTTCAGGTTCTGGTTCTGTTTCAGATGGAGGAGGTGGCAAAACTTGCAAGATCAACTCCAACAGTTCTTCCATATCAAGTTCTGGTCGCTGTTCTTGTTGCTCAACGATCTGCCGGCACATAATAAAATAGGGAAAAGAAAAGGGCTTAGCCACACAATAGATATGGCTGACAAGAAGTACAAAACAAAGTAAGAATCCCAAATTCATACAAGGGGAAAAAGCAGAAGGTGAAGCTATTGCCCCATCTTGATGAAGCAAAAAGCTTCCAAGGGGAAAACTAGACACTTTGTTAAGCCTTCGGCAGAAATTAGAATGTCTCGGGTTTGATATCACACCCAGTTGTAAAAATTGAGTGAAACACAAGCAGCAATAGTGCATCGAATCTCTTTGTAAGAACAGCAGCAATTATACGAGACTATGTAAATACAGCAAAACCAAGATCCCTAAAAGCAGAAAACTCGAAAGTATACCAACCGGGTCAAGCTCCACTAACTGGGAAGGCCTGGTGTTGATGATGCTCAGAATCTCAGCTTTGGTAAGCTTAAATTTCTGAGACTTTTCCAAGAACTCATTAATGTGCTCTTTAGTTTGATTGCAGGCAACTGTCCCCACCAAATAATCATAAACCTACAATCAATTCTAACAACTAGATATTATTCATCAGACAAGAAAAGAGAAACCAGATGAATGGTTCTTTTTTTCCACTACATACAATGAGGCATTCAATCCAAAAACCAAAATCAAGAACCTTGTATTCAGAGCGTCCCACACTAGCCATCACTCTGGTGGTATCCTTAGCAGCACCTCTTGAATTCAGCAAATGCAGCAGCTCGAAGTTTGTGATTAGACCTGCATTGCCCTCCTTTCTGCAACAAATTTATTAGTGGAAGGGTGGGGAAAAAATAGTCTCAAAATGGGTTGGTTGTTAGGGTGAAAATCGAGAGGATGAAAAGCGAGGGAAAACAGAAACAACATACATCTTCATTACTCAATTTCTTGCAGGATGACCTGAATAGTTACCTGAAAAAAAACGAAGAAGAGGCAAAAGTTCGATCAGAAACCAAAGCCTCGTCGAGAATTCAAATTTCAAGCAACAAACAAAAAGGACACTGCGAAAGCATTCATCTATCCAGCAAAATGATGGGTTTCCGTTTGAACCTGCAACTCAGATGCAGGAGTAAAGCAAGCAAACGAGACAAGGCGGAGAGGAGGAAACGGCGTCGAAAGATGGGATCTTTACGTCGCAACCGAGAATGGATACATTTACCCTTATTCCAAATTCAAACCTAAATCACAATTGAACAATCTCACCACCCCACCGCACCACCTCTGCTTCTCGCAGTCGCTGCGAGCTTGACGGGAAGGAGAGGACGAAGAAGAAAATCCCGGCCGGCAAAGGAGGAACAGGCGGTTTGAAATCTCGGCCCGCCCACGTCGACCTCCTTCCTCCTCCTGCTGGCGCCACGACGACGACCGACGACAAGCGGCAGGGTGGATTTCTTCCTCGATAGCAACCGGGGAGTGGGCTGGTGGTGTCGTTGTGGGTTTGGAGGAGGCGCCAGTGTTTTCGGGGAGAGGGTAAAGACGGTGACGGGAAGGGCTGGTGGTGTATTTGGGTTTTGTTAAGAATAGGGGCAAAATCGTCAATTCGGATAATTTTAGGGCGATCAATTCAAATATTTAGGGGTCAAAACCTCAAATAGAAGTTCAGTCCATGGATTTGGCGGCTACTATTGCCCTTTAGTTTTTTTTTTTTTTTCAAAAAGTTTGTAGGACAGAGGAAATAAGAAAAGCACGGGAATTAACCAATAGTCAAACTTTCGATGAGAGGGCTTTTGGTGTCACATGATGGATGAGCAGCCCTATATAGTCAACAAGAAACAAAGCAGTAAGAAATCCCAGTTGAAGTGAGAAGCTAAGCTCCTAGCATCCTCCAGTATAGCACCACCCCGATCATGCGCCAACCAAGTCGCCTCCCACCATCCGCCGTATCAATTGTTGTGAATCCCCATGAAATTTGACAGAGACAAATGACTGTGTCAACTATCATGCACCATTGTATGACATCTCTTAAGGCTAAACATTCTATAACAAATGGATCTTGTTATCCTTCATAACACTTTCCAAAGCAAAAAGAATATTACCTGACACTTGGAAAACACAAAGCCAATACTACCTCCGTAGCTTGACCGCACCATCAAACCAAACATTCATTGTGTTCGAGTGGGTTCCTTCAACATCAGGGTTGCCATTTCCAAGTGCTCCATCAAATCTCATCAAAAGGTCACCTCTAGTGGACAAGACAGAACCGCTACCGATCAATTATTTTCTAATTGAATCTTCACCTGCAGAATGAGCAAACAAAATGACCTCTACAAGGACAATCCATGCCATGATGCCAATGAGCTAACAAGCCAACATAGACACAAGGCAGCTTTTCGCCTTAAAATAATAAACCAGGTTATCGGGAAACTCTAGATAACCCTAGACTATTACCCTTTAGTCTTTACTTATATCAAAATTATAGTTCGGTAGATTTTATAATTTGGTACCTACATTGTAATATGGTTTGTAAATGAGTTCAAAAAATAAAAACTTGTACATTTTTTTCTCACCTTCCATTACCTAAGCTTTTAATTGTCTACAAACAGGTCCAAATTTTTTATGTATAGCAGTAGAATAGACAAATTTATACCCAACTAAAATATGAAAGCAATATTTATATGGTATCGAAAACTGTCCGAATGATGCCAAGCACATACATATCTTGGAATTCAAATTTTAATAATGACATTACTAAAGGGTTCTCTAGTTCTCTCTGCCTTCTCTTTAGAGGCCCCCTCTCCTTATGAGTTTGGGGTTGTTGTCGGCGTCTCTCCGACGATCGGTGGCACCCTCCACCCCCTTCTTTTGTTGTTTTTCTTATGTTGTTCCTGCTTTCTTTCTATTCTCCATGCCTTTTGTTTTTTTTTCCCCTGCCTTTTAGGCTCGGTTTTTGCCTGTGTTGGGTGGTTGTCTTCCCCGTTGTTGGGTTCCTCTTCTTCCCCTATGTTGGGACGAATCTTTTGCCCTCCGATCTGTTGGCTCGAATCTGGAGATGATGGTCCGATCTAAGAAGCGATGGAGGCCGGATCTGTTTCAGGTATGGCTTGTCTTTTCCTTTTCTCTCTCTAGTCTACCTCCTTGTCTCACCTTGCAGATCTAGATGTTTCGGAGATGCAGCCATTGGTGTCGGACTCATGGTGGAGAGCTTGAAGACAGAAGTCCTTCTTCCTCTGGTGCGTTCGTCGGCGGCCGGTCGTCTAATGTGGTCCTCTGGTTCTGTTCAGTGGGCGACAGTGACGACCGACCCGAGGTGGGATGGTGGAGATCTCTCTTCCTCGTCCTTCCATCCGGGTTTAGCGGAAAGGGTTCCTCGGAGTTGGAGCGCGGCGGTGGTTGCTGGTGGCGGCGGCGGTGCTGGGTGGCGCAACGACGATGGCGTCTTCTTGGCTGCGACGATGGAGGCTTCAGAGGGGGCAGATGAGCAACTAGGATTTGGAAGCCACACATGTTCTTGGGTCTGGGTCTGGGTCTGGGTCCTATTGGGTGCCGGTCCACTTGTATTTTTTGGGCCTTTTGTTTGGTTTTCTGATTCTTGTTCTTTTCCATTTGGGCTTGGCCCGATCACTTTCTTAATGAACAACTCTTTAAAAAAAAGCATACATATCTTGGATTTGGATACAATTATCGATAATTATTATTCAGCCGGAGTTTGGTGCAAAGATTAGAAGTTAGAGAGTTACTTCAATGTAATTGGTTGTGAACAGTTCACAAACTAATAATTTATTCTTCTTAAGAATTATTATAACCTTTTTCAAGAGGTTAACCTAGTGGCAATGTTGATTCAAGGAGTTACCACATAAAATGTTGGGGAGCTCTTAGTTACACAGCCTGGATCAATGGCCAATTAATAAAAGATAATATCATACAACTTCAAGAGGTTAACCTAGTGGTAATGTGGATTCAAGGAGATTCCAAGTAGAACAAACAAAAATAATGCTCTTGCTGCTAACTTGAATGCAATTGAACTCTGAGCCATTAGATTGAAGTCTCTACAGAATTGGAACTTAGAAGAGTAGTACAGGGTTCATTACTGGCTCTTGGAATGCTTTAGCTCGTACAAGATTCAGTTTCAACTACTGGCTCCCTCATAATTCCCTCAAAAGCGGACTGATTTTCACTAAGCACAGTGGGACAACTCTCTTTAATCTATTGACTAGTAACAACAGAGTAGGCAAAGGAGACCTTAGGGAACAAGAGTAACAACAGTGGAGTTAACACTACCTGGCAGATGCCTTAAAGTGAAGAAATTCAGAACTACAGCAGTAACATCAGCTCCTATAACCTCTCAGGTTTGCTGTAATCACCCTAGCTATTCTATAAAAAAGTAATCGTCGTCTCTCGCAAGGTAGAACAGTATAATACTAAAGAGTGAAACAAATGGAAAAAAAAGGCATCTGATGACCTGGAATTGCTTCAATTCCTTAGCTAACTTCAACTGATAATGCAAGACGGCATTTCCAGAATGGTTCAAAATAAAAACATTGATTCATTCTACCGTTGCCAAGAAAATGCTAGAACTTCATTACTTGACAAGATTGCAAACTCATTTCTTCCATCAGTTCACCATGAGCACAACATAATAAGGGAGCGAAAGCAAGATGCCAATCTCCTAAACTTAGAACGCTATAAAAAGTTTCAGCAGTGAAGAACACGGAAAGGGTTTCAGAACACCGCCTACAGACAGCATCAATGAAATATTCGTCTAAACATGGGCCAATAAAAACCTGGCTGCCATTATTCATTAGCAGAATTGTTGTTTGCTCACTCATTTCATCTTTGCCTCTGTGAAAAGAACATGGCGGTTCACCCTCGGGTCATACTTCCGGAACTCGAGCTTCTCCATGACTTTCTTGGAGCTCTTCTTCTTGACATAGAAGAACCCTGTCCCGGCTGCTGAGATAAGCCTGATGAACATGAACGTCTTCTTCTTCTTGTCACCCATTGCCTTGTATCACATCACAAGAAAACAGAACCAAAATTAAGCATACAATCCCATAACCCAGAAAGAAACACAATAGCAATAGCAATTATTCAGTGAAGGTGGACCAGATTGAAGAACAGCAAATCCCCAACTGGACTCAGAGATCAGTTAACTAGCACGAACCCGGAATCGCAATGGACTAAAACCAAACAATCCAACTGTAGGTAGAAATCGAGAACTTTACACTCTATGAAGACCAGTTCAGATGAAGCACAAAGACTTGACCTTTCCTTCCTAATCCTGGCAAGACCTTTCCTTCCTAAACTAGAAGGAGCTTCACAAGCTACACAGGCCAAAGAAATGGTGAAACCTCTCCTGAACATAGAATTTTTCAGAGGGTTTCTGTTTGGTTAATCCCTACTTGATATCTGGTCGAACAGCACTTTAGCAAGTAGGATTCACCAAATCAGAACTTCCTCAATCCTTTGATGCATCTATCAATTCTATATACCCTTCATACAACAAGTTGCTAAAAAAATTGCGAAATCTACAGCCTAAATTGAAACGAGAGAAAATTCATCCTTGTTCCTCAATTATGAAAAGTTCCATACCGTGAGAGAGTGAAAGATAGCCGGACAGAAAAGAAAGGATGGCGAGCAGAGAGCGGCGAGTGTCTCGTACTGATCTCAAGGCGGCCGGCGGCAAGGGTTTAAGAGGAGGATGAGCGAGAGAGAGCTTAGGGTAAGGACTAAGGAGTATGGCAATTAGGGGTGGCCGTTCGGTTACCGGTTACCGGTTAACCGCCCGGTTATCCACTAACCGGTAACCGAACTTTGGTCGGTTATCGGAGGCTTGACAAAATGGTTTTTGGTCTTAAAAGTGGTTCGGTTAACCGATAACCGAGATAACCGAGAAATCGAAGCCTATTTCAGTCGGTTTTCGATAGAGAAGGTGGTTATTTCGGTTAACCGATAACCAGCCGATCGGTTACCGGTTATAACCGAACTGCCACCCCTAATAGCAATCACAAATTTACGGCTTGCATGATTACCGATTTAGTCCTATTACTTTCGTCATTGACATCTCAGTCCTAGTCAATATCCTGTAGGATGGCAATGGGTCGGGTTGGGTCGCGTTTTGCCAAACTCAAACCCAAACTCATGGGTTTATCCGTGAAAAAAATCCGGGGTAAACCCCATTGGGTTTGAAAAACTCAAACCCAACCCATCCTGCTGGGTATCCGCGGGTTCATGGGTACCCACGGGTTTTTATCGTAAAAAATTTACAATGATAAGTTCCTATCAAAATTAAAGTCTAATATCACTCTCTCAATACAATTATCCATATACAAAACACTATTCTAGAAAATTCAAGCAAATCACAAATTAACTATACAAATTGTTCAACACAAATCTAGAAAACTCAAGAAAATTGAAGTCAATCACAAATTATCCACAAATAACATGATTAATTGAAAGCTTCTTCCTTTCAATTAAGTTTCTTCACTCTCCACTCGATAACATCAACTTCATTCTACACAATTAGATAGAAAAAATTAAACATGTCTCCACAAACATAAATAAGATTAGTTGTTTAGAGTATTAAATATACCGAGAAAATTAATTATATGGATGTGGGCGGGTACCCATGGGTCGGGTTTACCTAAACCCAATCCGGTGAATAGTTAACGAGTTTAAACCCAAACCTGGCCCAAAACCCGTCAACACGGATTTTACCCGCGTTGACCGGGTTGGGTCGGGTGGGTACCTGTGGGTTCAGATTTTGTTGTCATCCCTAATATCCTTATTAATTATCCGGGTTGAAAAGGTGTTAGGCAGAAGGCGGGTGATGAGTGTTTGTCTAGCGCGTAGCTTACTTAGACCTCGTCATTAACAACTTACTTCACAGTTCACACTCAACAATAGGAAGAAAAAAAAACCCATTCGTTCATATAATCATAGCTCATAAAGTTCTTGAGCCATTAATATAAATGATTTAAGTTTGTAGATACGTTGATTTACCCATTTGATACTGACTACCTACCTTGCTCTAATTATGTCTAGGCGATACCTGGGTGTCTTCTTATTTCACGACTTGTTCTTGATTTCTTGGCGTGTCTAAATGCAGGTAAAGTGTGTTTTTTTTAATCATGTTAATTCATGGTTGTCATGTCAGTGGCATGTCAATCGGTTGAACCTGGTTCAACTAGTGTCGGTCATGAAGCCAGCATAAACACCATTGATATGACTGACATGATCAATTTACGAATATAAGTAAAATGACTTCGTTTTAGTAAAATTTATTAATAAAAAATGAATTTATTATATATTTTATGAATATAAAAAGTTAAAAGTTGAAGTAATTATGGATTTAGGTATAAACGTATAGATATTAACGTTAAATATTGTATTTAAATACGAATATTTTTTATTTTATTAAGCTGGCATAAATTGGCTCAAACTTATTGTATCCCTGATCGTACCATTTCGCTTGCTAAATCAACGCAACTATATAAACCGGTTCGACAATTATTTAGTACGCTGAGTCAGCTGGGGTACGATGGTAAATTACGTGGATCCTTATGCTCCATTTTCCTGGAAACCAAACAGAACCGGGTGTCTCAGTTGAGCTCGCTCAGTAAATTCTCTGTTGGAGTCGCGAAGAGCTCTTTTCCTTCCTCTGCGCCAACGACGAGGTATGGATCTGTGAGAATGTTAATCCTTTGGTTTTCCGCCATTTTTTGTTTTCCCCTCTATCTCTGATTGGGAACAAATGCGAAGCTTTTCGATCGGATAAGTGGGAAATTGTGTTAATTGGAGTGTAGGGGCAAAGGTTGAAAGATGGCGAGTAGTTCGGTTGACGAGGCCGGAAATCCGATCCCGACGTCGGCGGTTCTTATGTCGGCGTCGAAGCACATTGGGAAGAGATGCTATAGCGAGAATTTGGAGTTCATCAAGTGCAAGCAGCAGGATCCTAACCCTGAGAAATGCCTCGATAAAGGGCGGCAAGTCACTCGCTGCGTCTTGGGCCTGTAAGCCATCTCATCGCCTTCAAAATGCTCCAAAAAAAGCTAGCTGCTTTTTTAACTGTTGATTGCCATTCTTGTGTGAGGGTCTGCTTCTCGTCTTTCTTTGTTTATTGACTGCTTCGGAACAAAATGATTTCTCATTTTAGGGTTTTCGAGTGTGAGATTTGGCCATTGGATTCTTTGCAAGTGATTCATTCTCTGCTTCAATGAGCTTACCAGGGTAGCTATTTAGTATTTAGCTCATTTTGGGGATTGGCTAACAGCTTGAACCGTACCTTTCCTCATTTCCTAGGAGATTACTGGATCAACTTCAGTTTGGCGATTCCTCTTTGTTTGCTGATTTGACTTTATGGCCGCGAAGTCGATTCTCATTTAGGGTTTGTGACTGTGGAGTGTTTAGGCAAGCGATTCTCATTTTTGGTTTGGTGTTCATGGGGGGTGTGTGACTGTGGAGTGATTAGGCAAGCGATACATTCTGCATTAGGGCTAATTATTTAGCTCAGTTGGTGATTTTGCACCTTGTACAATCCCTCTTCTCTTTCTATGAGGTTACTGAATTCATGGTTTGTTCAGTGAACGAATCATTAACTTCGGTATGCCTAATGGTAATACCACTAGGTTGGAGTTTGCAATTTATGGTGGTCGTGGCTTTAGAGAAGAAATGCCGTATTCTTGCATTGTGATGTGGAAGTTATTGTTTTTGGTAAATGGAGTGGATGTGTCTGCATGATGCTCTTGCTGCTAACTTGAATGCAAGTGAACTCTGAGTAATTAGATTGAAAATCTTTAAAGAATTGGAACTTAGAAGAGTATAGTACAGGGTTCATTACTGGCTCTTTGAATGCTTACTCGTACGAGATTCAGTTTCAACTTTCAACTACTGGCGCCCTCATGATTCCTTTACGTAGGACTAGGATATAGTTTCAGCAGAGTCATTAGTACCAATATATTTTCCCCCCTATATAGAACCACCATTCTGTAAACAATACTTTGATTGGTCTGATGTTTTCATTTGTATATACGAAATTCACAATTTATATAGTCTGAAGAAAACTTTTACTGACCTGCATTTTGCCCTCAGTTGCTTGCGTGCCCATGATTTGCTATTAGCATATGTACATTTGCATCCATTTTACCCTTCTCCAGTATGGAATCCATTTGCTTTGACAATGCCTGGCCAAAAAAGGTTTAATCAGTTGATATCCCATTTGTGCAAGCCCAGTTTAGGGCCATAGTTTTACCATCTTTCCTAAGGAGTCCTCAACTTCTTACATCACATCATTGACAATTTGACATAGAACTACGCATGTATACACAAGAAGAATTGCTGCAGTTTTTAGCAGCTGCATGACTGGGAATTCAATCCGCTTTTGTCATTTGCAGGCTGAAAGATCTACACCAGAACTGCACAAAACAAATGGACGATTACGTCGGCTGCATGTACTACAACACAAATGAGTTTGATCTGTGCCGCAAGGAGCAACAAGCATTCGAGAAAGAGTGCCCTCTGTAGTGATTCTATCTAGCCAAAAATCTGGATGTTCGGTTCCCCCCTGCTTAGTTTAATAATCTGTAAATGGCAATCCGCCATGAGCAAAACACCGTGGTTTTGAATTCGTTTTCTGTTGTCGATTGTATTAATGGATCTCTTTTGGGTTTGGATACGTTTTTGCCATGTAACTCTCTGCACTTGAGAAATATTAGTTGCATTTACCTCCTTCAGGGATTTTGCTCTTATACATCTATGAGAACATGCACATAGCGCCTAACGCTTGCCAGAACATGCTCGTATGCTCCATAGCAGTCGGATGGAGCGAATGGCATTGTAATGCGATGGCTGTGAAGCGTCTGTACGCAATCTGACAAACGAGGGGCAATGTGAGCAAGGCTTCAGATTCCTTGTGCACACCATAGCTAGGTTGTCCTGGATGAATGTCACGATGCTACATTCAGTTTACTCGGAATATCGTCGTTACCTTGAAAGTCATCTACTCAAAGAATCAACTCCAGAAGCCCAAATAGGGGGAAACAACCAACAAAACCGACATCAAATTCTGAATCTCCTGATGTTCCCCAAACTACAAATTTGTACAGAAATCAAAATGGCCAATGTAGAAAAAGAGACTACAGCATCCGCTAGCATCAGAAGAGTACTATTCAGTCTGAAGTAACTAGACCTAGAGACAGAAGGGAGAAAAAGGAATGAATTTGCTGGGAGAAAGGAGGAAACACTGATAACTGATTGCACATCTCAGATTCACACATTCCCATCAGCCATCAACCGTACAACCAAGCAGTGCAGAGAAGATCAGACGAAGAGAGGATGACGATCAGGCACATGCACATTAGCTGTCGACAAAAAACAAGATAAACAAATCATTGTATAAGCGAACAACTTTCTCCAATGGCAAAAGAAGATATTACAGTTGTCCACGGTACGAACAGGCTACAGGAGGAACTCACTCGTATGACCTTGAACCAGACAGAGAAGGACTGAACCGATTATCCTTGGGACTCATTGATCTACCAGAGGCATGGTCCCGCACTTCCTGAGGACTACGACCATTTCCAACTAGACTTGGAGATCTCCTGTTAGACCTATGATCCCTTTCTTCATCCTGTGGAGAGTATGATCTTGAGATTGATCTAGATCTCCTTGAAGTATGGTGGTCATCCCTCACTCTGTGATCCCTGCTTCAGAAGCAATAATTGGATAATGAATTAATCATACACAAACTCTTGTAAGAAACAGAAATCAGTAATGTTGTTGATCTATGGCATTTTGGACATTCAAGTAAATAAAATGGAGCCAACCTTCTTCAGTCAGCATATTGAAAAACAAAGGCAATTCTAGAATGCACTGTAATTGAAATCGAATTCGGATTATGTACAAAATAATGTTCACATGAGACCTCGTTGAAATCCAACTAAACAGAATATGACTTTTTACCTGTTACCATTTCAGGATTCCAGTACAAATAATGATACTTGATCCAAAACACTTTGAAAGCTGGGCTCTACAAGGATTGTACTGGCCGGATCAGCATCTTGCTAACTTCACAGTTCTCAATCTCTTTGCCCCAACATCCTAAGAAATCAGTCTATCTTTTGTTTTCTGGGACAAGGCCATGACATCTCTCTACCAGTAAAACTTTGGACTAGCTTCCCTCTTTGAAGATGATGATTACTCTTTGTGCCAACTATAAGCTTTATATTCTTTTCTTAACTGGATCGTATATGCAAAACAGCACACAAACTCAACAAATTGTCCTTCACAGGTAGTAATTATGTCAAACTTGAGAGAACAGAAAAATAAGACAAATGAAAGGGCAAATACTTTCCCTACTCTCTGAGTCTCTGTACTGCATTTAACTAGTCATGTTATTGAACTGTAACAATTTTCGAAAACCAAAGAACAGGGGTGCCAGCAGTAATTTGCAGACAATGGCTGATGAAGGGTATACATTGGAAACCCTGAGCTTCAAATTTTCAGTAAAAGATTCAGGAGTGACAATTCCAGCTTCCATATTACAAAACAAAACTTCTATTTTGTTTATACAACTTAAGTATTTATTTGGAGCAGAATTGCAACAAACAAGAATAAAATGAGAAAGAACACTGACCATAGTGCATTAGTCATGGAAAGAGAAGGAATAACAGCACAGCCCTATATAAATTAACTGGGTGCATTAGGTTCTCTAAACTTAATGATCAAGCTCTCTAGAGCAATAAAAAACCAAATGCATGTTTGCTGCTGCATCTACCACCAATATATCGAGGGAATATGAATCCCATTCAATCATACTACTCTCCTTTAGGTGATTATACCATCATATTTGCAACATAAAAATAGTGGATTAATATGATGACTATCACATGAATGCCTCGGACTTCATACCTCATCAAAAGAATGTTACACATGAACGACAAAGTAAGCAATAAGGATAGTGATAACCAAAAAGAATCTCATGATAAGTAGAATGGAAAAGTAAGATGGAAGCTAAGGGATCCAAACCTCGTGTCTCTCCTAGGTGGCGAAGCAGAGCGTGATGAAGCTGGAAAGAAAGATCTATTAGTCAGAAGACTGTCCCCTCTATGACATCTTCACATTGCATCATTCAAATAATAACACCATAATGCTAAAGTAATGATTCTGAAACTACAGATAATAGATGAGAGATATTTATAACTGACATCGGAATCTGCGTCTTGGAGACCTTGGTGGTGATCTGTGCCTACTGCTGCCACCATGTCGACTGCTGAAATTAATACACCAACCAATAATGCACAATTGAGAGACCTGGATAGTGTACAAAAACATTCACGAAAGGTGAACCATGCAGTCAATAACTCACCTTGTACGGCCACCAGTTGAAGACATTTCCTGAGGAGTTTTCCGGTTTTCCTCAGCAAAAACAATCCGAATCTCCCGTCCACCAATAAATCTATGATTCATTCTTTCCTTAGCTATCGCTGCATCTTCGCCATAACGATACTTGACAAACCCAAAGCCTCGAGGCTCCCTGCAATACATATTGGATCATTCAATAATGTGCATATTATAAACCACACACTTCATTCTGAAATCCAAGGACCACCCACAGAACCACATGATCTCGTTCAGCAGAATACGTAAGTTGACCTATGAAGGAGTAATTGGCAGTTACTATAGGGATATCACTAATAATCGTCATTACAGAAAGAACAAAGGAAATAATAATAAGAGAAGAACAATGAACTAGCGAGCATACCCAGTATGGTAATTCTTAGGCAGATAGATATCTTTAACAGGGCCATACTTCTGAAACGGGATCCTGAGATCCTCAGCGCTGCAGCAAAATAAAGTAACAACCCTAAATTTCACATCCCAAAGAAAGAAATATTTAAAAGATATCAACTCAAATTACATACAATCGTGCCAAACAACAGAACGCTACCCAAGGAGGAATGAGCTATCCATATTACATAGCTTTAGGCAGCAAATCTTGGCTGAAAATTGCATAATGCATGGTCAACCGAAACTTACTTCAACCTAGAACCAAACATCAGGACTCTAATGTAACGCACTCTTTCCCCAGCTCACTCCCGCTATGTCAACAAACTCACAAGCCAGTTGAGAAGGAAAACCCCAACTCCAAACTAACACAAACGCACTCAAAACAGCGCCAGCGCGACAGAATGCAGACTATCGAGAACGGAAGGAGTTGTAGTACCTAGCGGTGAGAGGGAGATTACGGACGAGCAAACCAGAAGGAAGAGGGGAGCGTCGGTCTCTACGGGAACGGCTGTCGCGGTAACGATCGCGAGGCTCGTCGTCGCTGCCGTCGTCGTCGTGCCGCTTGCGCAGTCGAGGAGGGGTCCTGCTGCGGGGGCGGCGGGGACTGTAACTCCGGCTGCGGTACCTTGCCATTTGCGAAGGTGGGACGAAGGGGAACAGAGCGGAAACCCTAGAGTGGGAAGGGAGCGCAGAAAGGAAATTTTGAATTTTGTGAGCGATTCGGAAAAAAGGTTTTTTTTTATTTTGGAGAGAGATGGAAGGGCAAAGGGCGCGGATAGGTCATATTAAGAGGAACCGTAGGAATGTGGCTCGCTAAAGGGCTCAAGGCAAGGTTGTCAAACCGGTTTATGTCGGTACGTCGGTTTTACGAGTGGAATGGTTCTACCGTGGTAGAACCAGTTTCATGCCGGTTATGCCGGTTTGTGCCGGTTTTACCAAAATTGACCAACAAAATGGAGATTTAAGAACAGAGTTGTTTTCCCCCGGTGGAATTCTTTTCAGCTTCTTAATTATGCTTCTGCATTCAGAGACAATTCTCCCACGAAGTGAAGAACCCTGAGGCGAATGTTTATCTCTGCAAGTTACCTGAGGCGAGGAAGAAGGTGGCGAATTGAGGCGTCAGAGGAGGAAGGGCTGCTGTTTCGTGCCTCGCCGGAGGTATTTCTGCTGGCGAATCGAGGCGTCGGAGGAAGGGCGGCTGCTGTCGAGTCGAGCCACCTCGTACCGGTTGCTGTGGAATCGAGGCGTCGGAGGAAGGGCGCACCGGAAGGAGGCCACGCCAAGCCGCGCCGGAAGGAGAAGGAGAAGGAGGCCTCGCCGGAAGGAGAAGGAGGCGATCGGATGGGTCGGCTGGATCGGAAGGAGGTGTTGCTCTTGCTCGGCTGCGGGAGAAGAATGGGTCGTCGCGATTTGTTGCTCGGCTGCGGAAGTGAAACCCTACAATTAACAGCAAAACGCGATCGTTTTTAATTTTTTTTTTTTTTAAACAAAACGTCGTCGTTTGTGTCATTTGGCCGGCATCTCTCATACCGGTTGAACCACCGGAATTCCCGGTTTTGACCGATTTTGACCGGCTTTGACTGGAGGGTTGTGCCGGTGGTATTCCAGCCGGTTTCATGACCGGCACCGGTTGGACCTGGTTCAACCGGCCGGCATACCACTGGCATGACAACCATGGCTCAAGGGCTCAAGATAGAGTGCATAACCACCAATCAATAACCAAATCTGAAGCATTCATTTAAAAAATCCAGATCTAAGAATGAAGAATTAAAGACAATTTTTATTTTTCCTAGCTTTCTTAATTGACTCATATCTTTTTCGTTTTAACTCGGATTTTAATTTTTTTTGCACAGATGGAACGAGTTCACCGTGCTCTACAAAATGAGATCAATTTTCAATATTTTTTTAGAAAAAAAAATTCTGACATCTCGATACCAACTGCATACCATATGGTATCTTCTTTGTTTTTAATTCGTTTTTGAAAACGTTTGCACAGAAGGAACGAGTTCATCATGATCTACTGGATCTACAAATTTCTGGGTGAACAAATTACAGGACCAAAAAATACCACACAATACCATACAATACTACCCTGGTACGGGGTGGTATTGTATGGTATCTTCTTAGTTTTTAATTCGTTTTTGAAAACGTTTGCACAGAAGGAACGAGTTCATCATGATCTACTGGATCTACAAATTTCTGGGTGAACAAATTACAGGACCAAAAAATACCACACAATACCATACAATACCACCCTGGTACGGGGTGGTATTGTATGGTATCTTCTTAGTTTTTAATTCGTTTTTGAAAACGTTTGCACAGAAGGGACGAGTTCATCATGATCTATTGGATCTACAAATTTCTGGGTGAACAAATTACAGGACCAAAAAATACCACACAATACCATACAATACCACCCTGGTACGGGGTGGTAATGTGTGGTATACAATGTTAAAAGTCGTAAATTACAATTAATATACTTCTACTATCATGTATTCAATCATCCTACAGTCTTGGTTTGTTCATACCACCATGGTACGTTTTTCAAAACATAGGTATGCTTTTATTTCAATACCAGTCAATACCATATGGTATAGACTGGTAAAAAATGGCTCAAATTTTTTTGTTCGAAAAATATATTAAAGTGGATATCATTTTGAAGAGCACAATTAATCTGATCTAACTGTGCAAAAAAATTAAATTTCAACTTAAAATGAGCGAGAAATCGTCCGTCAAAGATTAAAGAGGGAAAAATTAAAGGTTTTCCAGGAGAGAGAGGATGCTGATGTCATGCTGATGTGGACGGGTTACTCATGGTTACTCACCATAAGGTTACTGACCTGATCCATTCCCAGGCTCAAGATAGGGTGCATAACCATGGGTTATGCACCCATCAATAACCAAATTTGGACCTTTCATTTAGAAAATCCAGATCTGAGAATGGAGAATTAAAGACCATTTTTATTTTTCCTAGCTTTTTTAATCGGCTCATATCTTTTTCGTTTTAACTCGAATTTTAATTTTTTTTGCACAAATGGAACGAGTTCATCTTGCTCTACAAAATGAGATCAATTTTCAATATTTTTTAAGAAAAAAAAAATCTGGCCTCTCAGTACCAACTGCATACCATATGGTATTTTCTTCGTTTTTAATTCGTTTTTGAAAAAGTTTGCACAGAAGGGACGAGTTTATCATGATCTATTGGATCTACAAATTTCTGGGTGAACAAATTACATGACCAAAAAATACCACACAATACCATACAATACCACCATGTATTATGGTATTTTCTTCGTTTTTAATTCGTTTTTGAAAACGTTTGCACAGAAGGGACGAGTTTATCATGATCTATTGGATCTACAAATTTATGGGTGAACAAATTACATGCCCAAAAAATACCACACAATACCATACAATACCACCCTGGTACGGGGTGGTATATTATGGTACACAATGATAAAAGTCGTAAATGACAGTTAATATACTTCTACTATCATGTATTCAACCATCCTACAGTCTTGGTTTGTTCATACCACCATGATACGCTTTTCAAACCATATGTATGTTGTTATTTCAATACCAGTCAATACCATATGGTATAGACTGGTAAAAAATAGCTCAATTTTTTTTTGTTCGAAAAATATATCAAAGTGGATATCATTTTGAAGAGCACAATTAATCTGATCTAACTGTGCAAAAAAAATTAAATTTTGACTTAAAACGAGTGAGAAATCGTCCGTCAAAGATTAAGAAGGGGAAAATTAAAGGCTTTCCAGGAGAGAGGGATGCTGATGTCATGCTGATGTGGGCTGGTTACTCATGGTTACTCACCATAAGGTTACTGACCTGATCCGTTCTCTCGCTAAAGTGTAGGGTTGTGAATTGTGATAAGCCATCAAACCGATTTGACAAGTGGTTTGAGGTTTAATAGTAGGATCGGATTCAATCAGTTCGAGTTGGTTTTATAATATAATAAGTGAGAAAAATTTTAAATACCAAAGAAATTATTTTACTAATCTACATCCTCATATCTTCTAACCTGGTATTGACTGGTCAGACCATCCTAATTGGTTTAACCTGGTTTGATTTTATCAGAACCATCTAAACGGTGTGTATTTCAACAGTTTAGACGAGCGATTCTGATTGGACCTCGCTTAACCGGCCCTTCAGATAAGGGTTTGACAACCTTGCTAAAATTTCTAGACATAAAATTGCTAAACGCTTTTATAAATGAAATTTGTGAATTACATACTTCTCGTATTCAATTTCAAGTACAACACACTAAACGTGTTCATAAACATAATACGTAAATTACATGCTTCTTATATTGAACTTCAAATTCGGCACACCGTTCAAGTAGCTTTCTATCTCTTCCCTCTACTGAAATCGACCACCACTCTCGCTGCCTCCGACCAACACCCCAACCAAATTTAACTAATAACTTTGATACATTAGTAGGTTATTCGATTAGAAAGTCCTCCGTTGAATTCTACCTTGGTTTCAGAGGATTATCCCCTGCTCTTCATCGATTTCTTTCTCCGTTTGTGTTTGTTTCCCAAAAAATCATGCATTTCATTTCTTGTTAGGCGGCGGCCTTGATTTTTGTTGGGCCGGCCATTGACCATTAACACACCAAAAATTAAGAAAATAGTATTTTAACCCATAGGTGTACCATAGGTTTTCATTGCTCTCGATCGATCCTTTTATCCCCTTCCAAAGAAAATTGATGCTTTAGAGTTTAGTGTAGTGTGGGTGTCGAGAAAATTTGAAGGCGGTTAACTCCGTCTCATGCATGTTTTTATGTTGAAATTTTGATGCTTTAGTGTTGTGTTTGGGTGCTGAGAAAACTCAAGGTAGTTACTCCATCTTCATGCATGCTTTTCTGTTGGAAGATTGATGTTTTAGCCTAGCATATAGGGGTGGCAGTTCGGTTATTTCGGTTATAATCGGTAACCGATCGGCCGGTTATCGGTTAACCAAAATAACCACCACCCCTACCGAACACCGACCGAAATAGCCTTCGATTTCTCGGTTATCGGTTAACCAAATCACTTTTAAGACCAAAAATCATTTCGTCCAGCCTTCGATAACCGATCGAAGTTCGGTTACTTCGGTTATCAGTTAGTGGATAACCGGTCGGTTACCAGTTTAACCGACCGGTTAACCAGTAACCGATAACCGAACGGCCACCCCTACTAGCATATAAGTGTTGATAAAATTATAGGTGGTTAACTCTCTACTTGCATTGCATGATGAAAGTATTCCCTGTATGCATAATATTGGTTGATCTTGATTTTTGTTTGGCCATGGAATTAATATCTAGTAATTAATTGAGAAAGAAATAGTTATGTGCACAAAAGCTGGGAGATGACTAGAGCTCGATGAGGAAAAGTATACAAGGTTTGAGTAGTGGTCTTTTTTTTTTACAAAAGATAAATTCAATAAAATAGATAGTTACATCCTGGAATTCAGTCAAGCCTGAAAATCAAATACACAACTCCTAGTCGGGTACAAAGAGAGGGTTTTACGCATGGTAAAGGAAACCGTACCGGACATCATACCGGATTCCTTTCTGGTATGGTATTTTGTGGTACGACCGTGGTTCAACCGTTTTGTACCGGTAAATACCGTTTTTCACTATGATAGAGAAATGAAATGCGATAGTATAAAAAATATAATCCATCAAAAAAATAACCAAATAGAGCATTATACAACCACGGTGACCCATTTTCAACATAGAAAAATAGCAAAATAATATTCTTTTTTAATTATTTCCCACATATTGGACGAGAATACGGAGAAATGAAGCTGAATCATAGATAGGAAACCGGATCGTACCGGTCGGTTCAACCGGTTCAACCGGTCAAATCGAAAAAACCGGCCGGCACGGTAAAATCAGCACAATCATCCCACCGTACCGCTTTTGGTCCAATTTTTGGTTGAACCGGCCGGTACGATCCGGTTTCCTGGTCTATGGTTTTACGAGCCACCATATGAGCTTCCCTATTACTACGCCGACCTACAAATCGAACATGAAAACCAGTGGAGCTGGAAAAGTTTGGCAGAAGTTCCTCCAGAACAGCTCCGACTTGGTTATCCCTGGCATCCGCTTGATTGATTTTATCAATAAAACCTTAGCATCACCTTCAAACATCACCTCTGAGAGACCAACTGATAAGCACCACGAAACCGCCTCCCTGAGGACAAGCAACTCGACCACCTTGGGGTCATCAATGCCAGGAAACTGAACACCGCGGGCCATCCAAACTGCCCTCGTTGGAACCAGCAGAACTATCCCACCCGCCGAATGCGACCCCCTTCGCACCGCCCCATCCCACATACAAACAACATTATCACCCCCAACTAGACCAAGTTGATGCGTTCCCGGGGACCTACAGCAGGGGGGTCATTCCTAGGGATCCCATCCATAGGCGGCCGTATCCACTCCTCATACTGTTGATGGAATTGACGCATCAGGGCAGGGAAACTGAACTGCTTTCCTTCGAACACCACCCAATTCCGGGACTGCCATATCCGCCACAGAACAGCCACCACGGCCATGAATAGAGAAGGCTGGTGAATCAGCGCCATAAGTCTCTTCAGAAACAAAGGGAAGGTATGCCCAGGGAGCCCCTCCCCCAGATACCCAAGACCAGAATAGTCCCAAAGGGCACGAGCCACTGGGCAGTCTAAGAACAAATGCTCCATCGTTTCTGCACTTACCCAACAAACCGGGCATCTAGGGTGAACCGGGACACGCTTTTCAATTAGGGCCTCAGTGGTAGGCAAGATACGATTGAGGATCTGCCAGACAAAGATCTTGAGCTTCGGAGGGATGTTTGCATCCCACAAACGAACCCAGGATTCTTTATCCATCCAACCAACCGAAGACCGCCAACCTCTCCTCCTCCTATCAATGTCAACAGCTAAATGGTACGCAAATTTGACCGTAAAAACCCCATCCGCCGTGCCATGCCAGATCAACCTGTCCGCTACATTCTACCTTGGAAGGGGGATAGCTTTAATGGCCTTACAAGTAGGTGGATCAAACCATTGACATAACTTCTGGTCATCCCAACACCCCTGTCCTGGACACAAGACCTCAGCCACAGGCTCCCCCCCCTCTAGCAGAACCCGAGGGTTCCAACGAGGAGCATCCATCTGAAGTTGAGGGATCCAGTTCGAGTTAAGTAAAGACGCATTTTGGCCATTACCAATTTGCCACCTTAACCCCTTTACCAGAAGCTCCCTACCAAAGAGGATACTTTGCCAACCCCACGAGGGGGCGGGATCGAGCCGAGGCATCCAGAAAAGAGCCAACGGGGAAATACTTACCTCTATAAACCTGTGCCAATAGGGAATGAGGCTCCATAAGGATCCGCCATCCAATCTTAGCAAGCAATGCCTGATTAAACTGCTCGAACCGACGAAACCCTAATCCCCCATCATGCTTGCTACGGCACATGTTACGCCACGACATCCATCGGAGCCGAGAATGGTCGTCCGTATCGCCCGACCAAAACCGGGCCATGTGCCTATCCAAGAGCCGACATAGAGACAACGGGAGCTTAAAACAGGACATCACATGTAATGGTAAGGCCATATCAACCTATTTTAGCAAAGTTTCCTTAGCGGCCCATGACAATGTCCTCTGTTTCCACCCCTGAAGACGTTCTAGCAGTTTCTCTTCCAGATAACGGAAAGTGGCCATCTTGGATCAAGCAACAAGAGTTGGCAGACCAAGGTACTTATCGTGGACCCCTACCGCTCCCACTCCCAAAATCGAGGCCAAGAACTCCTGATCTGCATGGCCAACATTCTTACTGAAACAAACATCAGATTTATCCAAGTTCACCCTTTGGCCACTGAGTTCCTCATACTCATTTAGGACCTCAATCAACGTTTCACACTCCCGGAGCGTACCTCATAGAAATAGATAGGAATCATCTTCAAAGAATAGGTGCGAGATCCGGGGCGCACGAGGAGCCACTTTAAACCCCTCCAGGCGTTTTTCCGAGATAGCTTTACAAAGGAGCGCCGCAAACCCCTCAGTGCAAAGTACAAACAAAAGAGGGGATAGCGGGTCCCCTTGTCGTAACCCCCTGGAAGGAGTAAAATATCCTGAAGGAGTCCCATTCATAAGAACAGAGAAAGACGAGGATCGGAGGCACTCCCGAATCCAACCTTGCCATACCGAGTTAAAGCCCATCTTATCCAAAATAGCAAGGAGAAAAGGCCATTCGACTCTATCATAGGCCTTTTCCATGTCAACCTTTAGAGCCATGTACCCTTTCTTACCTTGCGTCTTGATTTTCAGGTAATGCATTAACTCATGGCCCAGGAGAATATTCTCAACAATCTGCCGTTCCCGGATGAACGCATTTTGCCCCTCTGAGATAATATTCGGCAAAATACAGGCCAGACGCTCTGCCATGATTTTAGTAATAATCTTATAGACAAATTGGCATAAGCTAATTGGCCTCAGTTGCAGCATAGATTCCACATTCTCAACCTTGGGTATCAGCGTGAGCATGTATGATTGAAGCTACGGAGCATCCGGCCTATGGCAAAGAAAGCACAAACAGCCGCAACTACCGAATCGCCCACAATATCCCAGAAGGCCTTGAAAAATTTACCCGTAAACCCATCCGACCCTGGTGCCTGCTTGGACCCCATGGCAAACACCATTTTACGCACCTAGGAGGGGAGAACTTCAGCCGTCAGACTGGCATTCATTTCTGGGGTAACACTACGAGCAATAGGCAAAGTTGCCACTCGCTCAGCCATGTTGCCCACCTGATTCTCCGTAGTAAAAAGGTGTTTGTAGAAAGAAGTAGCAATTCCAGCTTTCCCAGGCTCATCAGTAATCCACTCTCCATTTTCATTATGAAGGCCAACCACAAAATTCCGTTTACGGCGCGTCCTAGTCACAGTATGAAAGTAGGACGTGTTTTTGTCCCCCTTTTTCAACCAGTGAACCCTGGACTTCTGCTGCCAATAAACTTCCTCCGCTTCCCATTGACGATTCAGTTCAGTCTCCAAACCCCGATTCGTATCCCGGTCAATAGGTTGGATTAATTTGACCCTATCAATTTCACTTTGGAGGGTGCGAATATTCCGCAGGGAATTAGTAGTACCAGCCCTACTCTAGTCATATAAGAGATGACGAAGTTTCTTAAGCCGCTCCCATAAGCAGAACATACTAACATAGGGGTTCCCTGGACATCCTCCTGCCAGACATAAGCCACCATTGCCCTAACTTCAGGGTTATCCGCCCAACGGGCATCAAAACGGAAGAGAGGGCGGCTATTCCGACTATAAGGCCTATCTGACAGGAGAAGAGCTCTATGATCAGAACCCTGATCCGTAAAGTGTTTGACCATGGTTTCAGGGAACCGATCAATCCAGAGCTGGGAACACACAGCTCTATCTAACCGTTCACGAATGCAGGCACTACCCATTCTCTTGTTTGTCCAAGTAAAGAGGTCTCCTTGGAATCCTGGGTCATGGAGACCCAAATCATGGATAAAGTCCCGCAAACTAGCCGAGGTATTAGCATTCCATGGACTACCACCATCTTTTTCACTCGCATTAAGAATAGTATTGAAATCGCCAATAACCATATAAGGGAGGTGAAAAGTGGAACAGAGTTCATGGAGATGCGCCAATTGGGCAATTCTATTGGTGACAGAACAACTTATATAGACACAGACCACAATATGAGAAAAGTTCACTTCATTAATTTGGGCGCAAATACAGAAGTTGGAAGAATAAAAAACCGAAATCTGAACTTCTGGGGACCAAGCCAGCACTAAGCCACCAGAAGCATCAATAAAAAAACAACGAGAAGAATCAAAACCTAGTCCCCGCATACAACGTGAGACAACCCGCCGGCTTGATCGCGTTTCCGAGAAGAACACGATTTTCGGTTTATTCGAGTGGACCAAATTCACAGCCGTTTGGAATGTGAGAAATGAGTAGTGGTCAAAATAGTAATGGATTGAGAATGTTTGTTTCAAGAATGATGGATATTACTTATGAAAAAAGTTATTGATATAGTCAAGATCCACACAATTATTGGAAAGGCAGCATCAAATGTAGACACAACTCCCCTAAATTCTTATAGTTAGTTTTCTCCAATTCCTTCAAATAAGAAAGGATAATTTAATGGATATAGATTCACAACTCAATTTTATTTTCTTCCATCTTATTCTCTATTTTCATAATGTTCTATGACGAGATATTTTTCCCACTTCCTCATAAGTCATAACCATGTAATAGACAAATTCACCATTTTCAAATGCCCAATTCAATCACACAAATCTTGCTTACAAATAGTTGGAGGTTAAAACCTTCATAAAGACACATAAAAATCATATTCTTATTTATTTTATTTAAGGTTGGATGGATGGCACAAGTTTATCGAGAAGAAAGAAGACCCACTCTCCAATGAAAACATATTTAGTGTTTTTCTATAAATAAATTTAATTAGTTTATAATTTTAGAAAATCCTAAAAATTTGAAAATAAAAAACATAAATTTTTATGTGGAGTCAAAATTTTCATCAACACTTCGACCAAAATTTTCCCCATCAACAGCACTCATTACAATGTGTTTGTAGGTTACTAAGACAAAATTTCAATGATACAAAGCTAAATATGTCTTAATTCAATAAAAAAAATCCTAAATCAATAATATCTGAATGCTCTCTATTGGAAAAAACTTAAAGGATATACTAAACTCTATGAGATATATTTTCTTTCATCCTAAAGGTTGATTATGTATGTAATATGAGAAGCAACTCTAATATTCATTTATATGGTTTAATTAAATAATGAATGACAATTAGTTATATTTATTCCTTTTTTCATTAAGTAATTATATGTAATGTTTATATAATTTTCCGCACTCTTTTCATGCAGGTCTAAACACTTTATGCATAATTGGATAACTTTCAAATATGTTATGTGCATAACTAAGGTACAAAACAATCACTTCATGCATTTTAAATCATGTATTATACATGGTCCATGAAACCGTACCGGGAAAGTCACCGGTAGGGTATTTTATGGTAAAACTGTGGTTTAGCCGGAGTTCAACCGTTGTGCCGGTAAATACCGCCTATCGGTTTAGCCTCCGATACTGGTATTTCGTGGTTGAACCGCTGGTACGGTACGGTTTCATGGACACGGGTATTATATCCATTATTGTATATTATATTACTCGACAAATTTTTCCCGGCCAACGGACCGAGCCCTGTGCTAGTATGTAATTAATGTTTAGATACGATTCATGAACTCATTTTAATAAAATCATTTCTACATTTGCTAAGAACACTACAAAAGTCCCTTTCGAAAACAGCACACTTAAAAATGGTTTAACTGCTTTCTATTAATTTTTTTTATTGTACTTCCCTAACAACAAATGAAAATAGAGTTCGGCATACTTCTAATCTATGTTTCTACATGGTAAAAAAAAAATCGGAGCAAGTGCTAACTAAATGTATATTGGGTCTAAATCCTTACAGATTTTACCTTAAAGTGTATATTAAGATAACTTCCCATAAGATCACCTATCATTATTGTCAATTAAGGTTAAATTCAAACTTATTAATAATGGATCTCTCTTACACTTTGTCGTGGAACCGGCCGATCCAACCTCTTCCGTGGTCCCTGTTTCTGGTGGAATTTCGCGTGATCAATACACCCTGACTTCAAGAAAACGGAAAACGATGTTACTCGGTTCACACATCTTCAAACACGGTTCGAACGAGGGTGTTCGATGCATACATCAAAGGAACTGGCTACTTCTACCTCTACTCCTATGGAGATTCCTTGAGAGCTCCGCAACTACTGACTACAACTAACAGAGAAGCCTCGTTGGAGGGTCCCTGGTGCTACTGCTACGGTTACTGTTCTAGAGAGAAAAGATAAATTTTGACGAGATTTGTTGTGGTATGATTTGTCTGTCCTTCGTCCAGAGTCTTGCTGCCAGTTTTGTTGTGCCTCACCCTCTAACTGCCTTCTCTCTCTCTTCCCAAAAATAAGCTCCACGTAGCATCCAGTAACTTCCCCAAGCGTTCTTTGCAAGTCAAGTGTTGCTTCTTGTAACCACCTCGACGCGTCATCATGTCATTTGACCATTGGACGGTCACTGTACACAAAACAAATTGGATGATATCCATGTTGACTAAGACAATAGTCCATGGATGGTACACATATTAAATGGTCACCATACCCTAGCATCATCCATTAGGGTTTGGACGGTATCCATTACATTGGACACTACCATCCATTATGGATTTTGGATGGTATCTATGTATTTGGACACTTCCATCCATTATGGATTTTGGATGGTATCCATGTATTTGGACACTACCATCCATTATTCCTATGGCCTGACTTGATAAATTGGACCATTCATGTACACATGGACCAACTACTTAAATTGGTCAAGATATTCACACAAGCAATCATTAATGAAAATTATTTTGGTGTAAACAAATGTCCCCCACAACTTAGTTTATAAGAACTAATTCTTATGAACTAAGTTGTTGACACCAACTATACTAGATGCGCAACCACTTGAAGCAGATGTTGGCTTTATGTAGCCATGTCCAAGTCACATAAGGAATGTAATTCCTTCCTGGCCATGTAAATGAAACACACCAAGAGGGTGTCCTTCTCCAACTCGGCTAATAATACAATTTTTAGCCAATTAATGTAGCCTACCTTTTCCTTTTGTGATAAGGAACACAAATTCTTTTTCATGTAGGACACACCTCATAATCCATATCCTACTAGCAAGAGGAAACTCAATCCTATTAGGGCAGAATTAAACTTTTCTCTATAAATTGTTGCTCCCATTCACCATAATTCACAACTCAAAAAATATCACCGTACCTCCAAAGCTGTGCGATGCTTCCCCATGGCAAGACTCTTGCTACCGCTCGACCTCAAGTCACCAAGCTCAGGTACTCCTCCTCTCAATCATGGATGGTTACTCGGCCAAACTCAATCACAATCCATATACAACATGGACGATGTCTTTTTGCTTGGACAACACTATCCATGCAACCACTTAACCAAACCATAGTTACAAATTACTTAAGGCCAACCATCTTTGGCTTCTAGTAACATGGATGATACAATTTATCCAGAAGGTGGCAAGGTAACCATGTTTTGACTCAACCATCCAAACTATCTATTTGGACGGCAACCATTTTGCTTCCGAGAAAAACAAATCCCTTTTAATGGCCAATCCAGAAAAGATTTGTCCTGGCCATCTCACTCCTTGGCCATGTTGCACATCTTAGAAACCATGTCAACTTCAACTAGGTCTCCGTCTGCACTTGGACGACATCTAAATTACTAACACTCCTTAATGTCCCAAAGGGACGGTACATATGGCATAAAGTACTTGCCATTAATATAAGACTCTCGTAAGTTGGAACTTATAAAAGTTGGACGAGGATCGTCCTCCATGCCAAGATTGATATTCTCTAACACATCACATGAGGCAATGTGCTTGTCATCTTGAACCATTTTCAACAACGTTGTGGCTTCTTTTTAATAACGTCGCCAAAATATTTTAATAATTTTTAAATTTTTTTAACATATAACATGGCCTAATTTAGCCACACTTTATTTATTTAATAATAAGCTAGACTGTGGCATAGGCCATCATGTCGAAGGTCCATACCCATTGCCAACTCCACAGATCAAACCAAGCATACCATCCGTGAATGCCATGACTTGTCATAGCTGGCTTCACACATGTTGGTTTTGATGTTTTGGAGCCATTGTTGGCTTGCAACTCTCCATTTCGTCCAGCTCGAACAACTTTTTTCAAAACTCTACAAGCCTGATTTGGCCTCATCTCAGCCTCACGAAAACCATAAGCGTTCTTGGCTCTATACAGGATATTCATGTTTTTTTGGCACCCTTGTCTGGCCAAATCGACCATGTGGCTTCACTTGCCCACAATGGTTATTTTTTGTCGACTGCACACTCTCCTGACGTTGAGAGGGTGAGCACCGAGGTTTGCGAGCTCCACCAACACGTGTGTGCGAATTGGTCTTGCCCACATGTCCACCATTCATGGCAGACTTGTTCGCAACCAACATTGGTGTGGCAACTCCATGTCGGGTTTGATCGAGCTGGCCCCCCTGTCCACTCAGTGGAGTCTTTGAAGACCCTTTACATGGAGGATTATACTGAGTTATGCCAGCTTTCGCAGCATTGAATTTTTTCATGTGGCCACCACCTCCATATTGAGGAGAATTTGTGGCAACCCTCATCTGATTTTTTCTAGAACACGTTGGATGTGGCAAACTTCTTTGCCACTGACGATATTGTTTCTCCTTCAATCTTCCATGTGGTGGGATCTCATGCCCCCCTCCTTTCTCCCAAGTGGTATGAATCCACCAGGATCCACACCTTGCATATTCATAGGGGGCGGGATTTGCTGCGAGTACTCACGTGGTAGTATCGGGTCAACATTGTTTGGACCCAAACCCATCCCAACATTAACAGGAGCTATGTATGGTCTGGCTTCTGAAATGTTTTGTCGAGCAACACCTTGTCTAGGTGGTGGTTGCTCAACATGGATCTTAGATGAAGTGGCGTGACTCTCGCCAACATTCACCCTTTGAGGTGTTGGTACGGTGGTTGTCACCGGTGGTGTAGGGTTCACCGGGCGTGGTTGCTCACCTCGACCACCACCGTTGGATGGTAGGTTAACGTTTTCACTTTCAAGATTTGGAAAGTCTCGACCATCCGAAGACAAAGCCCTAGTTTGTAAAACTGGTCTATTCAACAATTGCCTAAACTCACCCAAATCATTCGTATTTTTGTTTACCAACTCAAACAATTGAGCCAATCGTCTATCTACGCGGGAATTGAGACAATCAACTTGAGATTTTACCTGACGAGCCATAGCTCTGGCTTCCTCTATCAACCGGCGGCTCTCCGCCATAATTTGGCGGGTTTCCTCTGTTGCTTTGCGGTTCTCCTCCGTTGCTTTGCGGTTCTCCTCCATCATCTTATGAAGAGACACCACTGCGTCGCCTAGATCTGAATTTGGTGCCATGTTTGGAACCTCTGCTCCATCATTGTTTCCTCCTGCTTGGTCAACTTCAACGTTAACCAACTGCCCCTCCTCCACAGCACCTTGTGGAGGATCACCATCCTGAATCCTTCGTCGCGGAGCCATATCGAACACACGTTGTCCCACCAGGTGTGCCAATTTGTTTCAGGTGGAATTTCGCGTGATCAATGCACCCTAACTTCAAGAAAACAAAAAACGATGTTACTCGGTTCACACCTCTTCAAACACTGTTCGGACAAGGGTGTTCGATGCATACATCAAAGGAACTGACTACTTTTACCTCTACTCCTACGGAGATTCCTTGAGAGCCGCAACTATTGACTACAACTAACAGAGAAGCCTCGTTGGAGGGTCCCTGGTGCTACTGCTACTGCTACGGTTACTGTTCTAGAGAGAAAAGATAAATTTTGACGAGACTTGTTGTGGTATGATTTGTCTGTCCTTCGTCCAGAGTCTTGCTGCCAGTTTTGTTGTGCCTCACCCTCTAACCGCCTTTTCTCTCTCTTCCCAAAAATCAGCTCCACGTAGCATCCAGTAACTTCCCCAAGCGTTCTTTGCAAGTCAAGTGCTGCTTCTGGTAACCACCTCGACACGTCATCATGTCACTTGACCATTGGACGGTCACCGTACACAAAACAAATTGGATGGTATCCATGTTGACTAAGAGAACAGTCCATGGATGGTACGCATATTAAATGGTCACCATACCCTATCATCATCCATTAGGGTTTGGACGATATCCATTACATTGGACACTACCATCCATTATGTATTTTGGATGGTATCCATGTATTTGGACACTACCATTCATTATGGATTTTGGATGGTATCCATGTATTTGGACACTACCATCCATTATTCCTATGGCCTGACTTGATAAATTGGACCATTCATGTACACATGGACCAACTACTTAAATTGGTCAAGCTGTTCACACAAGCAATAATTAATGAAAATTATTTTGGTGTAAACGGTCCCTCAACCAATCCTCGTTTATGATGGGTGTTTATAGCTTAATCTTTTTCTTTTGCGATATGGATAAGATTAGTTTGCAGGACAAAATTAACAATTCAAACTAAGGAAGAAAGATAACCGTTAAAAGGGTAACCAAATCCCATGGAGAACAGGAAATTAAGCATTTCGTACTTTGCTTTCGAGGAGTAACAAATCAATTCCTAACCTAATCTGGTAAGGATATTCATACATAATCAAACTCGAAAAAGTCTATATATAGTTATATACACACACCAACCCTTCACACTATCACATAATCAAACTCACATAAGAGCTCTTCCAACGAAAAAGAAAAAGTAGTCCTCTTTCTTCAAATTTTTAGTCGTGATTTTGACGACCATGGTGAAGGTGGCCGACATCATTCGGGAAAAGCTAGAAGCCATCATCGACGACTTTGGCGGCCACTGGCCTTGGTTTATTTTTATTTTTATTGGAGCGCCTGATCTTTGTCTATTTTAAAAATGGAAAAGCCTTTTCCAATCTATTTTCCTTTAATAGGTTCCAAACCAACAACCCAATTTCCCAGCTTCTCTTCTCAAGCTCATCCCCTCTCAGAACCCACCAAGTGCACTCATATCATCATTTATATCGATGGGTAATTGCTATATTTATTTCCATTTTTACTAATTCGATTGCCTGTGCCATTTTAAGATCCACGTGAGTCACGATCTTTTTTTTTCTTCGTTGAATAGTCGTGATCTTTCAACTGGGTATTGTTAGGTGATTGAAGAAAGGCAGCTTTTAACTTTTTTCTCACGTGGCTTTTGAAACAAATCCAGAGTCGACCTAGTCTCCATTTGGGAGGTAGTGATCATTTTATTTTCACTGTGATTTGCTATCTCAAGCACTATGTTCTATGTCCTCCATTTGGGGTGGTGGGGGGGGGGGGGGGGGGGGGTTTCAATGTTAGAAAGGTTAGTGAGATAACCGAGAAAGGCTGGAGATCGACGAGGAAAATAGAAGAGGGCAAGTAGTGGTAAAAGTATCATTAGATTGATAGGAGTTATGGACATTACTTGTGGGAGAAGTTATAACAATGGTTAGGATCGATGCGATTATGAGAAGCATAATCTAACACAGACAAAGTTATGCTGTTGAGAATGGAAAAAGAAGGATTTTGGTTGTTTTTAACAAGAAAATTCCCATATAGTTAGACTGTCCACAATGGTGGAAGGGAAAAAAGGGAAAAAAGGAAAAAAAGGATGGGAAAAGTGGGAAAAAAGGATGGGAGACGGATAATGGCCACAATAGGTGGTAGGGGAAAAAGGGTATTGTGGAGAGGTTTTTTTTTCAAAATCAATCTAGAGTTGATATGGTAACTTTATTTTGATAATTTATTCATTATATTTATATAGGTAGTATTAATTAATTAAGACGAACATTTCGATATAATTTTTTTTAATTTAGACATAATTATTTTCATCTCTATTTATATGTGACGTCATCAATGACGAATCACAATAATTTGCAGAAAACCATGACTCATCACTTGCTGCCATGTCCGCTAAACTCTTTTGAAAAGCTTCCATGCCAACAGGTTCAACACCTCCTCTTTTCTTCCTCTTTTGTTGATCTCGACCTTCGGGACGGTTGAGCACTCTTGGAGCAGCAACTGCATGAAGGCCGGGGCTATCAGGTTCATCACTTGACATAGCCGATTGAGTTCCATCCATTGGAGGATGTAGAATATGGCCGTTGGCCAATAACTCTTAAAAATCCAATCAGAAAACCATAAAACAATTTTTCAAAACAAAAAACAAAACCACCCACGTGGCCCCCCTTCCCCTCCTCCTCCCACCCACCTGGCCCCACCTCTCCTCCATCTTTTAACTTCTTGGGTAGGGGAAACCTCTCTTTCTTTCCTCTTTTATCTTTTTTTTTCCATTAAACCCACTCCTATTGTGAGCCATCTCTCCATTTTTTTCCCCTTTTATTCTTTTTTCCTCTTCTTGCTGTGGACAGTCTTAGTTTCCTCTAATGCCTTATAATAGAAAATGATAATTTGATGGATACATGGTCTCTCCTTTTATTTTCCTCCATTTTGTTCTCTCTTTTCTTGATGTTATGTGATTGGTCTTTTTTCACGTTCACCATATAATGAAAAAGTTCACAACTTTGAAATGACCAATTCAATCACACAAAGTGTGCTTACAAAGAGTGGAGGTTGAAACCTTAATGTAGAGACACAAAAATCATATTCTCATTATGTATTTAGGGATCTCCTATAGTAACTTGGGTATAATTTCAAGTTAGGTAACTTGTATAGATCTAAATCGTTAAAATCTATCAAACTTATTTTACAACATTAATTAAAAAAATAAAAATCAATGGCAACAGGAGTTACCCGTCACCACCTTTCACAATTTACCTTTCTTATTGTTTCTTTACTTTTTCGCATTTAATTGTTTTTTCCTTATTTTATTTTTTCCTTATTTTAATTCTTATTGAATTAGAAGCGTTACGTAAGGCTTCCGTAATAACTTAGCTCTTTACGTAACATGATGTTAATACTCGTTACGTAAAGAGACCTTCCATTACGTAAGGTTTCCGTAATGACATTTTACAACTGTTACGTAAAATACACATTAATTACGTAAAGGTTATGGAACAGTAGTTATTTCTTATGTAACAGTTAAATCGGAAGCATTACGTAAGACTTCCGTAATGACTTAGCTCATTATGTAACGCGAGATGAGTACTCGTTACGTAAAAAGACCTTTCATTACGTAAAGGTTACGGAACGACAGTTATTTCTTACGTAACAGTTAAATCAGTAGCGTTACGTAAGACTTTCGTAATGACTTAGCATTTTACGTAATGCGAGGTTAATAATCATTACGTAAAGACACATTCTATTATGTAAGGCTTCCTTAATGATCTTTTACAACAGTTACGTAATATTACCATATGTTACGTAACCATTATCTAATGCCTATTGTTACGTAACGCGACCTGTGAAACCTGCTATAGCAAGTAAAAAAATCCCAGTTACCTTACTTCAAGTTACCATAGGAAATCCCTATATATTTATTTTGTTTGAAATAAATCTATATATCATGTTTAACAAAGATGAAGAAGCATATGGAATTGAATTCGTAAATTCAGAGATGAGAGCGATCAAGAGTTTTATTTTTTGAAATTGCAGAAGTAAGAAGCAGAAGAAGCATATTTGAGAAGGTTTTGGAGATGAGGGATGAAAGAGAGAGCTGGAAACCAACCACTTGATACTCATATAGAGTTGCTAATTGAGATGGAAAGTTGGAAAGCAAACGTTGCTTTCTTGTTGTTTTGTATAAAATATTTAGGAATTTTGTTTTTTCCCCCATTAATTGTTGTTGTATTCATTTATAGCGCTGGCTGATAGAACATCATCGGCCTCTTGAAAAAAAAAAACTCCATCTACAGAGGATGTGATGTACTATCTACACTTTGTGTCAGGCATTTTTTCACTACTGCTATCAACTATCAAAATACACAGCTAAACCAGGAAGCTGTCTGCAGGTAGAACAGTCTAACAGTCATACGCAAAACTGCATCACTACTTTTATATGAGGCTTGGAAAATTCTATGACAACGTTCTCTCCAAAGCATCGAGACATACCAACACCAAGAATCGCCAACCAAGTTATCAACCTATGCTTGGGAGCAACAAACCTTCCCCACAACATTTTTGCCCCATCAGCTTTAAGTCGAATATTTTGCCAGATAGTACTCATAACAAACTGTCTCATAGGTTTTCCTTCCCTACTTGATAACTTTGCAATGAGGTGAGCAAAAAACCTAGCTCATCCCCTTCACCATTGATTCCAATATATAGTCCATTACAAGAGAAGAAGACAAGAAACCTTAAGCTGTTCGGCTACAGCGGAAGAGGAAAGGCAAACAGTGTTAACTAAATAACTAACTCAAACAATTAACATCCAATCCTTGCTTGCCACCTGTCAAATGTTGGCTTAAACTCAAATAAGTGAAACGGGATCGTTTTCCTTCTGTTTGTTTGAATCTTGAAGTGCCCGTGTGTTACTGTTGTTGACCGTTGCTTTTGTTCTGCTTTCTGGACTGGTGTTGGTGAAGGAAGAACCAGCAGATGAAAATAGTTCATCTGATACTACTGAACCTCATTGCTGCTTTCTACCAATCTGAATCTGAACCATGGTTTGACCTGCAGAAGTTTCCTCTATAACCATGAGCCTGAAAGCTTTCTTGTTGGCCAAGATCGAACTCTGCTTGTGAGTTTATCCACCAGAGCACTACAACCAGAACTGGTAAGAGTACTCGATTGCAGAGAGTTGTAGGAGCCGGCCCAATCTGAATCTGTATAAGCATAGAGTTGAGGGGAAGATGTAGAAGAGAGGAAAATGCCTGCGGCTGGGTCCTTGTTGATGTATCTTAGTAGGCGATGAGCTGCTTGGAGATGCAAAGTTGTAGGAGCTTCAAGGAATTGGCTTAATTGTTGAGTGGCATAGCTGAGGTCCGGTCTTGTTGTGGTCAGGTATATTAATCGACCAATCAAACGTCTGTAGTCTGTGGAATTGACAGGAGGGCTGCCATCATGTTGGGTGAGGTGAACTTTGTAGTCCATAGGAGTGGACACTGGTTTGGCATTGAGCATCCCTGCATCATTCAAGATCTCGGTGGCATATTTGTGTTGAGAGAGGCATATGCCTGTCGAATCTCGAGTGACCTCAAGTCCGAGAAAGTAGTGGAGGGGCCCCAAGTCCTTGATTTTGAACTGCTGATCCAGGAACTGTTTGAGCTGAGTGATGCCAACTTGATCATCACCTGCTAATATAAGATCATCTACATATACCAAAACTGCAATGTAAGAGCCTGTGGTGCTTCGGACAAACAATGAATAGTCGGCCTGACTTTGGGAAAATCCTTGCGAAATAAGGGCGTCCGAGAGTTTGGCAAACCATTGCCGACTTGCTTGTTTCAGTCCATAGATCGACTTTTGCAGCTTGCAGACTTTGCCTTGATGTTCTGGTGGTAGAACAAAACCAGGTGGTAAATCCATATAAACATCTTCTTGTAGATCTCCGTGTAAAAATGCATTGTTGATGTCCAATTGTTCAATGAACCAGTTCCTGGAAGCTGCAATCGCTAAGAGGGTTCGGATAGTGGTCATTTTGACAACCGGTGCAAAGGTATCTTGAAAGTCGATCCCTTCATGTTGTGTATAACTTTTTGCAACAAGTCTGGCTTTTAGCCTTTCTATTGAACCATTTGCTCTTCTTTTGATTCTGAATACCCATTTGCATCCTACTGTTTCTTTATCAGGTGGTAAATAGGCAAGAATCCATGTGTGATTGGCCTCGAGAGCAACAACTTCATATTGCATTGCACGATTCCAATCAGGGTGTTTGCAAGCTTGTTTGTATGTTTTGGGCGCATGAAGGATGGGTTCTGGTGAGTTTGCAGCAGAGGAGGAAATTGATGTGAGGTCAAAGGGGTTGGAAGTGGTGAGGTTGGCAGAATGTGGGAGATAAGCACAATCATACAAGTCATTTAAGTGTTTGGGAGGGTGGCGTTGTCGGATTGGTCTGTTTTGTGGTGGAGTGGGATTATCAGAAGAAGGTGTGTCAGGAGGAGAGTCAGGAGGATCAGAATGGTTTTGGGGAAAGGAAAAAGTGGACTCATCAGAGTCGGAAGCAGTATGATGGATGTTAGTGGGAGTTGGATGGGAAGAATAGGATGGTGGATTAGTTGGATAAGAGGAGACATGGTCATAAAAAACTGTGGGGTGAGGCCTATGATGTTGATAAATGCTGGAGGGGTTCACAGAAGCTTCAGGTCGATCAGTGAAGTTATCAGAAGCTTCAAGGAAGTGATAAGGGAAGATGTGTTCGTGAAAAAGAACATCACGAGAAATGAATGACTGGTGAGAATGGAGATCATAGACTTTATATCCTTTGGTGCCTGGCAAATATCCGAGAAAGCTGCATTCCCGTGCACGGGAAGTAAATTTTGTTCGATGGCTGTTTAGGGTGGAAGCGAAGCAGAGGCAGCCAAAAACTCTTAGGTGGGAGAAGTCTGGGGTGGAATGATGAAGTTTTTCATATGGAGTCTGGTTGTTGAGAGTAGGGGTGGGAGATCGATTAATGAGATAAACAGCATGACGTACACAGTCACCCCAGAAAGCAAGAGGAAGTTTAGCTTGGAATTTGAGGGCTCGAGCGATGGATAGAATGTGTTGATGTTTACGTTCCACTCGGCTATTTTGCTGTGGGGTTTCAACACAGCTTGTTTCATGAGTGATGCCTTTTTTGGAATAGAATTGAGGCATGTCAAACTCTTTGCCTTGATCGGAACGAATACGTTTGACTGGTTTGTTGAATTGAGTGAGGGTATAAGCACAAAAGTTTTGCAGGTGTGGTCGAGCTTCTGATTTAGCTGTTAAGGGAATGAGCCAAGTAACACGAGAGTAGTCATCAACGATTGTTAAGAAATAAAGGAAACCATCATAGGAGCGTTCAATGTTTGGGCCCCAAATGTCTACATGAAGAAGTTCAAATGGTTCTGAAGCAATGGAATCACTAAGAGGAAATGAAAGTCGCCTTTGCTTTGCAAAGTGACAAATAGAACAAGGTTGGGAAACAAAAGTAGTGATTGCAGGGTTGAGTTGCTTCAGATGGTGGATTCTTGAATGAGAGAGGTGTCCAAGTCTGTAGTGCCAGACGTCAAAAGTTGGTGGAGTACGGACACTGTGAGCATGGATGATGGGAGAAACAGAGATGGTTGTTTTCTGGGAAGTGAAATCGTTGATGACATAGAGACCATTCTGCAATTCAGCCATACCAATCTGTTTCCCCAAAGAAAGGTCCTGTATGTGACAGTAGATGGAGAAAAAAGAAAGACAGAAGGTATTGTGTTGTGTTAGTTGGCTGACAGATATAAGGTTGAAGGAGAAAGAAGGGACTAAGAGAACATTGTGAAGAGTAAGAGTAGGAGAAAGAATTATAGTCCCAGTGTGAGTGACTGGAACTTGGGTACCAGTAGGAAGAGTAACAAAGATGTTAGTGACTGGTTGATAGGTGGTATAGTGAAGTATGGAACAAACGATATGATCCGATGCACCAGTATCTAGTATCCACATAACACTATATAGAGGAGCAGTGGGAGAAGAAGAAAGCAGTGCAAATTTACCTGCTGAGTTGGGGTTAGGAGATATGTAGTGAGCTGCTGAATGTGTGGGAGTGGAGTGGGAGGTGGAAGCAAGACTGGGTTGGATGGTGTGAGGTGGAGTTGAAGGTTCTGTTTGGAGGAGTGCAAGCAACCTGGAGTGTTGTTCTCGAGATAGATTCAGACTACCAATGCCTTGTTGAAGTGCAGAAGAGGCTGAAGAACCAGCAGATGCAGTAGAGTTGGCTTGAAAGACAGCATTGGCATGTATTTGGTGAGGTAAAGCTCCACGTGGGGTCTGGAACTGCTGATGCTGGTGAAACTGTCCAGTGCGGTTTCTCTTGAAGCACTGCTCATAGGTATGACCAGGGATCTTGCAGTAAGAGCAAAAAGGGCGTCTACCATTGTTGTAACCTTGGTAGCCTCTCCCTCTTCCTCTTGGGTTAAATGGCCTGAATCCACCCCCTCTAGATTGAAACTGACCATCTGGCCTGTAGTAGTTAGGCATGGCATAACTGGGTACAGAGGTGGGATCTGGCAAGAGGGGAGGATTGCCCTGGATGCCCTGGACTGACATGGTTAAGGGTGTGACAGGATCTTTGGTGGTGTCTTTAGATCCAAATAGCTGACGCTCATGTTGAGATAGTTTGTGATAAATGGAGTCCATGTTAGCCAAATGATCTGTAAGCAAGATCTGCGTCTTGACTTGTGCATAGTTGTCATTCAGACCCCTAAGAAACTGAGTGATAAAGTTCCTTTCTTGGTATTGCAGCAACTTCGCAGTCACAAGACATGTAAAGTTCACTTCACCATTAAGTTCACACTCTGGATATGGTTGGTAGTTATGGAGTTCTTCCCAAAGCATGACATAGTGAGTGTAGAACTCGGAAACAGACCTGGTTCCCTGCTGCAAGGTAGCTAGGGATCCTTGAAGCTCGGTGATTCTGATGAGATCGCCTTGTTCAAACCGAGTCTTGAGCTGCTTCCAAACCTCAGAGGCAATGCGAACTTGAATGAGACTGCGTCTGATGGTGGGGGCTATGGCATGCTAAAGCCATTGGAGAACCATTGTGTTGCACTTGATCCAGGCTTGGTAAAAGGGATCTGTTTTGGGAGGCATGGGAAGAGAGCCATCCACAAAGGGTACTTTACTTTTGGACTCAAGAGCATTGAGCATACTGATGCTCCATTCATTATAGTTAGAACCAACTAAGATTTCTGGAACAAGAAGAAGAGAAGGGTTTTCACTACCATGGAGATAGTATGGATCTGTATTGAGATAGTCTGGTAGAGGGTTGTGAGGTGGTGGTGGATTTTCTTGGTTTTCTGCCATTGTTCAAAGGTGAAAAAAAAAAACAATGAAAAGAAGGGGACAGCGGCTAGGGTTTCAGATGCTCTGATACCATGATAACTTTGCAATGAGGTGAGCAAAAAAACTAGCTCATCCCCTTCACCATTGATTCCAATATATAGTCCATTACAAGAGAAGAAGACAAGAAACCTTAAGCTGTTCTGCTACAGCGGAAGAGGAAAGGCAAACAGTGTTAACTAAATAACTAACTCAAACAATTAACATCCAATCCTTGCTTGCCACCTGTCAAATGTTGGCTTAAACTCAAATAGGTGAAACGAGATCGTTTTCCTTCTGTTTGTTTGAATCTTGAAGTGCCCGTGTGTTACTGTTGTTGACCGTTGCTTTTGTTCTGCTTTCTGGACTGGTGTTGGTGAAGGAAGAACCAGCAGATGAAAGTAGTTCATCTGATACTACTGAACCTCATTGCTGCTTTCTACCAATCTGAATCTGAACCATGGTTTGACCTGCAGAAGTTTCCTCTATAACCATGAGCCTGAAAGCTTTCTTGTTGGCCAAGATCGAACTCTGCTTGTGAGTTTATCCACCAGAGCACTACAACCAGAACTGGTAAGAGTACTCGATTGCAGAGGCAACCCAAGATATTTCACAAGCAAAAACCATTCTCTAAAGACAAAATAGGAGAGTGCAAGCCTTTTGAACTCCTCACTGACTCCTCCAAAAAAGAACTTGCATTTCTGCGGGTTGCATTGTAGCCCTGATAGTAAGTAGAAAGCATTCAATGATCTCTTGACACTCTCAAGTGCAAAAGCTAATCATTCAGTAAAAATAGAAAATCATCCGCAAAGCAGAGAGGTTGGTGAGACCTACTGTTTTCCATTGAGGATGGTAAGGGGTGAGTTTTTTTGCTTATAAAAGCTCTCACTGGCCATCTACAAGTCCTGATGCTTCTGTATAGCCTCCTGAACTTGTGCAAATGAGACTTCATCTGGTGTTTCTAGAGCTGTCAACTGAGCCGCCTTCATGATAACACATAAATTGGTGTTATTTATCCTCCATATTGAGGTTTGTTTCGTGCCAATTCATGTGAATAATTGCTTAAACATCGTCAATTACATCCCTGTTCCGTTTCTATTTGAATTCGATGTGATTTTATGGTGCATTAGACGATATGTGAGAATTAGGTACAAAGCAAGGTCACAAGTGTAGCAAGGGGGCAGGAACTGAAGATCGCGACCGCGAAGTCAGCCCGTGATCTTCTCATTTCCAAAGTCCATGACAACGACGTTTCAAGATCGCGGCCTCACCTCTGAAAATCTCGTCCACGATCTCTGCACCTCTGGCCGCAAACTTCTCCGTTCCCAGATTGCCTATAAATATAAGACCCCTTTCCCTCTTTTAGGTTAGCTGATTTTGAGAGAAGATTTTATAGTGAGAGAGAGAGAGAGAGAGAGAGAGAGAGAGAGAGGAGAGAGAAGCTGAAGGAAGGGGAAGAGAAGGAGCAAGAAGAGATGAGGCATCTTCCTCAACCTCAAGTCTTCTTCCATTTCTTATATGTATCTTCTTCCCTCCTTTATGGAGTAGTCCTCTAAATTACTAGGGGTTCTAAACCCGAAACCCTAGCTTTAGTGTTTATTATGTATGTATGTATGAATATTTTAGGGTTTGAATGAATGAATGTGTTTGTCTAGTTGATTTTTACTGCTATTCTATCCTTTATTGTGTTTGGGTAAGTCGTCGAATGCTGACGTTTTTAATATTTTATTATATAAAGGAAATAAAAAACAATTTGAATTTTTATTTATTTGTCACTAACGTGGCGGTGAGCTGGAACGCTGACCGTTAGTTAATGGTGTTGACCGTTTAAATTGATAATCAAAACAGACATTCGGCCACACTAAACTATATGTTGCATAGTTGAAACCATGATGTTAATTTTTGAAATTACGAACCCAAGTTGATTATATGTTAACGTATTAACCAATGGGCTGCCTGCCATCTCACCTCGTGGGTTTTAGGTTCGCCACTGCCACCAAAATGTTGATATCATATCTTGTGCCATCTCTGATATTAAAAGAACTATCGCTGTCCACAATTTCACTACTTGTTTGGCCCAAATTGAAAACAACGAAATGGCACACAAAACAAAATATAAATTATTCCACCACTCAGTTAGGACTGGCTTTTATGTCCGGGTTTTTTGGTTTTACATGAAATTGAAATTCGTATAACTCGGACCGAGATCGGACCGGGACCGGATAGTAAACAATCCAAACCAATTTTTGGGCTTAAATTTGAGGTAAAAAACCGTTTGGGATCGGATCAAAAACTGGATAAAGACCGGATAAGAGAGCTCAACACCCAAAACTTAAGGATAATTTGCATAAACGGTCACAAACCTTTGCACTTGGTACAAAACTTAACCAACTCCTCACCCTTTCAGACCTTAGGCCACTCAAATCCCCACAAGCTCAATATAAAATCAAGACCGAATTGGGACCAGACCGGGTCAAGACCGGACTGTATCCAATCCAATCTTTAGTATTTATATTTTTCAAAAAGACCGGACTAGACCAGATCAATTTAGACCAATTTAACTGGACCGGACCGTATAGCCAACCCTACCTACAGTGACGAATGACGATGCTTAGAAAAAAAAGGGCCGGCGGGGACGCGTGCCCTTTGGGCGACAGCAGGAGCCACCGGAGAGTCGGTCGGCGTATCAACGTCCGCCGCGTCCTCTCAGTTCACCGGAATTTGCTTAAAGGCTAGTTAACTAGCCGCTAATGTCAATCAAAAGGGTGATTAGTTAGGAAAGTTGTCATTATCAGTAAACTGGCTGTCACGTTGGTAAGGTAAAGGGACAATGATGGCGATTAATCATCCCTCCGACCGATTATTCTCCCCTCCACACGCAATCTCTCTCTACATCTGATCTAACCACCACTTTTTTTTCCTTCCCTTTGCGATCATTTCCGCCACCAAATTTATACGGTACAACCTGGTTGAACCAAATGGTATATATATAGTACATTCTTCTCAATGGATGTTGATGTTGAATAATAAATTATTTTTTTTCTATAAGAGTGATATATTGACTTTTTTTTATTAGTTCCTATTTATAAAAAGATATATGCGAGCTTACACTATTTATCGATCTCTATGTGATAGTGTATGCCACTCGCTCACTCAATCAAACTCATCACTAAATGCAAAATCAAGTCAATATAACTGCTACTTTCAAAAAAAAAAGTCAATATTTATATGATTGGTTTCATTTGATTTGCATTAGAAAAAGTTCTATTGTATCCTCCATAGACACGAACACGTTAAAAAATGTAACATTATTTCGTTGTAAACGGAGAAAAGTTCCTTAATTTTCACCATCAAATAATTTGTTTCGGCCATGCGTTTAAATTTGAACTTCAATTCTTTTTTTTTTTTTACAAAAAGATTACATCGACAATAATCTAAACAATCCGGTAAAAAAAAAAAGACAATAATCTACACAATGAAATTCATTTGGTGTATTTTAAAATTCAGAAATTGATACTATTTGAAATGCTACAAGTACGTGAACAAATCTCAATGTGTTGCACGAATAGCAATTACCATGAATAACCACATATACCCAATCATATAAATAAACACCAAAACTATGTGAATTGGTATCACTTCTAGAAACCAACCGTACTCTTTGCATAATTGCATTATTATTCATGAAAAAAAAAAAAAAAAGCACGACCCAAGAGTAGCTTGGAGTCAAGACAATGATACCCAATCATATGTCGACACAATAGCCTCATGGAGTGGACGATTTTTTTTTTCTTACATCACTCCAATAAAAATTGAATATATAATAAAAAAAAAAACAGGAAAAAAAAATATCGAATTGAACAACGACTTCGAGCCAAGCCACCAACCCGCAACCACTTTCTTCCTCCATAACCGAACCACCGCGCAACCCCACCGTCCCCCGATTCCAAGGGTTTCCCTAATCGACGACAGCTCCATGGAACCGTCGCCTTTTCCTCCGGCCGCCCCGCTCGACGAACCAATGGAACCCCATCTCCCGCCGGCGGCGACCGAGCCGTATCCTTCTTCTCCTTCTGCCGGCGTATGGGAATTCACCGATCTCCTCGACTTCAACATCGACGATCACTTCTCTCTCGCCTTCGACGGTTCCGCGGCGTTGGATGATATCCCCGATGTGGATCCCGACCACTTGACGCCCGATACTCCGCCTCCCGACCGGGTCAGGAAGCGGGACCCGAGGTTGACCTGCTCCAATTTCTTGGCCGGCAGGGTGCCCTGTGCCTGCCCGGAGCTGGACGCGCAATTGGAGTTGGAGCGGGAGGAAGGCGTCCCGGGGAACAAGCGCCCGCGTGTCGCCAGGGGAGGAGGGCCCGGGATGTATCGGTGCCAGGTTCCCGGGTGCGAGGCGGATATCGGCGAGCTGAAAGGTTATCACCGGCGGCATAGGGTGTGCTTGCGGTGTGCGAATGCGACCGCCGTTGAGCTCGAGGGGGAGACCAAGAGATACTGTCAGCAGTGTGGGAAGTAAGTGGATATAACGCTTTCCATTTTTTGTATGTGATCAGAGTTCTGAATGGTGGGGTGATTGAAATGTTCCTGCCTCGCCTGATTCTTGTGGTATAGGTTTCACTTGCTTTCGGATTTTGATGAAGGCAAGCGAAGCTGTAGGAGGAAATTAGAGCGTCACAACAATAGGAGACGTAGAAAGCCTGGTGCTAAGGTGGGGACTAGTGTGGATAGTTTGCAAGCTGAAGATGCTGCTGCTGTTGCTGATGGTGAAGCTGAAAAAGGTGAGGTTATTTGACGTCAGGTGGAGAGTTGCATTCAAATATAACGCGTGTGCTGATGGATGTATATGCTTTGGCTGTGCTGCAGAGGGTTTAAGCTTGCAGGTTGTGGGGAAGGAAGCTCTGGTTGTGATAGAAGATGAACCTGTGTTTCAATCTGAACCCCAGAAATTGAACAGCGACAGTGGTGCTGGTTCAGCTGAAACCCAATTGGATGCTGGAAATGCTGATTCTGGTGGGAAGTATGACTCCAAGTTGTCAGGCTCTCCTTCTTATTTCGACAATAGGACTGCTTACTCATCGTTGGTGGGTCTTCATTGATATTGTTCAATGTTAATAGTGGTGCATTGTTAAATAATGTAGTTTCCTTGTAATCAATTGTTATTTCTTTTTAGTGTCCAACAGGTCGCATCTCGTTCAAGCTCTATGATTGGAATCCAGCAGAGTTTCCGAGAAGGCTCCGTCACCAAGTATTTTAAAGAATTATATTGCAGTTTAGTATTTTGAAGGCCGATATGGTTTTTATTGGTTAAGCGTGTGAGATGTTCACTGATGTTGGTCTAATTGTGTTTGCAGATATTCCAGTGGTTGGCTAGTATGCCTGTTGAGTTGGAAGGATATATTCGTCCTGGATGTACAATATTGACTGTGTTTGTTGCAATGCCAAAATTCATGTGGGCGAAGGTAATAACTCGTTTACTGTCTGAAAATGATCAACCAATGTACGGAAAGAGTTTCATGTTTCGTTGAGAGTAGCTTTGTGATTAAACTTGGAGAAGTGAATTTTCCCTTTCGTATTGTGGATTTGAACACACTATCTGCTCTCGCCACTTCAAGCTTGTAAAGATTGAATTGCTAGCTCATTTTTTTCTTCTGTTTATGCATCCTCCTTGAGTACTAAGTGTTTTCAATAGAGCAGTAAGTTGAAGAAGTAAGGTGGAAATTTTTTAAGGTGGGACATAGAAGGTGCATGCAAAGTATTTTGGCTAAATCTACACTTTATCTTTCTTAGCCAATGACATGACGAATAAATTACCTTCTCTGCAAGTAGTCTGGGGACTGTCACTAGTTCTGCATGTTCTGACCTTTATAACTTCTGTTGTATCAAGCAGGTGCTCGAAGATCCTCTATCGTATGTGCACAATTTTGTCATTGTTCCTGGAACAATGCTGTACGGAAAAGGCCCTATGATCATTTATCTGAATGATATGATGTTCCGAGTAATGAAAGGTAAGAAACTTTTGAAGATTTTGATTGACCTCCTGAACATTTATGGTTATTTTCGTCTTGATATGCACTAAAAGATTAGAAATGGCTTATTATTGCACTTGAATTTTGTACTCCGTTGTGTGTACGTTTTGGTGTAAACCCTTAATTGGTAATTGGCACTTAACAGATGTTATGCACTTGCTTCCTGCTCCTCTATTTTTCATAAGTCATAAGCAAGCTGCTAAAATCGCCAGACATACATCGTTGGCTAACTGGAGCCCCAAAAGTTTGGCTCAGGGTGATTGCTACATCCATCTTACAGCTCTTTCCACTACTTAATCTTGTTGTGATAACTGTAAAAACTTGCTTGGTTAGCAATTGCCCTAGCTTAGGGAAGTGGCGAAGTGGATAGTTTAGTCTGGACTTCTCAGTTTACAGATCTTTCTGATTTTATTATCAAATCGAAGATTCCTTCCTTTATGATTCCTTCCTTTATGTATGTTCCCCTCAGTATGTCAGATTTTATTATCAAATCGAAGATTCGTTCCTTTATGATTCTCCAGGGGTAGAAGGAAGAAATAGTTTCACAAGTAGATGGTAAAGTTAAGGAGGATTCATGTGAGGGTGTCAGCACTATTAGCATTCTTGATTAATGGAACAGCTGTCTGAATAATTTTCGTTTCTTCTAAATTTTTTCAAGAAAAAGAAAATGTTTCGATGTTCTCGTTATCTGACATACACTTCCTATGGAACATAGGTGGAACTTCAGTGATGCAACTCAGTATTGGAACACATACACCTAGGCTTCACTATGTTCATCCAATGTTCTTTGAGGCTGGGAAGCCAATGGAGTTTGTTACTTGCGGAAGCAACCTATTCCAATCCAAATTTCGGTATGTGTTCCAATGTCCTAAGCGACCTATTTTGAAATCTCTTACGTTTCTCTTACCTATACTTTCAGTTGCATGTCTGGAATACCTGTTTTTCTCCTCTTGTTAGTTATGGATGCAGTAGCATTCTTGAGAGACTTCTATAAAATCTGTAATAATTTTGCAAGTGTAATAAAAGATGTCATTGTGGCAGGTTGCTGGTGTCATTTGATGGGAAGTATTTAGCATATGATCACTGTGTTGGACTACCCAGCGGTAGTACAGATGGAGCAGCGACCAGGGACCACCAGCTGTGCAAGATTTCTATTCCTTGTATTGATCCTAATATATATGGTCCCGCCTTTATCGAGGTAGATTTTTAGTTCCCTGGAAAGTAGAACCTAGAAAATATAAAATTCCCAGGGGGGAGCTGGGAAGTCATTTTCCTTTCAGGTTGTTTTTTTCTCTCTAACATCTGCTTCAACGCCTTTTACAGGTCGAGAATGAAAGCGGTTTATCGAACTTCATTCCTGTGCTTGTTGGAGATCAACAAATCTGTTCTGAAATGGAAGTAATACGGCAGAGAATGGAATTATTTGACGCATCTCATCCACCAACAGGTCTACTACAGTGTGAGGTTTCAGAAACCAGGCAAAGAATACTCTCGGAGTTGATTGTGGACATAGCCTGGTTGTTGAAAACACCTTCCCAAGAAGATATTAAGCTAAAAAGGGCCTCCTTTCAGATCCAGAAATTTATGTCTTTGTTGCAATTTTTGCTGCAGCATGAATCAACCTTCATTTTGGGGAAAATCTTACCCAATCTGAAAATCCTGATGGATGAAATATATGTAGATAATGATGCTGATGCTAAACTATTACAAAAATACGTGGATGATGCCCATAGGTTTCTTCTCCAACAAGCCAACAGAAACAAAGGTTTGGTTTCGGAGTCAGAGTGTACTATGCAGGATCATGGCGATGTAACTCGATGTAGCTCTGTGATTGAGTTTCCATCTGTTGCTGCATGTTCCGATGAGGTTAGACAGCTCATTCTTTTGTACTTCTTGGGTGTGTTTGTTTTAGCTTTTGCTTTGGATAAGTGTCTTTCCTTTAGGTTGTAGTAAAAGTGGAGAAAAATTATGTAAGCAACAGCTTAGAGAAAATTAGCGACGCCTTTTTACATTCTAATAATTACTAGGGTCCGCCATAAGTAGTTTCGGGCCATTATTTGCTGCTGGCTGAACTATCGTTGTAATTGACGGTTGTGATTGCAGGACATAGAGAGTAGACCAGATAACTGGCTGCGGTTAACGAAAGGCTCAAGTCATGATGTTACAAGTGACAAGATTCCGCTCCTAAATGGAAGAGCCATCAAGTCGTGCAGTCTCATTCTGTCCAACCGGGTTTTGAGGTCACGACCCGGGATGTTTGTAATTGCTGCCATGGCAATGTGTCTGTTAGTATGCGCAGTGCTGCTCCATCCTCACAGTGTTAGCAAAATCGCTGTCTCGATCCGGAGCTGCTTGACTGATAGTAGGTACTAAGATCAGCCTAGTAGACTTTTTGTTTGTAAATTACTCAGCCAGGTGGGGCTAATCTGAAGCTGACAACCGGCTCCAAACAGCTCGGGAGCTTGATTGAAAAGCCTCCTCAGTTTGACAGGCCAAAGTGATTATGCCATGGATATGAATGACAAATTGAATCAGAGGTCGAAACCTGGAAGGCATCCTCGAATCAGATGAAGAAGACTGCCTGGTTTTTTTTTTTGCTCCATGGCTAGGAAACGAAATTCTTTGTAGGGCTTGTCTATATAATTTTCGCCTACCATCTTTGTTTGTGTTCTCTTAATGTAGATGTTGGCGGCCATCAGAGGCTGTCCTGCTAATGTATTTCATGTGTATTTTCTCGTGCTGTTTCCATTTCTCTTATGGTTGAAGCCACTGTTGGGTTTCAGCGGAGAAACTTTTGTACCAGCATTTGATTAGCAGTTGCATGTGGTGTGATTGAACCCGATTCAACGAGAAAATTTGATATTGGAACTAAACCAGTCGACAATGGCTCACTAAGCCAGGTATAGGGAGCACCATCAAATTTTACCAAGAGAGGATATCAAAACCGCAATGTCAAAAGGCAAAGAAGGTATGCATTATAACTAATTTTTCAATGATGTTCTATCCGTGCAACCTAGAGTTTGCCGGAATACTTTCTGGTGTTCCAAAACAAACTTCAGCGGGAGGTTGCTACTTTCCCCAACTGCTTGGTGTGTTCTGCATAATAATTCCACAACAAACAATGAAAACAATCCATCAGTAAGAAATCAGATAACAGAGAAAGCAGCACCAATGAACGGAATCATATTAACATCCAATGAACCTAAGCCAATACACCAGATTGATCATGTGATTGATTCAGGACCTAAAAATTCCATTTAGCTAAAACTGAGTTTACTTCCGCAAAGGTAACTTGCTCACCTTTCCTAGTCCGTGCATTGGTCTTTGTACGTTGTCCCCTGCAAGGCAACATATCGACATGCCTGATCCCTCTGTAGCATCCGCTGTCTATCAACTTTTGTACATCACCACTGACACATCGTTTCTGGATGCCGCCAAACAGTGTGAAGTGTTTAGGAGTAGAACTCGGGATATGAGAAGCCAAGCAAAAAATAGGGCAAATGATAAGAGCTTACTAGATCTCCTCCAGTCAAGTACTTGGAGACTTCTTCCTTCAGTGCATTAAGTTCGACACCGGTCAAGTCCTTGGTAAGCTTGTTCTGGATACTCAAGTCCACCAGAATCTGATGAGCCCTGCTGCGGCCAACTCCATGGATGTACTGAAGAGAAATCTGCAGCCTCTTGTGGTTTGGAATCTCCGCATTCCCAACACGGAGGCATTGCACTTGTTGACATCGTAACTGAAACAATTGGTTAACAAAGCAAGATCAAAACATTGAAATCACAGAACTGAACCCTATACATGTGAGAGCAGCCCATTTCCGGAAAATGCAGCTAGGACAAAACAAAGAACCCCAAAGCGAATTATACGAAAGAACTGCTCAGGACTATCCTATATAGGGTTCAATCTAATCCACACCCAAACAACCAACAATCCCACTGAGTGCACGTTCGGGAGAAAAGGCTTCAAACTTTCTCCAAGCAACAAGTATAGAAATCAAAGAAATGTGTGAAAATCGATCGAAGTGAACAAGAGGCACGACCGGTTAAACCCTAGACCCTTAAGCTTAAACCCTAGCCCTTGCAGCAAAGATAAATTGATCAGAAAGAAATACTCACCGCTACGTTACGAAGGAGGCGCTGACTGACATCGGAAAGCGATCTGCCAACCCCAAGCATTGAATTGGTGGAACCAGGAAAACAGGTAGCTCACTGGAAGTCTGAGTTCGGTGCTGAAGATAAAAGTGACACCATTTTATCAAATCGGAAATCCTAGATGATTAACTATGTACAAGGAAAGCAAAAGCTTTCACGAAGCCCACAATGCCAAGCAACCCAATTTGCATCGACATGGAAGGAAAATTGGCAGGCCAAAGGCCAAACAAATGACAGCAGCAGAGGGCCTCTGTGTCAAAAAGCAGCACCGAGCAGGCCATTTTCAACCATTCAGCCCCGATCTCTCGCTTTACCATAAGCCAATCGAAAGGCCACTCGCCCAATCGAAGCACAGGGCATGAGAATGACAGGGTTTCAGTTACTAGTACTAGAACCGATTCATCACAAATAGGTTCTCTGCTGCTACTACATACTAAAACAGTTAATAGTACTAGAATCTATTCATACAAGAACCATTCCCAGGAATCTATACTTGTCGCCCCATCTCTGTCTCACATCATTCATGAAAGAGCAGCTGAAACCAACAACAACAACAAAAAATCTGAAATCAGGGGCTCCTACCAAATTGAGGAGGCGGCGGCCACAGCTTGCAATGGAGGCTATGAATGCGACGACAGGATGTGGATGAGGCGACGGCGGGGATTGCTGTAACGGTAGAAGGAGAAGGAGCCAGCGGCGGCGATGACTCAAGGATGAGATGAAGTGCGAGGGTTAATCGCGGAATCGACTGCGGGCCGGCTTGTAAAAGAATTGGATGAAGAAAAGAAAAATAAAATTTGGGAGTCTAGAGTCTACACTCAAGTATTGATTTGCTAACTTGAAAATTTGTTAGCATATACTAACGGACTGATATAAAAAAATACATGAACTAGTATCCAAATTCCAAGTACTAAAGTATTTATAGAACACATATAGTATTCAAGATTTACTAATTGATATCCATCATGAATCAACTATTATCTCAAATTCACAAACTAATATCTAGACAACACAGAATAGTATTCATACAGAACATAATTACTATCCAAATAACACATGAGAGTATCCATATTGAATACTAGTTGGTTGATTGTGGATATTAGTTGGTACCTGCTATCTGGATATTAGTTTGTGATGTTTTGAATACTAGTCTGTGTTATCTAGATACTTTAGTAAAATCAGCATACTTGGATACTAGTTCATACATTTTGGATATTAGTTTAGTATATACTAACAACTTATGCAGTTAGCAGAATAACTAGGCTGACACTCTACAATCTACACGGGTGAAATGTCGGCCGATTGAACCTACTTCAACTGAACTAGATAATATTGGTATGGCTGGTATGATCGATTTTTGAACTATTAACAAAATGATGACGTTGTAATGAATTTAATTAATGAAAAAATTAATTAATGATTTATTTCATGAATTTAAAAGTTAAATGTTGATATAATTGTTGGATTTGAGTATAAAAGTTTGGTCGTTGATGTTAAATATTGTCGTAATTATCGTCTACATCGTTTTCTCGTGACTCTACCTCTTCGTATCATCGGAGTTTTCGCCTTCAAGAATAAGTCGTAATTAGCCCGAATGTGAGACTCCTGGAGTCGTTAGCTTTTATAAAGAAATTTAACATAAAAATATCATTTAATATTAGAAAGTATTATACATGACTCGTAATCATATGCTTTGTTGGTTGCAAAATGATTTTGCTACGTGGTGAGTTTTATGAGGATATGAAACAAGATAATGAAATATAAATGTAAGGGCAAAATGGTAACATTATACAAATGACCCATTTTTTTTATAAGGGTGAATATATTAGAATCAAACTAAAAGACAAGAGTACAAGAATCAAGAAAGCACCATTCAGATCGCAAGAAGCGATCAAGACATGGGCAGGAAGAAGCAGAAAAACAACAAAACCAACTAAAACAGAGAAGAAAGAAGGTTGCGGAAGAACGAAACTGGCGAGAACAGAGGAGCTGGGAAAGACAAAAAAGTACAGCTCTCATTATCTCAGCTCTCTTCCAGCGGCGGAATCAAAGGGCAGGCAAGATAAATCGAGTGAAGCCAAATGAGATCATCATGGGAACTCACAGCACCATGAGCGGAACTCCACTTGAGGAGGTTATTCCCGATATTTTGAACGACTGCTATCCACGTCAAGGCTTCGTCCTTAAACATTCTGGCGTTCCTCTCTTTCCAAATTTCTCAGCAAAAGGCATGAATAAATCTGCTGCTGAACTAGTCATTCCACTGTGAAAGCTTGATCGGCGGCCATCCTCTTATCAGGGAGTCAATAGTGCACGGGAAAGGTCCCATGAATTCCATAACGGACTGAAAAATCTCCCAAATTTGTTTGCTTCACTTGCAGCTGCAGAAAAGGTGATCTACGGTCTCCTCCTCGGTGTCACAGAGAACACATTTGCTAGCAAAGGTCCATCCTCTTTTCTTCAAATTGTCGTGGGTAAGAATCCTTTTATGAATGACCATCCACATAAAGGCAGGCACCTATGACGGAACATGCGGCCTCCAAATAGCTTTGGTAGGGAAACCAGGCTTGCCCGAGAATTTGATGAAAGTAGAGCAATCGTAAGAAGACTTAACCGAGAAGCGAGCATTTGCGGAAGGTCGCCACATGATCTTAGTGGGTCCTGCAGAGATCAAATTAGTAGAAACAGAAGAAAGCATTTGCAATAATCTCACTCTATCCCTTTCAACTCCACCCCTTAACAAAAAACGTAAGGGGATATCCCAAGACAAACCCTCGAAATAAAAGGATACCAAATCAGAAACCCAGGCCTCCGAGGAAGAAGAAGAAGCATCAACAGCCTTCAGATAGGCATCTTCAAGGATCACCCCAGGCAGCCAGCAATCTTTTCAGAACGAAGCCCACGCACCACCACCAGCGTTAATAAAAGCATGTCTCCAAAACTCCGGTTCTTCTTTCAGGATATTTTTCCTCAAAGAACACCCCAATCTGTTGTCCCCCTTACCTGATCTCCAACAAGAAGAGTGGTTGGGGTACCTGAAATAAATAAGACAACACCACCACGCTGATGGATCAGCAGCATACTTCCACAACCATTTTCTGATGAGAGCATAATTTAGGCTCATAATGTCAAGGATTCCCAGACCACCGACCTCCTTAGTGGTCTTGCATTTATTCCAGTTGAGAAGATGAATCTTTCTTTCGTTATTATACCCAGACCACAAGAAGTTCCGCATACAACTCTCCAATCTTCGAACAACAGCGGCGCGAGCTTTAAGGACAGAGCAAGCATAAACATGCTGGCTCGAGAGGGTACTTCGGATAAGGGTGATTCGTCCTCCAAGGGAGAGGAATTTTCCTTGCCACCTGTCCAACCTCATATGCATTTTAGCAATTATCTTGTCCCACATCACACAAGAATTTGGGTTCGCACTGAGGGGGAGCCCTAAGTAGACCGAAGGATGAAAATTCCAGGAGCTTCCAAAAATATTGGCAAAACGGCAGGCTGGTCAACCTTGTTGACATGAAACATCTTGCATTTTTCCACGTTGATCCTTAACCCGGTCACCGCCTGAAAACAGACTAAGGCGCTTAGCAAGTTCAACACCTGCTCTTCACAAGCATCACAAAAGACGATCGTATTATCAGCATATAGAGGTGAGTAACTTCACCCCTAAGCCCAACTTCATCCATTCTGAAGCTAGTTAAACGTCCATCGATCTTTAAAGACCCGAGAATGAAAGACAATATATCCATCACAAGCATGAAAAGGAAGGGGGAAATAGGATCCCCTTGTCGGAGACCTTTCTCCATTTTGAAAAAAACTGTAGATTCTCCGTTGACAAGAACTGAGAGAAGAGGCGAGGTGACCAACCCACTTATCCATCCCCGAACCTTAGGCGGAAAGTCCCAACATTGGAGAATTCGCTCAAGACAATTCCAATTGACATTATCGAACGCCTTCTCAATGTCAAGCTTGAAGAAAAGTCCTGACTTCCCGCTCTTCTTTCTGCTGTCGATGAGTTCATTGGCAATTAGAGTTTCCTCGTGAATTTGTCTTCCTCTCACCCCGACGAATTGGTTACCCGACACAATGCGAGGCATAAAATCTCTTATCCTGTCAGTGATAACCTTAGAGATCAACTTATTGATACTTCCGATCAAGCTGATCGGGCTTAGGTCTTTAACATCTTCGACAACATACTTCTTCGGGATGAGGCAGATAAACGAGTGAGAGACGCAGTTAGGAAGGCGTCCATTCGCGTGAAAATCTTCAAAGGCTAACAGAAGATCACTTTTAATCAAGGATTGAAATACCGTACCAGAGGTTGTACCGAAAAAGTTGGCGGTAGGGTATTTTATGCTAAAACTGTGGTTTAACCATGGTTCAACCATATTATACCGCTAAATACCGTCTACCGATTTTGCTTCCGGTAGAAGGTTTTTCAGGTCGAACCGCCGTTACGGTACGATATTTTAATCCTTGCTTTTAATAATATTCCAGCACCGCTTGTAGAATGCCAAGGAGAAACCGTCAGGACTGGGGGATTTGTCTCCTCTGCAACTTCTAACCACCTTCCATATCTCTTCTTCAGAGAAAGATCTCTCGAGCCACTCCTGCTCATTATCGGAGAACGCAGATTGATCATACGAAGTAGGAAACAGTCGTCTCTTCTGAACCTCTTTAAAAATGGAGGAGAAATGGTTGATAAAACCCCTCTTCAACTCATCCTTACCTTCGACCCCCAAGCCATTAATTTTTATTTTTGCAATGAGGTTCTTCCTTCTTCTGAAGTTAGCCATTTTGTGAAAGTAGCGGGTGTTGATATCTCCTCCTTTTAACTAAATTTCCCTGGACTTCTGTCTCCAGGAGATTTCTTCAAGCCACAAGAGTTTCTCCAATTCAAATTTCACACTCTCTCTCGATAGTCTGTCCTCTTTAGAGATATCATTACCAATTTGTGAACGACTCATCTAGAAACTATTATACAAACAATGAATTTCCAAATGTCTACATTCGTAAATATCTACATTTCACAAATGTCTATATTTGAGCAAATGACTCATTTAAATGACCCGTAATTTGTTATTTTCAATTCCTTCTTATTCTACTTTTTAATCTTACGGGTGTTTTTTATCTTCTTCTTTCTTTGAAGCAACTGAATTGAGGGTTGAATCTTAAGTTCCTACACGCTCTGCATTGAATTTTTTAGGGTTAAAATGGTGTTTGTGCCAACAAAACATGCGTTGGCCCAAGTTGAAGTCTGCCCCTCGTTTTGAGTAGGGGTGTTGGAATGGTTACTATGGTAATTACCAAACCAAACAAGTTAAAATTCTATTAACCCTGAAATACAATATCATAACCATGGACCAGGAAACCGTATCTTACCGGTTCAACCGGAAACCGGACCTGAAACGATACGGTACACTGATGACACTCAATATACCGTGTCGGCCGGTTTTTTCGGTTTAACCGGTACAAAAGGAAATACCGACCGGTTTTGGTAACCGGCAGTAGAGTTATTTTAATGAAAACGTCGCCGTTTTTGGAACTTCAAATTATAAAAAAAAAATTCGGCAGAAGGCCAAAAACCCTAATCAGTTCTCTAACGAAAATCGGCAGCCAGGCTTTTAATCGTTTCTTCTTTCTTCCCCAGGCCCGCCCCGCCGCTCCTCCTCTTCACCTCTGGCGATTGGCGACCGTGCATGATTTGCTGCTATGGAACCGGCGACCCGCGACTGCCACTTCTCCGTTCCTCTTCTCTTCTTTTCTGGCGCCGTGCATGATTTGCTGTCATGGGACTCTTCAATTCACATTACAATCTTTAGACTCATCTGTAATAATAAGCATACTTTGGAGGTCAGTGATGTTAAACATATTTCGTTGCTTTTGTCTTCCTAATGAATAGTATGTAGTATGAGAATGTTGTACTTTGTTGATTTTTATTTTATATTATCTATGCTTAATTCAGGTTTGTTATCTGGTATATTCCGGATTTATTCCGGTATTACTCCGAAACGATATCCTGAATCTGACGGTACGGTTTTTTAACAAAAATATATTTTTTAATTACAAAAACGGTATTTTACCGGTACACAACGGTTGAACTACGGTCGTACCACAAAATACCATACCATAGACGGATCCGGTATGACTTCCGGTACGGTTTCCTTTACCATGATCATAACCAAACCGTTCAAACTAATATAACAACCAAATTAGCCAAATTAAATTTTAATCGATTTGGTTAATTGGTTAACCAGATTAACCAATATAACATCACAATATCATTAAGTGGGAAATTTTGTGGTTAATGCTTCAATTCATAATTTATAGGGTTAATATCTTATTTTGCCCAAATTATGATCATATAATCAACTTTGGCCCGTGGTTTCAGAAATTAACATCCTGGCCTCAACTATGCAGCATATAGACTCAATTGGCCCGACACATGGTTTGACCATTAATTTGGACAGTCAACATGTCATGTCATTGCCTCGTCAGCTTAAAAATTATTAAAAAGGTCAAATTAAAATTATTTTTCTAATTGCTATTATTTATCATTTTCAAATTAACTAAAAAATGAAATTTAAAATAATTTTATAATTTTTGGTTAATTGGTAAAATTTATCATCTTCAAATTACCCAAAAATATAAAATATTAAATTTATTTTATATTTTTATAATTTTAATTTTTGGTTAATTTGATAATGATAAAAATATAAATTAGGAAAATAATTTGAATTTGAATATTTTTAATGATTTTTATGCTGACGAGGCAATGACATGGCATGTTGACTAACGATCAGCGGTTTTGACCGTCCAAATTGACGGTCAAACCATGTGTGAGGCCAATTGAGTCAATATGTTGTATAGTTGAGGCCAGGATGTTAATTTATGAAACCACATGCCATTGCCAAAGTTGATTATATGATCATAGTTGAGGCCAAAATAAGGTATTAACCCTAATTTATATGATGAATAAAACATTACAATGAACACATAGTTATAGTTGACCCTTACAGAAATAATGCAACTAATACAATTATCTTACAGTCAATAGAATTATTCACCTAACAAAAATATATGTGCATTCATACATCATTGTCTACACTCTAGAAATACAAATATACAGTATAAGAACAATATTGAAATTTATTGTTGACGAGCCTAAAAGGAATGAATGTTTGGCTCTTGAGTGGTTATCTCAAGTATTAAGTATGCGTATATAATACATATTAAATATATGGTGTTTTCTTTGGTTCACTCACTTTTTTGGGTGCGTTCAATGCACCCCGCTCATAATCGTCATTATGAGCAGGCGATTCATGTGAAAACGATGTCAATCATCACTTGTGGTATGATGAACAAGAACCACATGAATTTGTACAAAAATCATTCAAGATTCACTTTAATTTGAATGATTTAGGATTTAGGAATTTGGGGTTATGGTTAGGGTTCACAGTTTGGGATTTTGTGCTGAGATTCAAAATTGAGGATTAATATGTTAGGGTTAATGGATTGATTAGTTGTGATTATGTGTTATATCATCATATTAGACTAATGCTACCTACTAAAGTTCAAAATATGATGTATTATGACCACTTTTAGAGTTGGGTGTATTGAATGTACCAAAAAAGTGAGTGCACCGAAGTAGCCGCCTTAAATATATAAATAATTCTTTAACTGGTTAATTTGGTTTGATTGGTTAGGAGTGTGTGAAACCAAACAAAACAATCGAAACCAAACAAACTAACCTTTTTAACCAAACCAATTATCCAAATGAACCAAACCAAATGAGTCATATACTACCGGTTAAAACGATTACCACGGTAACCACACCATTTAAGCACCCTATATACTACCAGTTAAAACGGTTACCACGATAACCTCACCGTTTGAACACTCCTAATTTTGAGCATAGAGGAAAACCGGCAGGAAGCTGATTAAGATTTTCCAAGATAGAACGCGGTGGCAAAGGCTGGAACAAAACAATGTTCAATCATAGACTGTCCACACTATCATTGGATTCGACAAATGTTTTCCCGTAATCCAGCCGGTGCTGCTGCCTTGGCAAAATCGGATTCCATTTTCATTTACCTAACCCACAACCAACTACAATCTAAAACACCATGGCAAAATGATTTTGGCAATCAATGGGTATTGATATTGGAACACAATTGTACCTCTGTAAATTTAAAATTCATACAAGTTTGACTTTTATTTGAGACGACTTGTTAGTAAATTATATAAAATTATAATCGAATTTTTTTCATGATCAACTCGAATTATTGATATCAACTTGTTTCTAACGTATATTTGTTTGGTTGGTGTGGTGTTAGTCAATTGGAGGGAGATAATTAGATGGCAGAGGTTAATTAAGGCCAATTTGGAAGGGTGGGATTTGGGTGTTGGTAGTGGTGATTGTGCATAGGTTCTGACTCAGATTCAAAGTAACACCACACTTTTCCTGTCCTAAATCCCAAATCCTTAAAATCTCTTAATTACAAAAATCTGATCTTCTCGTGGCTTCCGCGGAGCTTCTCCCTGATCAACATGGGCAGTATTTTTGTCGCTGTTGCTAGTATCGTATTAGGTTTTAGTTTTGGTATCCGGTTTTCTTGATCGCCAATCTATATTAATAGAGTTTCTTCAACTACGTCTTTTCGACTATTATTTTATTATTATAAATTTTGTGGTGAATTATTGTAAATACTATAATTAAAATCCAATTCTGCTGCTGAGAGTTGATTGTCATCGAAAATCACTTTTATCCAATTGGATATGACTTCTCAAACGAAAACCGACTCATAAATTTGCAGTTTGTACAGATCCTGCTTTTATCTTATATGTAAATCAATAGCTCTATTACTATATAAAAGAATCTCATCCATCTCAACTACTCAAATTGTTAAAAATAACTCAAGTTTGGGAATGGCAATGAGGCATGTTTAACGAGGGTATCTCGATACACATACCCGGCCCGTGACAGGTCGGGTAATTTATCACCGACCGTAGGTCGGGACAGGTCGACCTATTAATTGGGTATATAATTAAAAGAAAAATATTAGAAATATTTTTTCATTGAAAACCCAATAAAAAACTCTATAATACGACAAATATAATTAAATTATTTGAGAAATTGACGTTATCACCTATTTACAACTTCACCGTAGCTAAAATATAACGTAATAAAAATAAAATACCGAGCAATTTGAGTAAAATTACATGTAATTTAGATGTGGCAGGTCGGGTCCAGTAAAGTACCCATGCCCGGCCCGCCCCCTCCCCTCTTACACAGAGTAGGTATTAGTATTACCCATATCACAAAATAAATTGAATAAAACGGATCCGATCGAAATTGTCTATCCCTACTCAAGTTCAAATCTTAAATCACTCTACAAAGACTCAACGACCCGCTCTATAACATCTTACGATCATAAGTTGAATCGTTAATCTCATGGCTGAGTTTAACAAAGGGTTAGATATCTTTGTGACCAACCATTCCAACTGAGGTTTCAATTCAACCGATTCTCATGTCGTGTCCAGCTAGCAAGTTGCTGATTTTGGCATGACTTGCGACCACACCCATTTCTCCCTTTTTCCCCACTAGCAGTACAAACAACAACATATGAATACGGTCCTTCAGAAAATGATTGAGGTGAGGGACTCGATCTCCATTTCCTATTTCTACGGGTCCTCGATCTTCAAAGGCGACTTGCCGTGTTGTCTGTTTGGCAGCGCCAGCCACTTTCATGCAAACATTAAACAAATGTCGGAGGTGACTCGGATCTTATTCATGCGATCGATAAGATTCCTGACCTCTGTCCCTCCTCCCTAACAACCTAATTCATATATAATATACAAGTAACCTCAATAGTTGTGGCCGGTGCCAGCCTTTTGAGCCAATCATTGGTCTTTCGTTCTCCATGATCCTACTTCGTATAAGTAACAAACATCGATTCATTGACGTCTTTTTGATATGAATCACATTTTTCAAAATGACAATATGAGATGGGTGCATTGACACCAATCTGAGTATAATGATTTGAGTTATGAAGGGAAGTTTGAGAACAAGATTCTGTAAAATTTTCTTTCATCTTTTGTTTTGTTTTGTTTTGTTTTACTGAGGTGCATATTCAGTAATCTTTAAGCGAGAATAGATGCATGGATCACCTTATCAAATTTCAGCTCGTGACCTAATAGAAAAAGGAGCCAGGATTGATAATTCAAGTGGTGTTAGGTTTTGATATTTGGTTGTTTAGAATGTCATATTCGTTGGGATAACATAAACCCTAATTTAATATACAGATTCATGAATCACGACCTATCCTACATCGTCTTTACATGGATCCGTATATTAATTAAGTAGTATTTGAGCAAGTGTATACGAAACGTCTCATTAAATGATATATTTGTTATAATGTTAGAACAATTTGATTGTAACCTCCAACTTGTTAAAAACCGGTTAATTCTGGTAACTCTAATTGTTGGGAGTTGTTGAGAGATGTTCAACTATGGTCATGGATCTTGTTCGTCCACTAACATGCCGCCTCAAAACGAAATCCACCTCATACGAGTTTGAAGTCTGCACGGGTTTTTATTATCACGCGCTTAACAAATGGGGCCGTCGGGATTCGAACGTACAAGACCTCTTGATCATCAAAGATTCTGATACCATGTCAAGAACCAATAGATCTTAGAGGTCGTATGGAACTTGCTATTGTTAAACATGTATTGATGAATTTGATGTGTTGTAAAATACAACGTTTGGTATGTGTGATTGTGTATATATGTTACATAAGCTAAAAGCTAAGATATACAACAATCTCGACTCAACCATCTCAATTAACCTCAGCTAAAAACTGAGATATAACAATCCCTCTTTTTGAAACATATAGTTTATGTCACATCACACAAAACAATTCATGTATTGCGTATGCATTATGCAAAGATGTTAGAAAACGATGCATTCTAAACAATACAAAAATAGTAACAATCTACCCAAACAATTACAAACTTCCAAACCACCCCTTAATAACTCGAGCCGGTGAAAAAAAGTTTGATTACGAATCATATACCATCCATAACACATGATCCAAAGAGATGTAATTACAGCCTAGCGGAAAGGAACTTCATTGCATCATATTATACGTACAAATAATTAACTTGCTAAGTAGAGGGTTAAGGCCAAAACACTTTCTCAATTACAGAAAATTACACGCAAGGTAAGGTAGGATTTTAGGAAGCTTGCTGTAACTGCCCAGGAATCTGTCAATTTTAATTCTCTAATGTTTATTGGGTGCCAGCTGCAGCTTGCATTGCTTAAACAGAAACCTCCATTATAGCTTATGATCGTGAAATTGTTCTCAAAATTAGGAGTACGGATCCAAATGATTAATCAATCCGCGTTCATAATTATGCTCACACTTAAATTAGTACCCAATCTATTTTTACAAACAATAATAGTTATTGCGCATTTGAAGTAATAATTTGCTTCATATTGTTACATGAGACGGTGGAACAATAAGAACTTTGTGATTGTCGATTGTAGTTCAATTTCGTTGACATTGTTACTTGTTAGTTATATAGTGATTTGTAGAACGATAAAATATTGTGGTAGACATGTGAACAGTAGTAGAGGTGGTGACCATGTTTTTATATCGATTGGTTTTAATATTTTATGGTATTTCTCCTATTTTAACTTCTTTGTGAAATAAGTGCAAGCCACCATAGTTTCATATGATTTGGGTTCTTTCCTCATGTCATTGTCTCTTTTTGCTCTTCTTCTCTTTATCTTTTATATTACTCTCAATTATTGCATGTATTTTTATCAAATAACAATATGGGCCAATCTAACCCTAATCATTGCTTTAGCAAAATTATAAGTCTTGCCCTCATTCCTAATCTACGTACTTAACTTTAAGAAATCATAAAACCAACTAAAAATACAAGTTTTTCTTGTACCACCTTACCCTTCTCTTCTTCTCTACCAATTTCCTCTCCCGCCTTTTAGCATTCTTAATTTTCCAGTTCAGCTTACGTGATCAGCCAACACATTACTAAATAACTAATAGCAGCAAAGAAACTGATCGACAATTAATGCATCGTTCTTCATATACAAACACTGTTACAACTTACAACCCAATTTTCTCAGTGATCTTTCAAATTTACATTTTACTACGAGCTTACTTTAATATCGGACCGTTTGATGCAGATCATGTTAATCATGACCTTATTAAAAAACTATGTTCCTAACAAATCATTTTGGTTTTACCACCTACACCCATATTATTTGTTGAAAGGTCCCAAAAGAAAAGTTCCAATAGAACTATGTGGAACAATTAAATTAATCTTGGTCAACAATTATATGATATAATCCTTGTCTGTTCTTCCCTTGTAATAATAAAAAAATCTTGCATCATTTTCTACACCACTCTGCTCTTCTTTTACAAATGGGATTTGAAATACATATGACTAAAATATCATGGAGTTTGCTCAAGATATTTCTTCGCAGTATTTCTCAGATTTTTTTCTACTTCTCTTTCCCATTGGGTCTTCCCCAGACCATTGTTCCAGTAAGTTGTCAAAGCATCAATCAAGCCAGCCTGGCTGAGAAGATACCTATATGCTCAAGAGAATAACCCTGTCCTTTGTGTGAGTACATTGCCTACCACATTTCGAGTAAGACGATGGATACACGACAACAACTAGTACACCGTTACGATTATTGATATCGGGACAACATGTTACATACATAATCTGCAGCTACACATTACTAATATAGCGTTACGGAGTTGTCAAAGAGAGATGCACAATATTTCGAAAAGATACTCTTTTGTTTTGTTTTTCTCGTTCCTCAAGTGACGAATAGTTTAGTAATGAAGAACCGTCATTTTGTGTAATGCGTAATTAAAATTATAAACTTCTTGTTCATCGAAACAAATCACACGATAAATGTAACGATTACATTGCATGCACAAAAGTTCGAGATGATACTATCTAATACACATACTGAGAACAAGTTATATTGTATCTGCATCCAGTGGCATCATAAAGAAAAGAAACGAAAACCAATACCCTCTGTTTCTCTGCCCTGTTCTGCGACCTCTGTTTTTTCCCTCCGCCTCTCAAAAAACAGAGGGAGACCCAAGTTGCAGCCGCAAACGTAACACACCAAACCCCCACTTGAATTCCAACTTGTTTCTCGAAGAATAATAATGGCAATAATAATATAAAAAAAAGGATAGGATAAATAGTAAAACTAGATAATTCTTACTCTTGGATAAAATTGGACACGAGGAAATCCGAACGAAGACAGGGGAGGTGAATATCCAGTCCAGTTATCCAATTGTTATCCAAATATCTCTACTGGCTTTCCTTGATAAACCCTGCTGTCTTTCTGGCTGGCTGGATGCCTCATCATCGTCATTATCATTAATCCATCCATTATTAAGAAACAATCCAACCAATACACACGAATTCGTAGCCGTCAAATTAATCGTTTCCACGTCAGCCTCACCTGGATTCATGAACCCCAAATTATTAAAATATAAACAAAATCTGCTGCAATTTACAGCTCTCTGCTGCCTCGCACCCACATGCCTTATTCTCAAGAAATTGCAGCTCCGAGGGCCTTCTCCCCACCGTTTTTCCTCTTCTCAGGACACCAAAAACACCCATTTATCAATATCCTTTCTTTTTTCTCTTTTTGGGTTTTTTTCCAATTCCCCCCTTGCCGCATGTATAAATAGCCAGCCCGCTCAAATCTCTCTGCTCACCCAACAACAATTTTCTGATACAGAGGGAGAGAGGGAGTGTCTGAGTCCTTCTCTGCAACTTTCCCACCTTCTGTTTCTTCTTTTCAGAGAGAGAAAGAGAGAGGAAATGGCGATAGGGAATTTGAAGGATGTGGAGAGTGGTGAGATTACCTACGGCCTGGAGGACTTGGAGGAGCCATTGATGAATGGCAAAGTTGTGAGCTGTAGCAGTGGGGAAGAAACGGATGGAGATGAAGAAGACAGCAGCAATGGGTCGATAGGAATGGTGCTTCTCAGCACTGCTGTCGCGGTTTGTGGCTCTTTCGAGTTTGGCTCTTGTGTAAGTCTACACCTCCCAACTGATTCACTTGCTCACATGGTTGGAAAGAAAGTTTGGATCTTTACTGTGTGTGAGAAAGAGGCAGTTTTAGGAATCAGAGAAGTAGGGGGGCCAGGGTTTTTTTCTTTCTTTGAATCAATGGTTTTTACTAAGTGGGTTTTTGTGTGTCTGTGTTTCGTCTGGGATAGGAACGAAAATGAAATTCCCCTCAGGACAAAATTATATGCAAAAGGGTGGGGAAAGAAGGTAAAAGGAAAGGTTTGTTTAGCTTAAGCTATTATTTTGACAGGTTGGTTACTCTGCACCTGTTCAGTCTGCAATTAGTGAAGATCTCAACCTGTCTTTGCCTGAGGTAATGCACCTTTCCTTCCCCTCCAGTTTTCTTCTTTCTCTTGCTCATCATACTCACACTCTGTTTCCATCTCCCCTGCTTCAGTACTCCATGTTCGGCTCGATACTGACAATTGGAGCCATGCTTGGAGCTGTAACCAGCGGCAGAACTGCAGACTTCATCGGCCGAAAAGGGGTGAGTTTTAGTACTCCATAGCTATGGAATAAGAATCATAATACAGAGTGTGAGTGAAATCTCAATTCCTCATGTTTCTATGTTTTTGACAAAGCACAGGCAATGAGGATGTCTGCTATGCTCTGCATAATGGGATGGCTGGCTATCTTCTTCTCCACGGTATATATATATCTTCTCTGATTCCTCCTAGAAATCTGCCGAATTAGTGATTTTCTGCTAACAATTTCCAACTTTTGTATACCAGGAAGCTTTTTCACTAGACATTGGAAGGCTCTTCACAGGATACGGGATTGGAGTTTTCTCTTACGTGGTAATTGTTATTCATCTTCATAGCCCCCCTGGCGGTTTCTTTCTACCTGCAGCTGCAAGCAAGGTGGTTCATTCAACTAAAGGTGGCTTCTTTTGTTCAATTCAGGTTCCTATATTCATAGCAGAAATCGCTCCGAAGAATCTCCGAGGAGGTCTCACTACGCTGAATCAGGTAGGATAAATGGTCAAATGCAGAAGCAGATGACTTTTAACTGGGTTGCAAAACTTCACTGATTTCTGTTTGCGTTTTTCAGCTGATGATTGTTGTTGGAGCTTCCACCGCCTTCTTACTTGGCTCGGTCATTACATGGAGATCTCTAGCACTAACCGGTAAATTTTCATTTCTGGTTGACAGATTGGTGCATAGTAAAAGCACCTTTAAAAGTAACTAACTTTACAATGCTTTGTTCTCCACAAAAAAGGTATTCTGCCCTGCATTTGCCTGCTTCTTGGTCTGTTCATCGTTCCAGAGTCTCCCAGATGGCTGGTAAGCAAGGCTTAACATCCAGACCTTTACTTAGAATTCGTTATTCCAGGTGAATTAGGGGTAATGAATTCCGGTTGTTTCAGGCAAAAGTTGGCCGGGAGAAGGAATTCCAAGTCGCCCTGCAGAAACTCCGAGGCAAAGGCACTGATATTAGCCGGGAAGCTGTTGAAATTCAGGTTAACCTCGAGGCGCTTCGGGCTCTCCCAAAAGCAAGGATGGTTGATCTTTTCCAACCAAAGTACATTCGCTCCATGATTGTAAGTATTTGCTAAGACCAGGTTTTTTCTCAAGGCCAATCCTCCAAAGCTTTGGTCTTTTTACTCACACCACCCAAAACCGGGTTGTTGTGATCAGATTGGAGTGGCACTAATGGTGTTCCAGCAGTTTGGAGGGATCAATGGGATCGGCTTCTACGCAAGTGAAACATTTGCTGCAGCTGGTAAAACACCCACACACCACCAGAAAACAACAAGGCTTCTGCAGTTAGAGCTTCAATTCAACCCCTTTATAATCTGATTTCGCCTTTTCTCCCCAGGGCCTTCTCTGGCAAAAATCGGAACCATAGCATACGCCTGCATCCAAGTCCCGATCACTGTCGCCGGAGCAATGCTGATAGACAAGTCTGGTAGAAGACCACTCATCATGGTCTCTGCAACTGGTACATTCATCGGCTGCTCCATGGCTGGAGCTTCCTTCTTTCTCAAGGCAAGTCCCTCTGTACACTCTCCTCTCTTCTTCTTCTTAACGTTTCCCCTCCTTCACAACTGTTCCTAACAAACCCTCTTTTCCGAACCAGAGCCATGATTTGCTGCTCGACTGGGTACCTATCCTAGCCATCTCCGGCGTACTGGTAAAACCCCTGACCTCACTCTCCAAGAACCCTTCTCTAAAATTGAGTTAGGGTTTCCACTGATTCAAAACGCTGAATGTGAAATTCAGGTCTACATTTCTGCATTCTCAATCGGAATGGGAGCTGTCCCCTGGGTGATCATGTCCGAGGTAAAAAAAAAAAAAAGAAAGCCCTAACCCTAGACAAAACCCAATTGACTTAAACAATAAACTTACCGATATTCTATCCGAACAGATCTTTCCGATCAACATGAAGGGAGTCGGAGGGAGCCTGGTGGTGCTAGTGAATTGGCTGGGCGCTTGGGCAGTATCGTTCACATTCAACTTCCTCATGAGCTGGAGTTCTTCGGGGACGTTCTTTCTCTACTCCGGGTTCTCGATCATGACCATTCTCTTCGTCGCCAAGTTCGTCCCCGAGACCAAAGGCAAAACGTTGGAAGAAATCCAGGAATCCATCAACAGCTCGTAGGCGAATTATGAGAGCAGGAATTTGCAGAAATTTTGATTGAACATAATTGAATTGGGCATTGGAACCCGCCATTCTCCCAGCACAAATGGAGGAGGGATATCTCTCTGATACTGGGTTTACGGATTCTGAGGCAGAGATGGGGGAGAGATTGCGAAGGTCGCCGGCGGATGGTTGGAATGAAGAAGGAATTAGAAGGTCGGCGAGACGGGAACTTCCGGCGAATTGCCGGCGGTCTCGGTGTATTTTGTTTGTTGTTGTACTGATGTAGACCGATGAAAGTGAAAGAAAAAAAATATTGAAATTGGGCCGAATTACGATTGGATCTTTGACGAACCTGCTAAAATATTGAAATTGGGTTTGGGCTGAAATATGAAATGGAATAAAACCCGCCCACGCGGAACTCAAGGCGCGTGATACCAACTCGCCATCTCCCAATGTATAATAAACGTCGGTCGAATCCAAACTAAACGCCGACGTGTCCCTCTCTCTCCCATCTGTTCACTCGAAACGATCTCCTCAGTCAAACTGTAACCACCACCGTCGCCGCTCGAGGAATCCGGCGATCCTCCTCAGTCAACCGTAACGCGAAATCAATTCACCTCCGATCGCTTTCTCCTCCCCTGCAATTGATGATCGGTCGACGAGAGTGATGTTCCCGGCGCTTCTCGAATTCGACTGAGGGGAAACGCTGGTAAAGAAAAGAACCCAGAGATGAGGGCGTTGAGGTCTAAGTTTTGGAGAGCTTGTGAGGAGAAAGGGAATGCTGGTGGGAAATCGGACGGAACGGGAGGAAATGAAGGCGAGACCTCCGATCAATTCCATCACGAAATTGTGCAGCTGACGAAGCTTAGGTCAGGGCCGCACGAGCTCTTCAGTCGGGAAACCCCGAAGGTCGGCGGGAGGCCCAGGGCATCATCCGTTTCCACCTTTAAGATGTTGGCTGGGAGGGAGGCCAATTGCAACGGAAGAGGGAGATTCTCGGCGGCCGATGGTTGCCATGTACTGAGCCGGTATTTGCCTGTGAGTACTCCCGTTGAGGTCGACAACACGAGGAGTCGGGCTTATGTGTCTCAGTTCTCGGCCGATGGGTCGCTTTTCGTTGCAGCGTTTCAGGTACAACTTCATTTTACCCTGTTGACCTGAGCTGGTGAGTGGTGACTGTGATTTTCTCCTGTGGAAATGGGTTTTTTGGTGGTTAAACATTTGGGAGTTTTGGGGTTGCGCAGGGGAGTCACATTAGGATATATAATGTGGAAAAGGGATGGCAAGTTCATAAGAATATCTTGGCCAAGAGCTTGCGGTGGACGATTACTGATACTTGTCTTTCCCCTGATCAGCGGTATCTTGTAAGTTTTGGGTGTTGAATTTGTTGGACGGAGAACATTAGATTGTTTCTGAAATTCTGGGACTTCTCATGGTGTTTCCTAATGATGCCTGGCTTGGTTCTTTCTTTCTGATTTCCAAAATGACAGGTGTATGCGAGTCTGTCACCTGTTGTACATATTGTTGATGTTGGTTCTTCCACAACCGAATCGCTTGCAAATGTAACGGTAGGCATGCTGTAACTGCTATTGCAAGATTGAATTTTTATATGCTAGATACGTAATCCCAATGTTTTCTCATTGATAAACCCGAAGTTTCAATTGATGGTATGAGCAGAACTGTGTTCTTCCCATAGAGCTGGTACTCTTAGTGTTTAACAGAAAGTGATATATTTATGTGGGTTTTGCTTTTTCAATCTAAAAATCTTCATGTGCAGGAAATCCATGATGGTTTGGATTTTTCAAGCTATGAGGATACTGATGAATTCGGGATCTTCTCCATAAAATTTTCAACTGATGGGAAGGAGCTCGTTGCTGCAACTAGTGATGCTTCTATATATGTTTATGATCTTCAAGCCAACACTCGAACCCTCCACATCCCTGCCCACCAGGTAGCTTTTTCTTCGTCATTCCTTCCTCACCAATTTCCGGCCTTGTCAATGATCGAATGATGAGAGTGAGACCTGTACTCTTGGTTTAGTTGAATGTTCAATGTATTACAGTCTTGATTTCGATGTCTTCTTGCAGGCTGATGTAAATACAGTATGCTTTGCTGATGAATCCGGCCATGTTATTTACTCTGGAAGTGATGACCACTTATGCAAGGTAATTAAAGTTTGATTCCTGGTAAGTATGTTTCTCATCGAGTTGTTTCTGTTTGCTTATATTCAAAACAATTGCAGGTTTGGGACAGACGATGCTTTAACGACAGAGGGCAGGCAGCTGCAGGGGTATTGGTGGGTCATCTGGAAGGTGTCACATTCATAGATAGCCGTGGAGATGGACGTTATTTGATATCGAACGGGAAGGATCAGACCACAAAGCTCTGGGATATACGGAAGATGACTTCAAATGCCACAACGTAAGTGAGATGCTATTGTTTGTCAATGCCTTGAGCATTTTTGTCATAACCATATGGGGACATCTCATTTCATCCCTTCAACCAGCTATCCAAGAATAAGAGATCCAGACTGGGATTACAGATGGATGGAATACCCACCTCATGCCAAAACGATGAAGCATCCTCGTGATCTGTCCTTGACTACTTACAGCGGTCATTCGGTCCTTCGCACCCTTATTCGCTGTTACTTCTCGCCTGAGTACAGGTACTGATTTTTGCTCAAAGGTGTGCTTGTTTCGGCAAAAAACTAAGCAGCTTGAAAAGTACTTCAACTACAACTTAAAAGAAAGAAAAACGCTAAGCTAAAACAAACACAGCCTAAATGTTACTGGCCACAACTCACGACTTTTGATCTAATCAATAGTGATCATGATGTTGATGCAAACTTGTTTGCAGCACCGGCAGGAAGTACATCTTCACAGGGTCGAGCGACTGTTGCGTTTATATTTATGACTTGGTAAGCTCCCCTTCACCTCAGAATCAAAGAGCAGAGATCCCATCTATTTATTGACAGGAAGCTTCAAGGTGTATGGTTGTGAAATTTTTTTCTGTTGGTTTATGTTGTGTTACAAAGGTGAGTGGAGCTCAAGTGGGTTGCTTGGATTATCATGAAGGACCTGTGAGGGATGTTAGTTGGCATCCCATCTACCCGATGCTCGTCAGCTCTTCGTGGGATGGCCGCATCATGAAATGGGAGTTTCCTGGTCCCGATGAGGATTCGATTCCACCTGCTGTCAAACGGAAGAAGAGAGCTACTCGTCATCATTTTCTATACTGAGCGAGGAGAAGGAAGAGAGCCCTGTTCTTGTGAGGGAGCTCATGTGGCTGTTGCATACCTAAAGAAGGATCAATCTCCTCGTCGTCCTGTGTATGTATGTATACAGAAGAAGAAGAAGAAGAAGAAGAAGAAGAAGAATAAAAAGGTTTGAGTGGAACTGTTGTGAAAGTAGCTGCTCTGAATTCCTTAAAAGTTGTAAGTGAAGTTTCTTATTCTCTCTATCAGCAAACATTGTTTAGTACTTTTCTGGTACTTCTGGGTTTCTTGCATTTTGTAGAATCACAATTTATAATGGGAATAGCTTGTGATGTATATTGTTATATACATAGTAATGAATTACTCGTCTATTATTGGAGTATACCATATTTCAAGTGATTGATTGTTGGAGGTACTTTGTTGTACTTTGGTGAATTATAATCATCAATTACTATTTTTTCTTAAAAAAAAAACTTTCTTTGAATTTAAGTTTACAGTACTATTTGTAAGGACATAATGCTTACAATGCATACAATCGTCCGATTGCATGCTAGGTGCTTTGCGATCGTTGGATGAATGCAACAGACAAAGTGGATACATCCAACGAATACGAATGGTAAGCACGCCGGTAGGGATGGCAAAAATATCCGTAACCGTGGATATTCGCTCGAATCCGGCCTAATCGGGTAGGGTAAAACAAGAACCCGAAGGACATTTAGTGGGTACGGGTAAAACCCGAACCCGATTATTGCGGGTAATGGGTGGGCATGAGTTTCTAACTATCCAACCCGAATCCGTCCGATTATACGCATGCATATGTATTTTGTCTAGAAATAATTATTATTTTTCTCTAACATTTTATATTTAGCATATAAATATAATATTTTCATGAAATTGTGTTGTTTTAGTTAATTTTCTTCATTCTAATGAACTATTGTCGTGCTTTTTCTTTTACGTAATGTGGGAACACGTGTGAATGTTAACATATTGGTTGGAGTTATGAAGAGAAATTATTATCCATGGATAACCGTGGATACCCGAAATTCGAACGGGTATGGAGATGGTTTTAATTTTCTATCTGTTTCACATGTGGGTATGGATATGGGTAAAACCCGAACTACTTTGGGTAGGGTAACGAATATGCACTATCCGTCCCCGACCCGATCCATTGCCATCCCTACACGCCTGGTATCAAATATCAATAGCCAGCTGGGCTTGGGCCAATTCTTTGCTCTGGACTTCAGGAAAACGAATACAGTCCGGGCCTTTCTCAGCGGGGCCCGAAAGACTTCCCCGTACTAAAATCAAATCTCTCTCCCGAAACACGTGCGTCGTGTCGTGTCCCAGCCCCTTTCCCTCCCTCAATTTCTTCATCTCCCCCCAACGAAGAGTCGCACACGCAGATTTTACTCATCCTAATCTCAATCCAGATCCACAAGAGAAGAAGAATGGCATCGCCGGCAGCGAAGATCGCGTTCCGCATCGCCGTAGCAGTGATGGTAATCACGGTACTGTTCTACGTCGGCCGTCCGCTCTACTGGAAGATCTCCGCCACCATCCAAGAGGTCCGCGAGAACAAGCGCACCGTGAAGCAAGGTTTCAGCATCAACAATTTTAATTTCCTCTCCCTTCCTCCCTAACCCTAATAATCGCCGCCCCCTTCGATTCGGCTCGTTCTGAGGCTCTTTTTTTTTCTTCTTCTTCTTCTTCCTGTCGGCAGGGATTTCGCAGATCGTGTACGAGGCGCAGAAATCGGTGGGGTGGTTCCACGACGAGTCGGATCCCGGCGGCGTCGTGCGCGAGCAGCGCCGGGCGACTAACCGGAAGCTGCTGCAGTTCGTCGGCCGGGTTGGATCGTTGTAGAGAGCCGCAGAAACCACGATTCCTTTCCTCCTGGTGGGGCATTTCGTTCATCACTTGTTTGTTTGTTTGTTGTTATAGAGAAAGGAAATAATTCCCGGGAAGGGAGAAGAAGACATTCTCTCCGGCTAGGATAGTAATTTTTGTAATCCTATGTATCGTAGCGCTGCCTGCCTAAGAGTTGGAAGAAGAAGAGGTAATAATACATTTCACTGAGGTTCAAATCTTCTGTGTATCGTTCCAATTTTATCGGAAGTATCTGAACAGACTTTCAGATGAGTTGGATTAGAATTATCATTTGGTTTTTGCTTTCAATGAGCATAGGTCTCTCGATTGCAATTCGGCTATGGTGCTTTGCTTATGGTGATTTTCTCACTGCGAATTTGTTTGTGTTTATGCTCGATTCGGCTTGGGATACTGTTCTAATAATGTTCATTGGTGTTAGAATGTTCTAGTGCATTTCACCACGACAGTTGAATTGTGTTTTCGTGATTTACCACGGTTATGTCGAATTGTCGATTTCGAATGGCATTGTCACTATGTGCATTCATTCAACGACTGAACCTGAGACAACATCATCAATTGTGAAAAGCAATATCCAACAGCCATTATTTGCATTATGATGGAGGGATTTGGGATTAGGACAGTGGTCTGATTACCCTGCTCGTGCTCGGCTGTGGGAGGTTTCCAACGGATCTTGTTTTTTTTGTGATTGGGCCTTTAATGGGTTTAAGCCATTCATGTAGTGGAGGCCCAGCCCTCGGTTCTTTTCTTTTCTTCTGTTCTTTCGCATAAGGAGACCTCTCCCTTTTTGGGATTGATGACCGGTTCTCGTATGTTTGCAAGATCTTCTAGCCGTATGAAATGGTTGTATGATGATTAAATTATAGTTTCAACATGAGATATTCCTTTACTCACTAATACAACATTCAGTATGATTTTATGTGAAAGACATTTGAATTTGTGATTGATATGTAAATATGTTACTTCCGATGTTTCTACTTACGAACAATTATATTTTACGAAAAGAAGATTGGTAAAAGTTCCGGATTGGTTGACTTTTGGGGTGAGGTGTAAATTGGTGAGTGTTATGAAAGTAGTTGAATTTTGGAATGAAGAGAAATAAGTTGAGTCAGACTAGACTTGAAATTAATAGTTCAATGCACTAGAAGAAGGAATTCAGTTGACTCTCCGCCTAATCAGCTGATTATGTGGCTCTCATGCCTTGTTGCGTCGATGATGATTAAGTCAATTGAGAAAATTGTAGAGAGAAAAGTAGATACAAAGTGAAATTATTCATATGAGACTTATCGTTTTTCAAAATTTCCCCCCTCCATTCTGGATTTATGAAGTAGATTGTCACCTTTAGTCAAGTCTGATAATTTCTCTGAGTATGAGGTACGATCTCCACTTGCAAGACTAGGTTGATCGTCACATCTCTCATCTGTTCGACACTTGATATCTTAAACATTACACTTAGTCAGTCCGATGACGCTTCCTGTTTTAAACGACATCAGGTGGTTTCATGACGCTTTGTTAGCATTTAGCTTAGCTAACGCAATAGTGAAGTTGAGGGCGATCATTTTCACTCACATATAGAAGATTATTGTAGGGTTCCAACTTCCCATTTCAACATTCAGTGATATGATTGATATAATTAAATGAATCTTCTCATGGTCCATGATGATTAAGTGTTGTAGAGCAAGGGTGGACCGTGGACCTAATGCTACACTAGTATGATTCCCCTTCATGCGCACTAATCCTTAATTGCTTCCCCCTTTTGTGATTAACTTAATCTTATAACAAAATCAATGAAGACCCTAATCATCAATTTGGATATGCGCTCCTATCCAGCTTCTTCCTTCCCATTAAGCATCATATGCAAAGTCCACGCGTGATTAACTTTTAATTTGGTGGCTCATTCTTCCTCCTTAATTCTACATAACACTTCTCATAGTCTCCTCTTTAAATTGTCCACCGCAACTACTTCATAATTAAGCCAACTTTCATGATATCATGTAAGTAGGAACAAGGTAAGGTGACTTGATTTGTTGCAATCTCCATTATAAATAAATTAGAGTTGTTAAAATCGACTCGAATTGAACGGTCGGAACGGTAAAAATTAGACTCAACCACGAAGCCGGCTCTCTTGAACCGGTCAGTCCGTGAACAGTTCGAGCGATTAATTGCTCGGAGCGACAGAACCAGACAACTAATTTGATGCCGAGATTTGAGCTCAGACCCTCTTAGTGACATGCGACAACACAAGCTTTTTACCAACGGTGATGTCTCTATTTTGTGTCAACATGCACATAAATTAGAATATTCAACGTTTGAAGTGTGGAATTTAGAAAATTTTAGCACTCATCTTTGTTTATGAGTAATGTGTTTTTATCTTAGATTTATAGTTTAATATGTTAGTTTGTGTATTCTTTTTTATAGTAATCTTATTTATGAATCATGATGCACTGGTTCGTTAACAGTTTTAACTGTTTAATACCGATTAAACCAATAAAGTGTGAACTACTCGTTACGCCGATTGATACTATGATTCGGTTCTAAAAATATTGGAGCCAGACATTGAGAGTCGGTCAAAAATCGATTTACAATAGTCAGGGGCGTAGCCAGGATTTTGTGGAGGGTGAGTCCATTTAGAAAAAATACATACGATAAAATAATTTTGTTAGCTTTCTAAATCGTTCATGATATAATTTTGTATTTGCAAAAACTTGGTAAATTAAATTATATGTCAAAACTAACAAGAATATATCACCATATATGTATAAACAATTATTTATGATTTAGTTAGACATTTGCTTTTGAATCGTGTTCTTCATCAAGACCGTTTAGTATCATTAACTCGAGTTGTTAGGAAAGATTTAATAATGAATCTAATACTATTTAGTATTTACTAACACTTTCCTGCTTACTACAACCAACTTATGCGTGCTTAAAGTTTACGTAAATGTGAATATCATGTGTTTAACAAATGGGGTTACAAAGATTCGAACAAATGATATCTCGGTCAACCATTCTCAATTAGAAGTGCCCTAAATTTCATTCTCAATTAACTATTATACTAATTTACTCATTTTCATCCTTAGGAAACACCTGTTACAATCTCCCTACCCCTGATTGAAATAAAATTATTTTTACAAATTAATTATGATTTGGTGGAAATTTGTTGTAAATATTCAATACATAGATCTTCAATTTTGGGCGAATCATATACATCATTATCATTTGTACATAGCTCGTTATAAATACATTGAATATGTCAACGCTCGTTATAAATCATACATCAAATATTTCAAAGGTCTACCAATTTCATTTAAATACGTATTATTTTTCATACCCGATTAACTATTGTACCTAATTGACCATTTTCTAACCGGGATCCACCCTCTAACTCTCTCCCTCCGCCCCTGACAATAGTGACATGGCGGGGTTGGCCTTTCGTTAATCCCGACAGCGTGGCATGGAAAACCAGACACAAAGAATCTCAAAGATATGCTCTTTGCGTGTTTGTCTTTGTGGCGGTAGAAGAGAAAAAAAAGGGAGATATGATATGCTAAGTCAAGGTGTTTCTGTGGGACGGGATACGGTGACAACCCCCTTAGGGGTTGTCAGATTCACTGCAATTACCAGCAGTGAATTATCCTCCACGAGGCTAATCCCACCTTTGTCGGGTCTTTTCTCTCATTCCAACTCCAATGATCAAAAGTTGATGATTTGCAACTTAACAAGGTAGGTTAAAGATAGAAACACAGTCAAAAGTATGACAAAGCATGCAACACGAGGACATTACCTTTAACCATTAATACGACGATTCGAAAAGTTGTCAAAACGATCATGCAATTCCTAGTGGGAACATCCGAGTCAACTAAACGAAATTGAAGAACGGCCGAATGACCTCTTACCAGCCAATTCGTCAACAAGAAAGTTAACCTCTCTATAAATATGAGTACCTCGCAATGGCGAAGTTAAGGTGCTATAGCAGTATAACCCATTAGCTAGTCCTCCTCAACTTTGAATTATAAATTAAATTACGTATAAAATTTGTATCATATTTAGGAAATAGGGCAGTTGGTAAAACTTTACGCACTTCTTCCCATTTATCCCAGTTCAAATAAGCCCATCTTGTTCGTACTATAGATTGAATCATTCGATGTTGAATAGTAATATTATGAAAAAGGATAAATCATTTTATAATCATATCATTCGATCGAGAATGCAGTTTCACAAACACAAACTTTGCATCTACTCGATTCAACCGATATGGTGTCATTCCAAAAAGGAAAGAAAATCTTACAAATAGAGAGGAAATAGCATCGATAAACTTATATAATTATGGTCATTAAATAAATAAGGGTACAAGGGCACTTCTATGGTACTCCCAGAATTTCATATGGATATAGTACACTATTGTGGTTGCTAAATGTTTAAAGTTTGCAAATATTTAAACAATAATTTATAAAATTTAGGAGTTGAATATTATAAATTTTGTATATAGTACTAAAAATTGTCTATATCAATTAAAAACAAAAATGATACATATCGTACATCTGAAGTTGAAAGTGCAATGTCTAACTTCCAAGGAAATGGAGATTTCCAACTTGCAACTTCTAACAAAAGCTTTGAACAAACTCTCTTGGCATAAAATCTTTTGTTGGTTCATTTTTTTCCTGTTTTCTAAACCACTGTGTTCTTCCCTAATCCCTTTTTACTCATTCAAATGAAGCAAGGCATTGACCACAATCAAAGCTGACATAGGCAAAAGGCTCCCCTAGTCTACTCACCAACAGCAACAGATTTAGTGAAACTAATCATCATTTCCCCTTTCACTATACAAATCATTAACAACAAAAGATGAAAATAATAATTAATCAAACACACCCTTTTCCCTTTGATCCCTCCTTGTACCCTTTATTCTCAGATATTGGTGCTCCTCTCTCCTTCCCAAGAATCTGTTCCAATTCTGGTAATCACTAATTAACACATAATTTTGCATCTTCCTTTGTCTTGTCCCTTCATGACTTTTACTAGAGTGAATCACCACACCTACATTTTGTCCACATATATGTGAATGTAACAGTCTGCTAGGAAACAGGAACCAAAGATGGTTGTTCTGCAGAAGAAGAAGAATTCATGGGTTTTACTTCTGATCATGGTGCTCAGCATACTACTTGTTGGAGATCAAGCTATAGAGGAAGGTGAAGAAGCAGCAGCAGGAAGAAGAAAACCGCGGCGGATTCTGTTGGATACAGATGTTGACACAGACGATTTCTTTGCTCTTTTGTACCTCTTGAAGCTCAACACTTCAGATTTTGCAGTTGAGGCAGTGACCATCAGTGCAAATGGATGGAGTGATGCAGGGCATGCAGTGAACCATATCTATGACATTCTGTACATGATGGATCGCGACGATGTCTCTGTTGGTCTTGGAGGTGAAGGGGGTGTCCTTGATGATGGGACCATGGACCCTAATGTTGGAGGATACCTTCCCTTGATTGAACAGGTAGATCAAATTTCATTACACTTCTATGTGAAAAGTTGTCAAAATTTTTTTTGTCTGGTATGAATTTCTTATTGAAGGTTTTGATGTTAGGGAATGACAACAGCAGGAAGTTGCAGATACAGGCAGGCCATTCCTGTTGGTGGGAGAGGGAGGCTTGACACTGATTCTAACTATGGCCTCAGGAGAGCTTTCCTTCCCCAGGTAATTAATTGGCTGCAAATGTCATTTACCCTTTGAATATGTACTCTCACTTCTCATTAGCACCATTCTGGGGTTTTGATAAAACCAGGGACGCAGGAGATATCGCCCTCTTCGACAGCCAACATCGCAGCAAGTCCTGATAGAGAAAGCATCTGCAGGTCCAATTACAATACTGATGACAGGATCGCATACAAACATAGCCATTTTCTGGATGAACAATCCACATCTGAGGCAAAACATTGAGCATATCTACATAATGGGAGGTAGTGTGAGGTCAAGCAACCCTGGCAATTTGTATACTTCCTCTGCAAGCAACCCCTATGCTGAATTCAACATATTTGCAGACCCTTTTGCTGCATACCAGGTATACTGGCAAAGAGAAGAACAAGCTTATACAAGTAGTAATCCTTGTTGACTAAGGATTTTACCTTTTCATTCTGTTTTTTCAGGTTATTCATTCTGGAGTTCCAGTAACGTTGGTACCTTTGGATGCAACCAATACTATTCCGACGAGTAAGGAGTTCTTCGAGGCGTTTGAAGAGAGACAGGAGACTTATGAGGCCCAGTACTGCTTCAAGTCCTTGAAAATGGCCAGGGACACTTGGTTACCCGACCAATTCTACTCAGTAATTTCTTCTCCAATCTCTTACAAGATCTTTGTTACCCTGAAAGTTCAACATGACCAAAATAAGAAGCAATGGTTAATGGCATTTGCAGGTACTATGTTATTTTAACAAACATGTCTGTACTACATTGTTTATCTGTTTCTTAAGCATCTCAACTGAAGATTTCATCTAAATCTGTTACTAGTGAGATTGAACTATACTTTCAATTAAGCATGGATCAACCTTATCGAAATTTGGATGCAATTGTTAACTGATGGTAAGTAGCAGATAAACAACATGGTACTTAGACATGTTTGCTAAAAGAATACAGTACAAGGAATGAAGGGGCTGATGGTTTAAAGAACAGCTTCAATTTTACTTTTGCAGAGCTACTGCATGTGGGACTCTTTTTCATCTGGTGTTGCAGCTTCCATCATGCAGAGAAATTCAAAGAATACAAACAGAAATGGAGATAATGAGTTTGCAGAAATGGAGTACATGAACATAACTGTGGTGACATCAAATCAACCTTATGGAATTCATGATGGCTCAAACCCGTTCTTTGATCGCATTCGAGTTCCAAAATTTGGTATGGAGAATGGTGGGATTCATAGTGGCCATGTCCAGACAGGCCTTAGAGATCCATTCTGCATTGTGCAGAATGGTACAGGCAAATGTCAGGTACCAAAAGAAAAGGTTAAAATGCATTTTGTGTTTTCTAAGATTTCCACCAATGGGTTTTTTATTTATTCTTCATGTAGTCATGAACATGTTTTAGGATGGATATACAAGAGAGACAAAAGGTCCGAATTCTGTACAAGTTCTTGCTGCCACAAGAGCAAAGCCTACTGCAGAACCTAACTGCCAGCTCAAGAAAGCATTTCTCAAGAGCTTCTTAGATGTAAGCTTGCTAGTTGCACACCAGATGGCTGTTTTTCTTAGAAAGGTTTAAATGTCATAATACAAGAACTTGTTTGGTGAAATTCATAGTACAATTACATGTTGATTAAAACAACCTGATACAGTGACTAAATGGCATTAACCAAAATAACATGATACTGCAATTTTGTATTCACTGAGTACAGGTTATGAATCACCCTCAACAGTCTGGCAAATTCAATTTCACCAACCAATTTCCTTACCACAGGGAAGTTCTCAACAAGCCAGACTTTGGAAACAAAATATTAGGCAAGCCTGTTGTTTTTGACATGGACATGAGCCCTGGAGATTTCCTTGCCCTTCTGTATCTCCTTAAAGTACCTACAGAAGTCATCAACCTAAAGGTAAAATTCAAGAGTTGGTAACTTTTATCATTTCTATCACATTGACCATACAACAGTACCTGCAAAAAGCAATGTACATGAACTGAAGTTAGAATCTTTGGCAGGCTATCATAGTAAGCCCAACTGGGTGGGCAAATGCTGCAGCAATAGATGCTGTTTATGACTTGCTCCACATGATGGGCCGCGATGACATACCAGTTGGCCTTGGAGAAGTGATAGGAACAAACCAGTCTGATCCAAACTTCCCTTCTTCAGTTGGAGGCTGCAAATATACCAAGGCCATCCCTCAGGGCAGTGGTGGATTCCTGGATTCAGACACATTATACGGGCTTGCTCGAGACTTGCCTCGATCCCCCAGAAGGTACACAGCAGAAAAATCAGTATCATCTAGAGGCCCTCCAGACATGGATCATCCCGAGCTCAGGCAGCCTCGAGCAGTGGAAGTGTGGGACTCAGTGGTGAAGGAAGCTGCTGAAGGGTCCAAAATCACATTCCTGACAAATGGACCTTTGACTAATCTAGCAAAGATTATTCTGTCCAAGGGCTTCAAAAGCTCCATGATACAGGTAAACTAAAATGTCATATTTCTTGGGGCTAAAGATTCAAAATTTATCTAGTTATGCCAATGCAGGAAGTTTATGTAGTAGGAGGACATCTCAGCAATGGAAATTGGGACAAAGGGAACCTTTTGAACAAGCATCCGAACAAATATGCAGAGATGAACATGTTTCTTGATCCATTGGCTGCAAAAACAGTATTGGAATCATCACTCAACATTACACTGATTCCACTTGAAGCTCAGCATAATGTCAGTTCCTTCTCCAAACTCATACAAAGTCTAAACAAATGGACGAATAAGACCCCCGAGGCATTTTTTACCAATCGCTTGCTCTCGCTGCTTAATAGCCTGCAACAGAATCATCACAGATATCAACACATGGTAACAGTGCTTTTGCTAGGGATCATAGTTGTTTTCATAAATACTTTCAAAAAGATTTCTAACTTTTCAATGCAGGACACATTTCTAGGTGAGATTCTTGGTGCAGTAGTTTTGGCTGCTGATCATTCCATACTGAAGCTTGCACTACAAGTCAAGCACATCAAGGTCCTTGCTGGAGGCGATGAATCGACGGATGGGCAAATCGTGATCGATGAGAAGCAAGGGAAACATGTCAGAGCATTGAAATGTATAGACCCGGATGCTTATTACGGAGCTTTCACGAATCGACTAGGAGAGAAGAAGCAATCTGCTGTTATAGGAAGCTTTGAAGAGCAGAAAAGAATTTGGAACAGGCAACCAAAATAATACTAGGAATACCTTTCTGACATATACCCTGCATAAAGAAAGTTTGATTTTTGGTTTTTTGTTTACTTTTCTTATTTAAAGGAAGCATAGAAAATTGGATGTTCAAACCAGAAATAGAACGACACAGTTCATAGAGAAAGGTTATATGGATATAATGTTCTATACACTCTTAACTAGCAACGGTTGATGAAACCCAAGGGAATAGTTAGTGAACATGTTGGAAAATATGGTCATATGGAAAGGTTCAACCTTTAGGCCATATTATGGTTCATGACAAATTCTCCTAATTGAAAGGAACTGATGAGATATCATTGGTCCCATATGGCAAATTCTTTCTGAACCCCAGTCGCTCTTGGCACAGGTTTATAAGGGGAAGTATTTTTTCAATTGGGACTTTTCTCATTAATTCTGCCCCGGTCACGTTGGTCGTGGACTCGTGGGGATGTCAAAGTGTTGTCTATGGCTGACAGTTGTTGGTCACAGGTTTTTGTTGGCAGATTGTCAATGGTCGATCTGCTTCTTTGCTTCACTCTAGTTGGATTCATCACCTACACCTCACTATCCCTGTCTATAATCCTCAGGTACTCCCAAATGGGAAAGACCCAAAGGTGGCTGAGGTAATTTCCCCAGGGGGTGGGCAGTAGTGTGAACATAGGATGAGCCAGTGGATTGACCCAGCTACTTGTCGAGCAATCAAAACTATTACTCTCTCTTATGACGATGTGGAGGACGGGTTGATATGGCATGACACAACCGACGAGATTTTTACTGTTAAGTCAGCCTATCATCTGGCAGTTTTATTGTACAAGCAAGGTGGTTGATGGCGATCTATGGCTAGTTGGATGGATCGATCTAGATGGATCAGTTTGTGGGAAGCTCGTTTCCGCCTTAGTTAAAGGTGTTTCTATGGCAGCTTTTCCATATGATCCTTCCAACGACAGAAGCTCTTATTGAAAAGAAGGTTCAAGTGCTCTCTAGATGTCTCGTCTGTTGGGCTGACTCGGAAATGTGGAGCATTTATTTCTTGAGTGCCCCATAGCTCGAGCTTTATGGAATCATTCTAGATTGGAATACCTTGGCATACTTTTCCGCTATTCCTTAAAAAGTTGATATTGTTGATAAATCAGCCCCAATTGCTGATGGCGGTTGTAGTGATTCATTGGCAGATTTGGAGATCCCGTAATTGGGTTGTATTTGAAGGCAAAAAATATGGGATTTCAATTTTGATGCGTCAATTCCATCAACAATACCAAGAATGGATCAGTTCGCCCCTAGATCCTAACCTGCGGTTGTCAGTCCCTCAAGCAAGGGAGGCCAGGCTTCCTAATACCATGGTCTGCATGTGGGATGAGGCCACAAAGAGTGAGTCCCACTCTGCCGGGGGAATGATTATCATGGACCAAGGGGGCGCCTCCTAATGGCCAGAGGGGTTCAGTTTCCGGATATCTATGATCCGATGGCTGTTGAACTGCTTGTCCTCCGAGAGGCCATTGTGTGCTGTCTGGATCTTGGACTCACGGAGGTTTGCTTTGCTGGGAACACGAAGGTGGTCATTGATAAGATCAATGGGGCGGATACTAGGGATAGTCTCACTAGGATAATCCTTGAAGAGGTCGTCCGTATTTTCATGTGCGATTTGTAGGTCGAAGTAGCAATAGGGTAGCCTATCCGATGGCTAAAAAAGTCCTCTTTTGTACTCTACTACGTGTCGTCTATTTGATTTTCTGGTCTGTCTGAACTCCAGGATGTAATGATCTTTTGTTCTAATCAATATATGATTATTTTTTGTAAAAAAAAAGAGATATCATTGGTTTTGAATCTCAAGTTAACGGGTTCGAATTATATAAGTAGCATCTAACTTTAAAAATAAAAGTCTATATCACTTTTATAAAAAAAAAAAAAACTCATGAGATATCTTGAATAATGGTGTTAATCTTTTTGCTTTGTACGAACAATTGTTAGAAACATGAATTAACATTATTATTGATATTTAGTAAGAAGTCCTTTGGTAGGTTTACCAAACTTTAAGATCATACCTCTACATATATGCCAACATTTTATTGGTCTCTTTTTATTTTATTTTTTTTAACTCATTCTCCACCTATTTCATGTCTTCCTATTTCTTTCAGGTAAATGCATATTTGGTCATTAAAATTACTAAATCGTGTCATGTTTAGTCACTAGAAAAATATAATATCAATTTTGGTCACTCGAATTACTGAAACTAGTCACATTTAGTCACTCTCCCGTTAGCCTCCGTCCAACTCCAATCACTCGAATTATGAAACATGTCACATTTAGTTACTCGAATTACTGGAACATGTCACATTTAGTCACTCTCCCGTTAGTTTCCGTCCAAATCCATTAATGGAGTTGGACGAAAACTAACGGGAGAGTGACTAAATGTGACATATTCCAGTAATTAGAGTGACCAAAATTGATATTAAATTTTTCCAGTGACTAAACATGACACAATTTAGTAATCTCAGTGACCAACTTTTATATAATTTGAGTGACCAAACGTGTAATTTAGCCAACAAAGGCTAAATTATTTCGCTCGAGACCAACTTTCATAAACTTACTCAATTATTTCGCTCGAGGCCAACTTTCGTATATAATTTTGGATTTTTACTCATCTCTCTTGCTCGATGTCGAAGGAAGTTCACGATAAAATCCCTCGCTCCCAATAAAAAAGGATAAAAGTGACATATGAAACATAGAAACCAAATACCAGGTTCTTTCTTTGGTCTTTTCCTTCCGCTTTTGTTGATTTTTGCATATTCTCTATTTCTCCTTTTTTTACATCTTAGTTGAAAATCCATGTAAATTCTAAGTTTATTTTCTTGTTTGTGGGCTGAATAGATACATAATTAGTTATCTCTTTATTCTTTTCCATTCGTAAATTCATAAATTAATAGTTGTCGAGCTCTATATCAAATTGGTTCTTTTTATATAGCCGTTCTTCAGGAGATTTTGAAGGCTAAATTATTTCGCTCGAGACCAACTTTCATAAACTTACTCAATTATTTCGCTCGAGGCCAACTTTCGTATATAATTTTGGATTTTTACTCATCTCTCTTGCTCGATGTCGAAGGAAGTTCACGATAAAATCCCTCGCTCCCAATAAAAAAGGATAAAGGTGACATATGAAACATAGAAACCAAATACCAGGTTCTTTCTTTGGTCTTTTCCTTCCGCTTTTGTTGATTTTTGCATATTCTCTATTTCTCCTTTTTTTTACATCTTAGTTGAAAATCCATGTAAATTCTAAGTTTATTTTCTTGTTTGTGGGCTGAATAGATACATAATTAGTTATCTCTTTATTCTTTTCCATTCGTAAATTCATAAATTAATAGTTGTCGAGCTCTATATCAAATTGGTTCTTTTTATATTGCCGTTCTTCAGGAGATTTTGAAGGCTAAATTATTTCGCTCGAGACCAACTTTCATAAACTTACTCAATTATTTCGCTCGAGGCCAACTTTCGTATATAATTTTGGATTTTTACTCATCTCTCTTGCTCGATGTCGAAGGAAGTTCACGATAAAATCCCTCGCTCCCAATAAAAAAGGATAAAAGTGACATATGAAACATAGAAACCAAATACCAGGTTCTTTCTTTGGTCTTTTCCTTCCGCTTTTGTTGATTTTTGCATATTCTCTATTTCTCCTTTTTTTTACATCTTAGTTGAAAATCCATGTAAATTCTAAGTTTATTTTCTTGTTTGTGGGCTGAATAGATACATAATTAGTTATCTCTTTATTCTTTTCCATTCGTAAATTCATAAATTAATAGTTGTCGAGCTCTATATCAAATTGGTTCTTTTTATATAGCCGTTCTTCAGGAGATTTTGAATGCTAAATTATTTCGCTCGAGACCAACTTTCATAAACTTACTCAATTATTTCGCTCGAGGCCAACTTTCGTATATAATTTTGGATTTTTACTCATCTCTCTTGCTCGATGTCGAAGGAAGTTCACGATAAAATCCCTCGCTCCCAATAAAAAAGGATAAAAGTGACATATGAAACATAGAAACCAAATACCAGGTTCTTTCTTTGGTCTTTTCCTTCCGCTTTTGTTGATTTTTGCATATTCTCTATTTCTCCTTTTTTTTACATCTTAGTTGAAAATCCATGTAAATTCTAAGTTTATTTTCTTGTTTGTGGGCTGAATAGATACATAATTAGTTATCTCTTTATTCTTTTCCATTCGTAAATTCATAAATTAATAGTTGTCGAGCTCTATATCAAATTGGTTCTTTTTATATAGCCGTTCTTCAGGAGATTTTGAAGGCTAAATTATTTCGCTCGAGACCAACTTTCATAAACTTACTCAATTATTTCGCTCGAGGCCAACTTTCGTATATAATTTTAGATTTTTACTCATCTCTCTTGCTCGATGTCGAAGGAAGTTCACGATAAAATCCCTCGCTCCCAATAAAAAAGGATAAAAGTGACATATGAAACATAGAAACCAAATACCAGGTTCTTTCTTTGGTCTTTTCCTTCCGCTTTTGTTGATTTTTGCATATTCTCTATTTCTCCTTTTTTTTACATCTTAGTTGAAAATCCATGTAAATTCTAAGTTTATTTTCTTGTTTGTGGGCTGAATAGATACATAATTAGTTATCTCTTTATTCTTTTCCATTCGTAAATTCATAAATTAATAGTTGTCGAGCTCTATATCAAATTGGTTCTTTTTATATAGCCGTTCTTCAGGAGATTTTGAAGGCTAAATTATTTCGCTCGAGACCAACTTTCATAAACTTACTCAATTATTTCGCTCGAGGCCAACTTTCGTATATAATTTTGGATTTTTACTCATCTCTCTTGCTCGATGTCGAAGGAAGTTCACGATAAATTCCCTCGCTCCCAATAAAAAAGGATAAAAGTGACATATGAAACATAGAAACCAAATACCAGGTTCTTTCTTTGGTCTTTTCCTTCCGCTTTTGTTGATTTTTGCATATTCTCTATTTCTCCTTTTTTTTACATCTTAGTTGAAAATCCATGTAAATTCTAAGTTTATTTTCTTGTTTGTGGGCTGAATAGATACATAATTAGTTATCTCTTTATTCTTTTCCATTCGTAAATTCATAAATTAATAGTTGTCGAGCTCTATATCAAATTGGTTCTTTTTATATAGCCGTTCTTTAGGAGATTTTGAGCATTTCAAATTCCTTGCACTCTCCTTAATGTAGTTAGGGGTAAATTTATAAGTTCAACTTAGAACTTAAATATCTTCTTACTAAAAAAAATGTCATTACCAAGACTTGAACTTGAGTCCTTTAGATTGATAGTCAATATCCCTAACCAACTGAACTACAACAATGTTTATGTATTTTTTGAATTAAAGAGAGAAAATGCTGAAATATCTCAAAATCATACTACTATCCACTGCAAGAATCAATCATCGAATTAATTAATAACTGTAATTATTTACAAAGTGAGTTCCTCTGATCACACAATTCTTCACCAATAATCAAATAGTACATTTTGAGTTTATGTATGTCTTACAACTTTTACATTTATTAGGTTACATGACTTTGCAGTTCGTAGGAATACAATGATTGTTTACAAAAGTGCTATACAAAATTTTATTTCAAAACATAAAATTTGACATTTGTGATATATGGTTTTGTAACGAGACATTTTCAATGTTATAAGTGGATGACCAAAAATCATTGGCTAACAATTTCCCTAATGATTGACAATTATAAGCACAAAATTGAAAGACTAAATACCATTGACAAATGAGCCAATTATCATTGGCTAAATTTAACAAACAATGGTATGTGTATATACATTGTAAATTCTATGGTACGCTCAATGGATTGAGGGTTATTGCTTCTCCTTAGTTAAATAAAATTATCTAGACCATAGATTAATCACGTAACTCAACCTATCATAATTCTCTAAATCCTAATATAGTGCATATGGTATGTTGTAACTCAAACTATCATAATTCTCAAAATTATCTAGACCATTGGAAATTCTATGGTACGCTCGATGGATTGAGGATTATTACTTCTCCTTAGTTAAATAAAATTATCTAGACCATAGATTAATCACGTAACTCAACCTATCATAATTCTATAAATCTTAATATAGTGCATATGGTATGTTGTATACATCTTAGCGAATCAGGATCATTGATTATGTTCTTAGTATATGTGATATTAGGTTTAAGTTCTATAGATTTAGGGTATATGATTTAATTATTTGAAACTTAATCTCTCTTTTCAAATTTTCTGCAATGAGAGGAAAATTAGGAAGGACATTTTTGTCTTCACAATTATGTGTATTTTTTATTTATTTACAGAAAAAGATAGACATATTGATATTTGAACCATGGTCACTTCAAACTAAGTGAAGGTTTACAATCAATCAGACTATGTAGATTTGTTGTATTTTTTTAAATTAAAAATATATACGAAGCTAAAATATGAAATCACAGAACTTTTCAACAGTTAGCTAGCCCAATAAATATTCCGTAACTACTTTTTGGTGTTTTGATACTTCGATTTTGATATTATTTATTTTAATTATAGTATAATATTTAATTTAAAATTTTATCTATCTTATAAATAGACGATAACCATAAATTTGCAACCAAAATATTGTTGGTTTGAATATTTCATATCTAATTATAGTATTGAATATGTAGAAGCGATATAGAATTCTTAAATTACCATTAATTTCCAAAACTATAGTGAAGCAATCATATCTTTGTGCAAACTATAGGGGACTGGTTCTCTGAACATTTTTGTCCGGTTAAATACTAAGTTTTGAAACTCTTCCTAGGGGTGTGCGTGGGTCGGTTCGTTTGGGTTTAGATATTTTAATCACCTAACTCATATACCACGATTTTGAAAACACAAAATACAAACTCACCCAAATAATTTAGAATTTTAACGGTTTGTGTCCTCCATACCAAATGAACCAATTTAAATGTTGCTTACCTAAGGACGATCTCATTGTCCATTCCCATCATTCTAATGTCAATCCATAAAAGTAACTCATATTCGCGCTTGTTAATACATGTTTCACATTGTCATTACTGTGACCGGTAAATTCGCTGCAACTGATTCGGTATTGCTCATCATATGGCCTCCAAACTAATAAACATATCGGGTCAGCAGTTTTATGACAAAACTCAAAGTGAAGACAACTCATCGTCTGGTGGAATTTTGGCACTTGGTGGTGTCCATTAATCTAATTGCAAGCATAATGATTGCTAAAACTAAGCTTTCACGCAACACACTTAGAGTAAAAGTTGATATTGGGTTTGGGAAGGGAAGTGGTGAGAGGAATAAATTGTGTTTGGATTTGGTAGCAGGTAAAGTTCATGGTTCGGTTTCTTTTCGTAAAGTGCTTTGATTTATTTTAGTTAGAGGTATAATATCATGGTTATGTGGGATCTAATGAACCAAAAATGAGCTTGGGGGATGGGAATTTCAACTTAGAAGGAGTGGATTAAATTTTGATAAACTCAAGTTCATGATTAACTGAAAGAATATTTAGATTTAGACTTTGTGGTATTGAGATGTTCATAGAGAGTTTAAAATTGATCCAAGGCCATAGATTGATATTGGTTAGTTGATTTTGATTTTGAAGAAGGTGTATAAAAAGTTATGGAAGTAGTTTGCAGCAAGTGAAAGCAGTGAAGAGGCAGTTGGTCAGGGTAGTGATTGAAACAAGGATGATATTGAAAGACATAGAAGCAAAATCGAAGCAGTTGAAGAAAGAGAAGTGGTAGATGATCAGGGTATTAATGAAAATGGAGAGGGTATTGAAGGACATGGAAGTGAAATGGATCAGGTGAAGGCAGAGAAGGAGGAGAAGAGCATATTGATGGAATTGAAGATGAGTGTTGGTTTTACGAGCTTATTAAAACTGCCTCGAGGAAGATGAGTTCGCCAAATACAAGAAAGAGGATTGAGGAGTTGGAGATCAAGCTTACAAGAAACTCAATTGATAGAGAAATTCAGGTTCATGGAGAGAAGGTCCATCAAAGTAGCATAAACGGAGTTGCAGAAGGAGGATTAGAAATTGAATTTTGGTTTAAAACATATACGTCGAGAGATTGAAGATGGAGGGATAAAAAGTTGGTTGTACAACGGAGAGCGGAAACTATTGGATCTTTAGGTGTTATGGTTGTTGCAACTACCACAACCTATGTTTATGTTAAAATAAGGAATCATTGATTGATTTACTAAAGTTAAGGTCGATTCACTATTCAAACTACTGGAACCTGTAGATAAGGAGTGTCTAATTTTGTGCCTCATTACTTTGATGGAGTCTATTAGTATATTGGATGTAACTCTAATTTTGTCATTTGCTCACAAGTTTTGATGGTCAACCCCAAACCACACTAGACGCAACACAGCTTTGACAAAGACCATATCGAATTGAATCTAATATGTCTTGGACCTTCATCCTACCAATCATACAAGTTCAAAATAAAAATGTTCTGATGGGACATTTCAATCGAACTTCATCGGATCCCACCAGATCGAATGCACTTATGGTCCAATGTTGGATTCTATGATTTGTTTCATTAATGGACCGTGTTTCTAATGAATATAAACAATCAAATATGAACATGCATAATGTTAATCGGCCAACGGGCCGAGTTATAAGCTAGTTAAAATTATTAGTATTTACTATTTAGGTAGTTCGGCGGCAAAATAAGTGGGTCGACTAGAATTCTATTTTTATTAGGCATTTATTATTTTATTATAAATATATACTTTGCGTTTTTCTCTTAGAACAACGGTTAGAAACATGCATTTAATAATATAATTATTATTAGAGTTGTAGGGTATGGCCAAAGATGGGGACCGACTAGGATTAGGGTTTTGTTAGAGTTTTGACATTTAATCATAAATGATAAATATGTACAATGGGTCTTTCTCTCATAATCAAGAAGAAAAATATAAAAAGTTAAACCTAATTTTTTCTCTCAAAATACTAATTCTTTCTCCTCTCTAGTTAGGCCGTCAACCAGTCTTTCTCTTTAAAGGGTTGTGAGAAATATAGGGTACAAAAATAAAAAATATAAATCCACTACAAAACTAAATCTGAATTCATCCATTTGAATCACATCTAACGTTCAAATTAATTCACAACAAAAAAAATTAGGAGGGGCGTACTAATAATTCTACACCTCCTGCCTTTTTTTCTTTTGTACTGACAAGGATCTAGAATAGAGAGAAAACACTTTTTCTAATTCTCTATTTTTCTAAATATCCTATCTCGTTCATTTTAATGATGTCATCAAATTATTTTTTCAAACATAAGACCTCATACCAACATCGTATCATTATCATAACAACATCATACAAATATTATATCACTATCATATCAACATTATATCACTGTTAGTGGTAATAGCGTAATATCGCAACGGTAAGATGACCTAAAAATTTTGCTCTTGGAAATGTCAAATTGGATATCATCTTGTAGAAAGCAAAAAAATTGATTTTTAAGTGCAACATTTTTTGAAATCTAATGTAAATTGAATGAGACAAGGTTCGTTAACTGCCGTCTATAAATCCGCGCCAGCCCCCCAAAATTCGGTCAGCTATCCCTAAAATGTGGTCAACTCTCTCGCTAAACTCTTACGTTCTCTCATGACCCTTCGATAAAGATGATCATTTTACCACTTCCCTCTCAATCTCAGTCGTCAATTATGATTCTGCAGTACTACAAAACTATAGAGTTTTCTACCCAAACCCTATTATTAGAGTTGTAGGGAGTTTGGCGGTGAAAGAAGGGGTCGACTAGGATTAGGTTTTTATTAGGGTTTTATTAAGAGTTGTAGAGAGTTTGGCGGTGAAAGAAGGGGTTGACTAGGATTACGTTTTTATTAGGATTTTTGGTCTTTTAAATATATACTTTGTTTGGATCTTATCTCTCTCGCAAAATTTTAATTCTTTCTCCTCTCTATTTAGGCCGCTGACTATTTTTCCTCTTTTCCCTCAATTTCTTCCTTTAGCTATGTCTCTAATTTAATGTCGCTTGTCCCTTTAATTCCCCTCTTCGATCCCTAAATCTACCCTCAATTTAGTTTCGAAGTTAAATAAATGATGAGTTCGTGAATAATTATTTTATGTTTCTCACAACAAATTTCGAAGTTAAATAAATGATAGAGTTCATGAATATTTATTTAACCGGATATATAAAAAGAGATATATCTTTAATAATATAGACCATTAACTATATTTTAGATTTTCTCATATAAAACATCAAACTTGTAACTTGTATAGGACAGTAATCTTTTTCTTCGAAATTATATCAATCAAACATCAAATTTTTATATTTTTATCGAAATAACATATTTTAAATATTTATTATTATGTAATAGAAGACGTTGACCAAATTCCTAGCTATGCCACTGCTAGCGGATATCCGCAAATGAAAAGATATGGGATGGATTAAAAGAAGGGAACTTCCAAGGATTTGTCTAAAAAGCTTTGTAGCTTATCTCAGCAGATCTCCAGACTCTCTTTTTTCTCTCTTTAATTCACTGTGTTTCCCTTTCAGCTTTCACTCATTCAAATGAAGCAAGCAATTGACCTTATTAATCAAAGCTGACACAGGGAGAAAAGGCTCTCTCCTTGTATTAGCTAGTCTACTCACCACCAACAACAACATATTTAGTAAAACTAACCATCATTTCCCCTTTCACTAATATACATCACATAAACAAAACACCCCTTTTTCCTTCTAACTTTATTCTCAGATATTGGTGTCCCATAGAATCTGTTCTAAAACTGGTAATGTCCACCACCCTTCAAGTTTCTTGACTGCTTTTGGTCATTATTTGCCTTGCACCAGTTTCTGATTTTGTCCCATACAATACACATGAAGGTAACAACAGTCTGCAGAAGTTGCTTTTTCTCTTGGCAGCCATTGGAAGGGAAACAGGATATACCAACTTTCTGGGTTTTTTGAGGATTCTGGATTCAGCTAGAAAAGATGAACTCCTGGGTTGTTATCATAGTATTGAGTATGGTACTTGTTGGAGATGCTGTGGTAGGGGGGAAGCCGCGGCGGGTTGTCTTGGATACTGATATGGACACTGATGATTTCTTTGCTCTTCTGTACCTCTTGAAGCTTAACCAATCAGATTTTGCAGTTGAGGTAAGCAAGGTTAAAATACAGGCAGGCTCTACTTAAGAACTTCATTAACTAGTACTTAAGAACCGACTCTTTGATGAATAGATATTATATGTTTGTTGCATTAACCATGCATGAGAATACAGGCAGTGACCATCAGTGCAAATGCCTGGAGTAATGCAGGACATGCAGTGAACCAAGTATATGATATCCTGTACATGATGGATCGCGATGATGTCCATGTCGGTGTTGGAGGGGAAGGTGGTGTTCTTGATGATGGCACCATACTCACCAATGTAGGTGGATACCTTCCATTGATTGAACAGGTAAAATAAGAACAAAAGTTGCCTCCTTTTTCTTCTTGTCAAATGGAAATTTCTAATTGGGATGTTTCGAGATCGGTGTAACTTTATTTTTCAAGGGTTTAGGGGATGACAACAGCAGGAAGTTGCAGATACAGACAGGCGATTCCAGTTGGTGGGGGAGGGAGGTTGGACAGGGATTCTAACATGGGTCTCAGGAGGGCATTCCTTCCCCAGGTTTGCTTATTGAGTTAGGATGATATTTAATCTCATGATCCCTTTCTGGCCTCTGACTTGGGAACATTTTTGGGTTTGTAAAACCAGGGAATTAGGAGGTATGTCCCTCTTCGACAGCCTACATCGCAGCAAGTGCTTATAGAGAAAGCATCTGCAGGTCCCATAACCATACTCATGATAGGTTCTCCAACAAATATAGCCATTTTTTTGATGAACAATCCACATTTGAGGAAGAACATAGAACATATTTACATCATGGGAGGTGGTGTGAGGTCAAGAAACCCTGCTGGCTGCTGTCCTCCGAATGCTACTGTTTCTTGCCAGCCAAAGCAGTGTGGTGACCCTGGGAATCTGTTTTCTTCCTATGAGAGCAACCCTTATGCTGAATTTAACATATTTGCAGACCCTTTTTCTGCATACCAGGTAGTCAGCAAAGAAAAACTTGTAATCCTTGTTCGATAAGGATTCGGACAGTAGATATATGTTTTTTTTCATATTTTGTTTTCAGGTTATTCATTCAGGAATTCCAGTCACTCTAGTGCCCTTGGATGCAACAAATACCATTCCGACAGATCCGGAGTTCTTTGAAGTGTTTGAACAGAAACAGGCAACATATGAGGCACAATACTGCTACAAATCCTTGAAAATGGCCCGGGACACTTGGTTGGATAACCAATTCTACTCAGTAATTTCTACTTCTGTTTTTGGAGCCTCTAGTTCCAAAGCCAATTCACAATGAAAAGAATGAATTTTGATTGAGACAATGACTCTAAGATTGATTGCAGAGCTACTACATGTGGGACTCTTTCACATCTGGTGTGGCAGCTTCCATCATGCTGCAAAATCCACATAACAGCAAAAATGGAGAGAATCAGTTTTCAGAGATGGAGTACATCAACATCACTGTGGTGACCTCAAATCAACCTTATGGGATCAATGATGGCTCTAATCCAGCCTTTGATGGCCGTCGTGTTCCCAAATTTGGTCTGGAGAAAGGTGGGATTCATAGTGGACATGTCCAGACAAGCCCTAGAGATCCATTCTGCATAGGGAAGAATGGCAAAGGCAAATGCCAGGTACAAAAATGACTGACTGCATTTCCTTTTATTCTCAAATTTGCTTCTTAATTCTTCTGTGGCATATAGGATGGCTACACAAAGGAGACAGCAGGTCCAGATTCAGTACAAGTTCTTGTTGCCACAAGAGCAAAGGCTAGTGCAGAACCTAATAGCCAGCTGAAGAAAGCATTTTTCAAGAGCTTCTTAGATGTGAGATGGCTACGAAACCATATTCTATCTTTCCATGTTCTTTCCTTACTTATTTCAAAGTGAAAGATAACCATGACAATTGTGTCTTTTCTGAGTACAGGTTCTGAATCACCCTCATCAGTCTGGGAAGTTCAATTTCACAAACCAATTTCCTTACTACAGAGAAGTTCTTCACAAACCAGACTTTGGGACTAAGAGACTAAGGAAACCTGTTGTGTTTGACATGGATATGAGCCCTGGAGATTTCCTGTCCCTTCTTTATCTCCTTAAAGTACCTGTAGAAGTGATCAACATAAAGGTACATTTGGTGTCTTTTCAGAGTTCTGCATAAAATTCAGATAAACTCGACTAGGAATTTCCTGCAGGCTATCATAGTAAGCCCGACTGGGTGGGCAAATGCTGCAACGATAGATGTTGTTTATGACTTGCTCCACATGATGGGCCGCGATGACATCCCTGTAGGGCTTGGAGAAGTGATTGGAACAAACCAGTCTAATCCAAAGTTCCCTGATTCAGTTGGAGGCTGCAAGTATTCCAAGGCCATCCCTCAAGGTAGTGGTGGATTTCTTGATTCTGACACATTATACGGTCTAGCTCGAGACTTGCCTCGAAGCCCCAGGAGGTACACCGCAGAAAACTCTGTAGCATTCGGAGCCCCTCGAGACACTGAGCACCCCGAGCTCAGGCAGCCCCGAGCAAATGAAGTATGGGAATCAGTGATGAAGTCATTGGAATCTGCAGGATCCAAAATCACTTTGCTGACAAATGGACCTTTAACTAATCTAGCTAAGATTATTCTGTCCGAGGACTACAAAAGCTCTATGATACAGGTAAAAAATATAAAACAAGTCATATTTCTTGGGCTTGGAGGCTCTAAACTGATCTAGTCATGTCAAATGCAGGAAGTTTATGTGGTAGGAGGACACCTCAGCAATGGATGCTTTGATAAGGGTAACCTCTTAAACAAGCATCCAAACGATTATGCAGAGATGAACATGTTTCTTGATCCGTTTGCTGCAAAAACTGTCTTTGAATCATCACTCAACATTACACTAATTCCGCTAGAAGCTCAACGTGAAGTCAGTTCCTTCTCTAAACTCATACAAAGGCTCAGGTGGACAAATAATACCCCCGAGGCATTGTTTACCAACCGCTTGATCTCGATGCTTAATCGCCTGCAACATATTCATAACAGATATCAACACATGGTAACAGTGCTTTTGCTTTGGCTCAAATGGTATTTCCATAGAAACTTCAAAAACATTCCAACTTTTCAATGCAGGACATATTCCTGGGGGAAATTCTTGGTGCAATAGTTTTGGCTGGTGACCATTCTGTAGTGAAGCCTGTGCTACAAGTCAAACCCATTAAGGTCCTTGCTGGAGGTGATGAATCCACTGATGGCCAAATCGTGATCGATGAGAAGCAAGGGAAATCAGTCAAAGCATTGAAATCTATAGACCCAGATGCATATTACGAAGCATTCGCAAATCAACTAGGGGAAAAGGAGCAATCTGCTGTTATAGGAAGCTTTGAGGAGCAGAAAAGAATCTGGAACACACCACCAAAATAACACCAAGAATCTGCACCAGACTAATTGACACGGAAAAGTTTTAGTTTTTATTAATACTTGCCTATTAGAAGGAGATATAGGAAAATGGATACTCAAAGCAAAAAACAGAATACAGTTCATATAGAAAGGTCATATACAGATTGTGTTCTATCTACTCTAATAAAGCAGTGTCTAATCAGAATGGTAGGTTGTAAAAGTTGATATTTGAGAGTATAGCGTACCAATCCTCGTGCCTTATTACTGAAAATTCGTTAACTATTTTATTTCTAAGCAATTGAGGATTAACTAGCCAATCAGGATTTAACAGCATGTGTTGATCAGCAAGAAAAAAAGGATTTGGATCAGCCGACTATTTTATCAGTCTGAGATTCTGAATTCATGGTTGGGGGAATTCTACAGAGTTGTTTTACTTTACTTTACTTTCCTTTTCATTTATCCTATAAAAGAATTGGTGTTTTTCCAACATGGATTCACACTTGGGTTGATTGAGCTGACAGAAAAGGTTTTGTTTTTGTTTTCCTTCCAATGATGATTCTCACTACTCACTAGCTAACAGAGGAAATCATTCAAGATTTGATGAGTGGCCAGCAACTGTTTGGTGTGATTTGGTTGATGGGAATTGGCCCATTTCCCTTTTTAAAGCTCAATCATGTGCTAGGAGTATCATATGCCACCACTAACTTCCATGTTTTGTTTGTTTGCATAATTTTTTGGGGGGAAGAAAGGAACAGAAGACACAAGACAGAAGGACAGCCTCAGCAGAGTAAGGAGTTGACTGTTTCTGAGGAATCAAATCTTTCCCAGCTGAGATGGGAGATGATTTCGAGTCCCCACAACATTCATAGTTGGCACACTTGAGTTCTTGTGAAGATTTTGCTATTTGTTTACCTAGGAAGGCATGTTTGTTTTGTGACATATGGGGCCATTAGCTAGACAAGTGTTGATTTGCTTCCATGATCCTCGAACCTATCAGATTTCTACTTCAAACGCAAGATTTCTCGTTATAATTTCGTCTGAACATTAACTATCAGTCACATGATGTCGAACCAACAAGATACATCTTAAGGTTTATCTACAAATCATTGTATCAGTTGAACTAGAGGGTGATAACTAAACTTTCATCACAGCAAATCATTACACGCCGAACAGTTAACATGACAGTAGCCAACATGAAACGACAATCCAGGAACACGAAACCAATTGTAACATCAAGAAGCAGAGAAGGGAAGGACAGGTTCTATTCTATTGAAAAGATGCCAATCAAATGTTTCACAAGCATGCATCAATACATAGCACAAACAACCTCCCCTCACTAGTTAAGAACAGAAACCTTATGGGGAGGGAAATCATAAAGCATGAAGAAGAAGAAGAACAACATCACAAGGAAATAGCAGCTTTCTCTACATTAAAACAACTTCCCATTCTCTTCTTCTCACCACTTGCTCATAGGAAATTGAGCTCTTCCGTAGGAACTGATCCCCCAGCCGCTACGATTAGCTAAGCTATTATTGCGACGTGCCCACAAGAGCACAACAGCCTAGTCGCCTCTCGCTCGAGTTCGTGGTCATGGTGGCCAATTCACCTTTTCTCTCGTGGTCGTGGTCGTGTCATTTGCAACAAGCACCACATCCATTTAGTTCTTTTCCTTAGTTTTTTCTTAACGTCTATTTGCCGCCAACTAAAAAAAAAATTGAATTCAAATTTTGAATTTTCCCTTCCTTTCATTCTATAAATTTGGATACCAATAACATTTAACTCATTCCAACAAAAACTTCTGTCGTCGAACCTAGTGCCTCAGTCTCCGGCACCGTTCCTCCGTCGCCGGCCAACCTCCTGTCATCCTCAACCGTCGGAAAACAAGTAAGTTTAATTTTCCGGCGGGCCGGAAAAAAATTCCAACCGGGACGCCATCGTGCCGAAAGATTTTTCGGCCAGGCGTGGAGCAACCCGAAAATTTGCGGCGGGGGCGCCGTCGGGCCGAAAAAATCTTTGGGCTCGGCGACGCACCGGCCGCAAAATTTTTCGGCCCTGCCGGATTTTGCAGGCAATTTAATTTAATATGTTAATTAATTAGTCAATAGAAAATTACTTAATTAGTTAATAAAAATTAGCAATTAGTGTTAATATTTATTTAAATTGGTGTATGAATGTTTAATTACTTAGATTAGTTGATAGAAAATTAATTAATTAGTGATTGATTTAACAATTAATGTTAATATTCAGTATATTAGTTAATAGAAATTAGCAATTAGTGTATTTCGATTGGTGTGAATGTTTAATTACTTACATTAGTTAATAGAAAATTAATTAATTAGTGATTAATTAACAATTAATGTTAATATTCAGTACATTAGTTAATATAAAAATAATTAATTAGTGCGCATCTAAGTATGATATTGTGTAAATTTGTAGATAATTAAGATATGAATGATGTGAGTGGGAGTGAGTTGCCTAGATTCGATGGTAGGATTGTTGATGCATCAACACGAAGGAAGGTGACTAAGAAGAATAAGGAGAAGAAGCGCTCTCGACATATTGGACATCAATCAGAGGCAGATTTAGGAGAGGATGAGTTAGAGGCTCCTGTTGTAGTTGCTCGTTCGGCATCACGGGCGTCTGGTTCCCATGGGAGGAACCAGGGTGTTGCATCGAGAGTGGTCTCGACTGAGTTTGATGAGGACGATACTGATGAGGATATCCAGGTCCCTCCACCCACGCGTGGACATGGACGAGTGTCGTCTTGTACGACAACATCACGTCCTGCTATGTATAGGGACCGAACTGGGTGATTCGTACCACCTGCTCGTGAGGAGACATAGAGCTCCTGAACTGGACGGAGTAGGGGAGGACGTTCGAGTGGTCCTCTACTGTGGGAGCTTGTTGGTGAGTGTCCTAGTGGATGTGTGGACTGAGTACTGGGTCTCTCAGGGACTCCCCCTGGAAAAGCTCCTTGATGTAAGGGTAAGAATATTGCCCTGGGGGGCTCTGGGATGAGTAATCTACAAAAATATACCAAACGATCAAAATTACTTGGACAAAATTTACAAACATAAACCAGCTACTACTAGATGGACTATAATATTAAACCAGTTACTCACCTGTATCATGCTCGTCGGATTCACCTCCACTCGATCGCCCCCTCCCTCCACTCGATCGGGATCTGCCTCCACTCGATCGCCCCCTGCCTCCACTCGAACCAAGCCAAGTACTCCTCAAACGAGATCGCTCATAATATGAACGAATGCGACTGGTGCTTGTTCGAGGCCGCCCTCTCGGATTCTCATTCACTTCAGGTTCCCTCACATTGTCGGGTGAAGCCCATAGAATAGGGCATCTCCTTCATGTCTCACTGCTTCAGGACATCTTTCTTCCACCTCAACAGTAAGACGCCTAAAGTGTTGTCGTTGAAGCTCAATTTCATCTTTTACTTATTGTTGAACTGGGGGGTTTTTATAATCCAAAGTCTGCCAGAATACATGCAACTTTTGAGCATAGAATTGACGTCCTTCTTCCTTAGCTTAAACAACCTGGGAAGCACACTTGAGCTCATGTGTCATCTGAAAATGACACGCACAACTGTCCTTCAACTCCGCCACCCCATCTAACATCAGTTTGATTGCCTCACAACTAACGACCCTCCTCAAAAACGTCCACGGGGCCTCAATTTCCCTACTCAGGTTGCGGTTCAGTGACTTGTGCAGTTCATTCACCACTTCCAGAAACTGATGTTCCATGTAGTTGTGGTTCTTCGCAAAACAAGTGTCAATCGATCCTCTACCAGGCACAAGGAAAGTCTTGAATGAAGAGTGAGATGACTCAACTCTATTCGAGCTCGTGTTACCAAGATGAAACACATGGTTTGTGTAGCACTTTGCCCACATTGTCTGATGAGGTGATATTCAGCTTTAATATATCGGATTCTTGGACTTTATGTGATTATCTGTGGTATGTTTTAGCCAATTGGTGCTATTTTAGGGCTCGCTAACCCGAGAATGGTTGAAAAAACCATTACTGCCTAGTGCCATGAGTTTGATATAACAGGTGAAGAAAACACGAAAAAGAAGTTGCACCGGCAAACAATTCTCGAATCACTGATGGAATACTCAATTGGGCAAAAGGCCTAAGTGGGCCAGAATAAAAATTGGAAGGCTGGAAGGAATTGGACTTGGCTGGGGAGTGAGGCTTTTGGGACGGCATGCTCTGGGACCAATTATTTTGGGCCGGACAGAAGTGGTTTTGGGCTGGCGGTGATCTTTGGAGGGGTCGGCTTGGAATTAAAGAAAAAGAAGGGTGGCTGTCTCCAGGTGGAAGAGGGAGAAGGCTGCGCAAGGAATTCGGAGAAAGGGATTATTCTGGGCGGAACTTTATTTTGGTTTTTGGGGGAGTGAATTATTTTGGCGGCGGATTTTGATTATTGTTTTGGGACGCGAATTTCTTGGTGAGAAAGAAAGAAAGCGCAAGGCAGCAACAGAGCAAACGCGACGAGTCGATTCTCAATCGGCGATTGAGATTTCCAAGGCTTGAGCTGAGTTCAACGAGAGCGATTAGTTGGTTGGATTTTCTGAACAGAACTAGTTGTTTATTGTTGATTTAGAACATGATGATCAAAACCCTATTGTTTTATCTCAATTTCGTCATGAACTAAACCCCAATTTCTGGGGGAAACACCATAGGATGTAGCTATTTCTTGATTTGATGGATTGATTCATGATTCTTTTCTTCCAATCTCTATTGCATGAAATTTCTTAATGCTTTGTGTTGACTGGCCACCAATACAATGATTTGTAGTTAATTAGGTTATTAGCGACAGTGAAACCCTATTAACTGAACCTGTTTCATGTGACATAGTAACTTATCGAAGCGACAGTGGATTAAATAAGGTGCTATGCGGTCTTAAATATGATATCGATCTTCAGACTATATAGTTAATTCATTGAGCTACGACAGTAGGATTTGGATTGATTATTTAGTACGTAGTAATTCCCGACAGGGATAGCTAGCACATTCGTGATATCCTGGCTGTAGAGGTATGGATTAAATTGATTGGGATATGTGAATTAATCTGGATAGGATAGGTAGTGAATCCCGGTGTTTCTCCCAGAGATTTCTCCCATTGAATTAAACCCGACATTTTAATTTGCTTGTTTTGTTTAATTACTTTGCTAGTAGATCATAGTTTCATCTCATTAAACATTTTCACATATAGTTTGCTCAATAAAAATTGATAGAACTTAAGGTTGTACCAGTCCCTGAGAGACGATACCCGGACTTTCCTGTTTAATACGAGATAGGATTGAGGCATTACGCTTTTGACCTACCAAGTTTTTGGCGCGGTTGCCGGGGACTGCCATATCTTATTTTTATTGATTTTTGTGAGTGAACTATTTTGATCTGGGTGTTAGTGTGCAGGTGAATTTTTCAGGTTTATCCTCCTCGTGCATGCCAAGGAGGACGACTGGCAATTTACTGCCACTAGATCCCGAGATCGAAAGGACCTGCCGACAGAACAGGAAACTGGTCAAGTTAGGGAAGCAGCCTACCACATCCACAACTCCTAGGCCTTCCCTAACTCAGAATCGTCAACAAAGAAGGCCGGTGTCACCACCTGTCATCCCTACACCACCGACACCGCTGTCGCGCATCATCGAGCATGTCATCATGGCTAAACAGGATCGTTCGATCAGGGCTCGTCTGAATCGGAGGACTGGAGCCCGAGCTTCATGTGTTGTCATTCCGGCTGGGGATGCAAACATGGAGATTTCCCCAGCCTTCATCAATATGATCACTAATGGGTACACCTTCTCAGGGGCCAGCACCGAGGATCCTCATGAACATCTTCGCCGGTTTGCAAGCATTTGTGACACAATGAAGAGCCCGGCTGTGTCTGATGATGCCATCCGTCTTCGGATGTTCTCATTTTCTCTGCTAGGGAATGCATCACACTGGTTCCAGAACTTGACACCCCGTTCCATCACAACATGGGGTCAGCTTGAGAAGAACTTTTTGGATAAGTACTTTCCTCCTGCCAAGGCAATGAAAAGGCAAGAGGAAATTGTCACTTTTAAACAAGCTGAGGATGAAAGTCTGACCGAGGCATGGGAGCGCTATAAGGAGCTTCTAATGAGATGCCCGAGCCATGGTCTTGAAGATTGGAACGTGATCTCCATTTTCTTCAACGGAATCAGAAGACAATACCGAGATGCTCTGAATAATGCTTCCCGGAATGGTTTCACAAGAATGGAAGCACCAGAAGCATATGAACTGGTGGAGAAGATATGCTCTGAAGATACTGAATGGGGTAGTGAGACCGGCATTCGAAGGAGATGAGGCTTGCATGAGATAGACAGAGTTGCAAGTTTAGAAGCAAAGATTGATGCTAAGCTGGATTCCAAGTTCGATGCACTCGAACGAAGGCTGGCTAAGTTGGCTCTTGGTAGACAAGAGGAGGTTGCTTATTGTGAATTATGTGAAGGTGCTCATCATAGGGATCTATGTCCACTGGTGGCTGATCAGATGGAAGATGTGCACTATATCAACAATCAGAGAAATCAAGGCCATGGTGGTATGTATTCGAATACCTACAACCCACAATGGAGGAAGCATCCTAACTTTCCTGAGCAAACAACAACCCAACTGGTGCTCGCAACATTCCACCTCCAGGCCTGCAGAAACAACAACCTCCACCTCAACCAGAGAATAAACCACAACTTGAAGAATTGCTTCTGGCTCACATGCAGAAAACTGACAATAATATGAAGGGCCTGGATCAATTTGTCACTCAACAGCTAGCCATCAACAATAATTTACAATCGTCTATGCTAACTATGGAGAGGCAGATGGGACAGATGGCTCAAACCTTGGCGGATATGCAGGGCAGGATTCCTGGGACATTACCGGCTAATACCGAGAGGAATCCAAAAGATGCTAAAGTTGTGGCAGTGACATTGAGGAGTGGTAAGGCCTTGGAAGACCCTAGCAGCTCGAAAAAGGCACCAGAGGCAGAAGAGGAAGCACCGAGAGAAAGATCTTGTGCAGAAAATGAAGAATCAGCCTTGCACAGGCAAAATGAAAGCAGTTTGCCTGTGCAAAAGCATGTTGCCCGTGCAAAACCAGAAGAGGAAAAAGCGAAGAGGGAGGAGCTAAAACCTTATGACCCACCCGCACCATTCCCTCAAAGGTTGATGAAGCCCCTGGAGGACCCGAACTTCAAAAAATTTGTTAATCTCTTCAATCAATTGCACATCAACATTCCGCTAGCTGAAGCTCTTGAGCAAATGCCTACATATGCCAAATTTCTTAAGGAACTGTTGACAAAGAAGAGAAAATGGACTGATTTGGAGAAAGTAACACTCACACCAGAGTGTAGTGTTGTTATCCAAAATAAATTGCCAGAGAAGAGGGAAGATCCAGGGAGCTTCACCATCCCATGTATTGTTGGTGAGACAGAGTTTGCAAAGTCGCTTTGTGATCTTGGAGCCGGCATAAACCTCATGCCATATTCTGTTTATAAGAAGCTGGGACTCCAAGATGTGATCAAGCCGACTCGAATTACTCTACAGCAAGCTAATCGGTCAGTAAGGGTTCTCAAAGGCGTGGTGGAGAACGTGCTAGTCAAGGTGGGAAAATTCATCTTCCCAGCCAACTTCGTCATTCTGGAGATGGAGGAGGACAGGGAAGTACCTCTCATTCTTGGGAGACCCTTCCTAGCTACGGGGGGTGCTCTCATAGATGTCCAAAAGGGCGAGCTGACATTCAGAGTCTATGGGGAAGAGGTAAAATTCAATGTATACCATGCAAGTAAGTACCCTAATGACTTTAGTGATGTGTTTGCGGTGGATGTCATAGAATCATGCACTGATGCTGTTTTGAACAATGATTATTGTTGGGTATGTGCATAGATGAGCTGTTGGGGGACATGGGCCCATCCAAGATGCTTAGGCCCAAGCCCGCTTTAGAGCAAGGAGGTGGGGATGAAAGATAGGAGTAAGGCCCAGTCAAGGATCAATAGGCGCATGACGACAAAGAGGGGGCGGGGACCATAAAAATCAGAGACTAGAGAGCTGAGGGCGTGCCACCTGGCAAGGTGGTCCCTGCAGGCGCCAGGAGCCCAGGAGCTGCCACGTGGAGGCGCCCGACCGTTGGGCCGTACCGAGCATTTAATGACGCGCTAACGTGGAGCTGAATTCTAGGAGCCCGGTCGGGGCTTCGACGAGTATAAATAGTACTCGGTAGGTAGCATTTAAGCAGGTTGGCTTCTCTCACTAAAAGCTCTTTGAGCACTTCTCTCTCTAAACTTGATACTAACTTGAGCGTTGGAGTGCTAACGGGCATCTCAAAGCCCTTAGGCGTCTGTCCCTGCAGGATCTAGGCGTCCGGGGAGCAATCCATCAGTCGGAGGTTCGGAGTAGTGGGCTCGGGGGGGTTACGTGGCACAAACAATTATGATGCTGATTCTGAGTTTGATGATTCTGATAATGAACTTGATGAGCTAACCGTGTCAAAGAGGGCACAATTGCTCGAAGCATTGCCTATGCAGGTGGAAGGTGATGAAAAGGCTATGTTTCCAAAGAAAATGGTTCCATCTCGGATCCAGCCTCCGGAATTGGAACTAAAACCATTGCCTAGTCACCTTAAGTATGCATATCTGGGGGAAAACTCCACTTTACCTGTGATTGTTTCTTCTACACTGACTGATTCGCAGGAACATGAGCTCTTGAAGGTCTTACGCCAGCACATACAGGCTTTAGGCTGGACAATTGTGGACATCAAAGGCATTAGTCCAGCATGTTGTATGCATAAGATCCTTCTAGAGGAGGAGTCCAAGCCCTCCGTCCAGGCACAACGGAGACTAAACCCGCACATGAAAGAAGTGGTGCATAAGGAGGTAATGAAACTATTGGATGCAGGTATTATTTACCCTATCTCTGATAGTACTTGGGTTAGTCCCGTGCATGTTGTCCCTAAAAAGGGAGGAATGACAGTAGTGAGAAACGATAAGGATGAGATGATATCTACCCGAACTGTTACGGGCTGGAGAGTGTGTATAGATTATAGGAAGTTGAATGAGGCGACCCGAAAGGATCACTTCCCTCTTCCTTTTATTGATCAAATGCTCGAACGGTTGGCGGGTCATTCTCACTACTGCTTCCTAGATGGTTACTCCGGTTATTTTCAGATCCCAGTAGCACCGGAGGATCAAGAGAAAACTGCTTTTACATGTCCTTTTGGTGTTTTTGCATATCGTAGAATGCCTTTTGGATTATGTAATGCACCAGCAACCTTTCAGCGGTGCATGACTGCCATATTCTCTGACATGTTAGAATTGAGTCTTGAAGTTTTCATGGATGACTTCTCGACTTTTGGTACTAGCTTTGAACATTGCTTGGATAACCTGTCTAGAGTTTTGCAGAGATGTGAAGAGACTAATCTAGTCTTGAATTGGGAAAAATGTTACTTCATGGTGACAGAAGGTATAGTGCTTGGTCATCGAATTTCGGCGAGGGGGATAGAAGTTGATAAAGCTAAGATTGAAATCATTGAAAAACTTCCCCCTCCCAGCACAATAAAAGGAATTAGAAGTTTTCTAGGTCATGCCGGTTTTTACCGGAGATTTATTAAAGACTTCTCAAAGATTACCAAGCCTTTATGCGATTTGTTGGCCAAAGATACTGTGTTTAACTTCTCTGATGAGTGTTTGCAGGCCTTCAATCGACTTAAGAAGGAGTTAACCTCTGCCCCCATTATCACTACACCCGATTGGACTTTACCATTTGAAATTATGTGCGATGCTAGCGACTATGCAGTCGGGGCAGTTTTGGGGCAGAGGAAGGAAGGTAAGTTGCATGCGGTGTACTATGCAAGTAAGCTCCTTAATGATGCACAATTGAACTATTC